ATCCCAGAGAGCAAGAGGAAGCTCAGACAACCCACAAACAGCAACCCCACCAATGTCATCCCGACAAGAAAGGATAGCAGCACCACCTCCCTTTCCACAACCAGACGTAACCCAACTCCACACCAGAGAACAAGCAGACACTTTCTACGAAGCCAGAACACATTGGCTACAGTACTACGCAGGAAGCCACCCACAGCTACTGCCCACAACACAACACGATCCCCCAGTAACCGTAGAAAACCTCTACGATGAGAACGACTTTGAAGAGTTTGCAGCAAGCGGTGACCCGATACCACCTCCCACTCCACAGATACTCCCCGCTGCACCTGCTCCATCCCATATCCCACCACCACGCACCATGTCTAACGCTGCAGCCCCCAAACCCACGATGATCGGGAAAATTGATGACTTCGATGGAACCCCAGATAAAGCCCAAAGGTGGATATTGTCCACCGATCTACACTTTGATATCAACAACACCATCTACAACTCCGACAAGAAAAAGGTATATGTGGCCCTCAGCTACATGAAGGATGGCAACGCCACCTCATGGAGCAAAGCCAAGATGACCAAATACAAAGAGAAGAACACCTACCCCACATGGGCAGACTTCATGAAAACCTTCACAACCAGTTTCAGAATGGCAAACGTCAAAGGAACGGCCTTGGCTGCCTTGATGAAAATGAAGATGGAACAAGGAGAAAATACAGTAGCGTTTAACTCAAGGTTCATGCTAGATGCTGGGAAGAGCGGCATCAACAACGAAGCCATGATCATGGTTTATCAAAAGGCTATCCGACCACCCCTCCTTCGTGGGGCACTCACCGGAAAGGAACTACTCACCATCGAAGACTAGATGAGCACAGTGGCAAACCTATACGCCAACTGGATCAGTGCCAACGCTATCTTGGAAGGAACGTGGGGCGCCAGAAACAAAGAAAGACAGAATGACAGAAACCGCAAAAGTGGACCATCCACCAGCACCAGAAGATTAACCAAAGATGAAGAAGAATCAAGGAGGAAAGAAGGAAGATGCTTTATATGTAACGAGAAAGGACACATAGGAAGGAATTGTAAGAACAAAGGAAAAACTCCTGAAAGAAAGGTACGTCAAACCGAAACGGAAGATGACACCAAAACAGTGGTAAAAGAAGACAGGGTCCAAAACATCATGAGGATGTGGAGGGAGTTAGGAGAAGATCAAAGAACAGAGGCAATGAAAGAATTAGAAGATGAGGGTTTTTGAAACGACGGACTACCCCGATGTTAGTACCGTCAAAAATGGCAACTGTAACAATAGCAACAATCAATGCCAACTCTTTACGAATTGATTGCTCGTTGAAACAGAAAACCATCGGAACCAAAGCCCTGATAGATTCAGGAGCTACAGACGACTTCATGGACACAAAATTCGCCATCAGACACCGACTCCCCCTCCAAAAACTCCCAACTCCTACGACATGTAAAAATGTTGACGGAACCACGAACAAAAACAGAAAAATTACACATTGCACCTATCAGAGGATAGATGCAGGAGGACAAAACAGGTTCACAAAGTTCCTATTGACCGGACTAGACGGAGAAGACGTATTACTGGGATTTCCCTGGTTACGAAAAGTCAATCCTGTCATTAACTGGAAAGACAAAGAATTACCAAACTCGGACAAACACTCCATCAGGATAAACCAAACAACCACGGAAACAAAAATCAGGACAACCGCAGTAAACGAAGACGTGTACAAAACTATTCATAGATACGTATCCGACCAAACACCCTATCCTCGAACCACGATTTGATTAAAGGTCAACTCGGCAATGGAACACGCGCAAATACACGGAGAAAAGAAGGAGCATAACCTCCCGGATGAATATAAAGGGTATTCGGACGTCTTTGACAAAAAGAAGTCGGAAAGACTCCCCAAGCGACGGGAATATGATCATGCAATCAACATGAAACCAGAATTTGTACCAACAGATTGCAAATTGTACCCATTGGCACCAAAGGAAGACGAAGCATTAACAGAATTTTTCGGAAAACTACAGAAAGGGATACATCAGGCCGAGCAAGTCGCCACAGGTGTCCCCCTTCTTCTTCATCGGCAAAAAGGATGGATCACTCCGACCGTGCCAAGGTTACAGAAAACTGAATGCATATACCGTGAAAGACCCCTATCCACTACCCCTGATACCCGACCTCATCAAAAAATTGAAAGGAGCCACCATCTTTACAAAACTAGATCTACGTTGGGGATGCAATAACGTAAGGATAAAAGAAGGAGACAAATGGAAAGCTGCGTTTAAAACCAGCAAAGGAGTGTTCGAACCAACGGTCATGTTCTTCGGCATGTGCAATTCACCGGCAACATTCCAAAGGCTGATGAACAACAAATTCAAAGACTACATTGATGAAGGCGGGATGATCATATACATGGACGACATCCTCATCTTTGACACCAACATTGAAAGACTCCGACTCCGAACAAAACAGGTTCTACGAAGACTACGCGATAACGACCTATTCCTAAAACTAGAAAAATGCACCTTCGAAGCAAAAACCATCGAATACTTGGGAATGATTGTTTCCCACAATCAGGTATCAATGAATCCAGCCAAACTTGCTGGAATCCGGGATTGGCCAATCCCGAAAGACACCAAAGGCGTAAGGAAGTTTTTAGGTTATGGAAACTTCTACAGGAAGTTTATCGGTCATTACTCTGACCTTGCTAGACCCTTGAATGCCTTACTAGAAAAGGATAGGAAGTAGAACTGGACCCAAATTGAAGACAATACTTTCAAATTGATGAAACAAAAATTCCTCGAATCCCCCGTAACACAAATTCCCGACTCCTCAAAACCGTCAAAGATTGCTGCAGATGCCAGCAAACACGCCACAGAAGCTGTATTAATGCAACCCGATGACCAAGGACAATGGCACCCATGTGCATTTTTCTCCAAAACTCTATCCCCCGCTGAAAAGAACTACCAGATCTACGACAAAGAGTTATTAGCGGTAATGAGAGCTTTAAAAGAGTGGAAACACTTACTTTTGGGAAGCCCCCACACGATCCAAATCCTGACAGATCACAAGAACCTGACGTACTGGCAAGAAGCCAGGAAACTCACACCACAACAAAGAAGATGGCAGCTGGAACTGTCACAATACAATTACACCTTGGAGCACGTACCAGGAACCCACATGGTGGTACCCGACGCACTCTCAAGAAGACCTGATTTATACGTCGAAACAGAAGGAGATGACGATGACACACCAATGATACCCGCCTCAGCGTTCCTGTATCACACACAAACAATTAAAAACACAGTCGAGCAAGCCATGCTCACAAATGATAATTATCCAGGAAGAATGAAGAAAGACGATTGGAGAAAAGAAGAAGGACAGTTCTTTTATCAGAATAAATTACTGATTGACGAAGTAGAAGAACAAAGGATGATCATCAAAGATCACCACAATTCCCTGTCCGCAGGACACCCAGTAAGGCTCAAAACCTACCAGTTGATCAAAAAGACCTATTGGTGGCCAGGAATGATAAAACAAGTGGAAGAATACGTGAAAGGATGCACAACTTGTCAACAAGCGAAAGTAAACACACATCCCACCACCTTACCATTAATCCCAAACCAGACCCCAAAAACCACCGAACCGATGAAGTACCTATCCGTAGACTTCATAACTGATTTACCAGAATCTTCAGGATACGACAGTATAATGGTCGTGGTAGACCAAGGACTTAGTAAGGGGGTAATCCTCTCACCTTGTCATAAAACCATTGACGCACTCAAAACTGCACGAATCTTTCACAATTCCATCTTCAAACAATTCGGATTGCACAATAAACTCATATCCGACAGGGGACCACAGTTCGCCTCTGAAGTATCCAAAGAACTCCACAAACTCCTGAACATTGAAACCGCACTCTCCTCTGCGTATCATCCCCAGACGGATGGACAAACAGAATGATCCAATCAAGAACTGGAGATCTACCTCCGCATATTTTGCCAGAACCAACTGCACAGCTGGGCAAAATACCTTACAACCGCCAAATTCTGTCACAACCAAAGACCACACTCCACAAACAACCAATCACCATTCTACCTCCTCATGGGATATGAACCCCGAGGAATCCCGACTAAACACAGATCCACGAATATCCGAACTGCTTAGGGCAAGGGAAAACGCCCTAAAAGCACACGAACTCGCGAGAAGCAAGATGATGAAATGAAACAACGGAAAGTTCACGCAATTCTCCGAAGGACAAAAGGTGTGGTTAGAGAACACCAACCTGCGAGAAAAAGCTACCGAATACAAGAAGTTCAACATGAAACGCATCGGACCTTTTCGCATCCAAGAAAAGATTTCCCCGGTGAACTACCGACTATCCCTGCCTCCCCATTGGAGGATACACAATGTTTTCCACGCATCCCTTCTCATGCCATATACGGAAACCAACACTCACAGCCCGAACTTTATCCGACCACCACCTGACCTGGTCAACAAAGAAGAGGAATATGAAGTAGAAAGTATTCTCAGACACAAACCCTGGAAACGAGGGCGCCGCTACCTGATAAAATGGTGCCATTACCCTCATTCCGAAAACTCATGGGAACCGGAAGAACATTTAACCAATGTTGCGGAGATACTGGAAGCCTATAAGAAGGACCACAAGCTGCGTTGAAGAGACAATCACCCCACTACCAACAATCCTCTGTCTCTCAACACAAAACATGTCTACTTCTAACTCCACCGGCTTCCCTATCACCACCTACTCAATACCCGGTGACGCCAACTTGCTAGCCAACGAACGAGTGTCTTTTGCCCATGGGCAACAACACAACCAAGCCGACGTCACTGACGCCATAGAATTAATCCATAGACTCAATACATTCGTTGGAAAGCGAGCATTCGCGGCTCAACAGTCAGGACTTGAGTATCTGTCGGGCACTCCGGATGGAAAAGTTAGTTTTGGAATCTTAGGAATGACGCTTGAGGATGAGCTCCTTGAATGGGCAGATGGACTCGGCAAGGGAATATTTGGAATCAGGCGGGAGGACATTGCTAAATGAAGCTCGCACGTGGATAGAGCGAGGCGGTTGTACGAGTACTCCTCCACCCGGTTTGTCCCTCCGGTCCCTGTCACACCCAGACCAGACCAGTGTTACCCCAGAGCACACTTACCACATCATCACCCGTCGACCTACGCCCATCCCGTCGGGGGAAAAATATATTCCCACCGTCCCAACCAGCCCTATCTCACAAGAGGCTCCAGACTCTGGCCGGTCGTTCGTACAACGAAATCCGGGCCTTCTTCTACGATCAGCAGGCTGCTGAAATGAAGGCTCAGGGAAAAGAGTTCGGAGCTTAGGTCACTTGGGTGCCTTCGCTCCTATGAACAATGAAGTAAACCACAACAAGGTGGCCCCTGCTCCGGGGTGTTGCACGAGCAATAAAGGAAAGACGGGGATGGCTCCCCAATTTGTAAATAGATTTCTAAATTTGTTATCTGAAGTATGTACTTGTATAAAAACTTGTAACTGTAATATTTATGATACTACCACTGCACCAGCGTCTCCCTTGGAGCGTGGCCCCGGCGAGACAAACACTAGGGTGCTTGATTCTGGTAAAAATAAAATAGAAAAACATGTAACTTTTGATACCTCTTCTTCTTCGTTGGAGCCACCCTTTCCCGAAATCCCAAGGCGTGTGTTGATGCACACATATTTATTCCAAAAGGAGATCCGTTTAGACGTTGGTGTGGAAAACCTTGCCCGGGGCATAGTACACCCAACCAGTGCACTGCTTGATTCAGGCGCTAACGGAATCTTCATAGATCAGGTCTGGGCGGAGCAAATTGGACTCCCCCTTGTAAAATTAGATATGTCTATTCCCGTCTATAACATTGACGGTACACTTAACGTGGGTGGCTGCATTATATACAAGTGTTCTTTTGTAGTTGAGTACCAAGGACACAGAGAACAAGTCACCGCTGAGGCTACCCAACTAGGGAAGATTAATTTAATCTTAGGCTGGACCTGGCTATTAAAACACAACCCTGGGATCAACTGGCAGACAGGGGTTGCCACACTGTCACATTGCCCTCAGGAGTGTAATGACTTGGGTAAGCCAAGTTGTGTCTGTCAAACTGAGCGTGATGAAAGGATAAATGCTGGTCACTTTTATGCCAACCTCAGATCTTTAGAAAAAATTGACAATGAAAACAATGAGGTAAAACCCGAGGAAGAGATTAAGAGGCTGGTACCTCCAGAGTACCATGACTTCTGGAAAGTCTTTTCAAAACACAAATCAGAGTGCTTCCCAGAGGCTAAGCCTTGGGACCATGCTATAGATTTGAAGGACACTTTCAAACCTAGAAAGGGACACATGATTCCCCTCTCTGCTCCAGAAAGAGATGAGGTTTCAAGTTTCATAGATGAACAGCTTAGGAAGGGTTACATCAGACCTTCCAAGAGCCCTATGATGTCCCCAGTGTTCTTCATTCCTACAAAGGATGGTAATAAGTGCATGATTATGGACTATCGTTACTTGAATGAGTACACGGTTAAAAATGCATATCCACTGCCTTTGATCAGTCAGCTAGTAGATAAATTAGCTGGCATCACAATCTTGACAAAGATGGATCTCAGATGGGGGTATAATAATGTACGAATCAAAGAAAAAGATGCTTGGAAGGCCATGTTCACATGCCACTGAGGATCCTTCAAACCCCTCGTTATGTTCTTTGGGTTGACCAATTCACTGGCAACCTTCCAGAGCATGATGAATGAGATCTTTGCAGATATGGAAAACTGTGTCATCATTTACATTGACGATCTATTGATATTTACAAAGCCGGATGATGAGACTGAGCACAACAGGATTGTGCAACAAGTCCTTTGACACTTACAGGAATGGGACTTATTCATCAAACCCAAAAAATGTAACTTTAAAGTGAAGGAAGTTGACCTCCTCGATATGATAATTGGCCAGAACGGAATCAGGATGGATCCTGAGAAAGTTCAAGCTATATTGGACTGGCCAGAACCTACTCGTGTCAAAGGAGTTAGGGCCTTCCTGGGCTTAGATAATTTCTACCGAAGGTTTATTGAAAACTTCGCAAATATAAGGAGACCGTTGAACGATCTCACAAAAAAGGACATTGTCTGGCACTGGGGTGCCAAAGAACAAGAAGCTTTTGATTGTTACGATAACACAATTTTCGGACCTTTCCTTCTTTTTCATTCTCCACTTTAACCTTGTACACTTTAGCTTTCACACATGGTGCCACGCGGCACTTCCCCTTTTGTTCAAACTCCTCTTTCTCGCGCCGCTGTTGATGATGAGAACTGCTGTTAGAAAACCACACACAAAAAACAAACTAACACACAATCCTCCCAGATTCCCATGGAACTTGTTTATGGGCTTTGCCTCCTAGAACAGTGGAGTGGTCTGGTTGTTCGTGGGGTGGTACGTATAAAGATCCTTCAAAGTAAAACCCAGAGGTGTATGAGTGTGGGTTTTGAGGAGGAGGGATAGTTGAATTTATAGAAGATAGGGGCTTAGTGACGAGTATAGATGAGCACTACCTTGCTAATTGTAGCACAAGGTAGGTTTGAGAACGACGAGGATGACGAGGTGACGAGGTTCCCAGTGATAGCAGGCTCCTGACGCACAAACTGTAGTACTCAGAAGGACTCTAATCGAAAGGGATAACAATGACTTCAAAAGTGGGAAGTGACGATGACAGCAATTAACAGTGGTAGCAGTGGGAAGTATTGTGACCACACTGGATCACAAGTAGTAGTGAGTAGTGAACCTGAGATTAGAGAAGAAGTCTGGATTTGAGTTCTTGTCTTTTTTTTACAAGGTAAAATACAGGGGTTTATATAGTAAAAGAAAAGTAGGCTATGCACGGTATAGCTGTGCAAAAAGAATGAGAAAGAACATGAAGGAAGGAATGTACGCTGACGGATCCTGCGTAGGTAGTACAGGATAAGATTGTCAAAAAAAGGAAAAGAAAGGGATAGAACAATGAATGCTGTGAGTAATGTCACAGGTTTGTACAGCCATAAAGTAAAGTCCAATAGCAAAAAGAGAGCAGGAAAATCATGATGTCATGGGAAGATGCAGTAAAAAAAGGGCAAGGCAAAACACTATCAGTATTAACACAGTTCCTTTATTGTCAGTCAGGCATTCTAAAAAATATGTGTCCATAAAAATGATTCAAAAATCAAAAATAATCGCACTGTAAATGAATGTTCTGCTGAAGAAAAAGAAACTGGAGCCACCAGTCCACCACCTAGTCCAAATCCGACAGTTCCATGGCCTTACCAATGGACTGGTTGTGTTGGACCACCTGATCAAACGAGGGAGGGAGAGGAGTAGTTCCAATTTGGAACAAGTGAGTCCCAGGCAGCGTGTGGTAGGTGTAGCTGTAGCGAAGACGATGGACAAAAGATAAGTGTACCCAAGTGAATGGGACAGCGATGAACATGGGCAACGCAAGGGGATGAACCTTCTCCAGCTCAAAAACTACCCACCCACGCTCCAACCAGGCAAGACGAACGACCGATGTTTTGATAGTATATGATGGCAGATCGACGTCATGAAGATGGACCTGTTGCCCTATTTGGACCAGCCGCCAGGGCTTTGCTGATATCAGCAGTGGCACGTGGTAGTCAATGGATCGGCGACGGAAGCGGATAGGAAGTGGTGACATCAGAAATGGTGGGGGTGCAAATAAGATGAGGAGGAGGAGGGTGGAGGTGACGAAAAAGTGGATTAGAATGGGGATCCAGAAACGACCGTCAGGTGAGAATAAAAAGGAGAGGAAGGGGCCCATGGTGGGGCTAGGCAAAGGAAGGGGAGTAAGGGAAACGACAAAAGCGAGGGCGCAATGCAATGTGTAGCCAGTGGCAACACGAAAATTTGCCGAAATGCCGAAACGCGGAAAGTACCAAATGGAAAAGCAAAGGTGAGCGTGACTGGATTGCCTAATAGAGGTGGTGCTGATCAGCCACAAGTTCGAAACAGGCAATATTAATTACTATTCCACGTGGCACTGTGCCTGTGTGGCGCAAAGGTGAGTCTTTTTGAATATTCGCTTCGTTATTGACACCTGTCCATGCTACCAATCAACTTTGGTGCATGACACCGATGAAATATTTGCCATTCAGGAGTGCATGGGAGAGATTGGAGAAGAGCGAAGGCCATGAGTTTGGTATCAACTCCTAGTTTCATTCCGGAGAGGTGTGAATCAATTGTCCAGATTTTTGCAATGTGGTCCTGGATAGGTGATATCCCATCCCAGGACAATTTGGTGAGTTGCTGGAATGAATAGAAGGCCAAGGCAATGTTGGACGTCTGATGGAGTGAAACAAGTTTATCAAATAACTCCTTAGAGCTGGTGAGGTCTCCAGTCCTCATTAGGAGGGCATCAGAGATGTGGTCCTGGATGATTTCATGTGCCTTCTCATCCTTAAGTATCCAGGTGATTTCAGGATCCTCAGAGGAGGTGGGCTTTCCTGGTGAGGGCTCAAGCTCCTCTCCAGTAACAACTCAGAGAACTTTTTCCCAACATAGCTTTGAGATGATCTGGAGTTTCTATATCTGGAAATTGTTGGGTCCAGTGAGAACTGGACATGCAGATGTATTGTGTGCTGTGGTCATGGCTCCAAGGTTGCCGTTTCAAATGAGAATTATTTCCTGTGTAGCTTTTGCGCCACCAGGGCTCATAACCTAATAAATCTAAGTGAAACTCAGCCGCTGCCTAAGAGGCTATAGAAACGACTTTATTATTTACCTAAGTGAAACTACAACAGATGTTAGTTTAAGGTGATCTCTAATAAATGTAATGTGACATACCTCAGCCGCTGCCTAAGAGGCTATTGAAACAACTGAGGTATTCCTATACTAAACCCCCTACTACTTATAGTTGGAGGTGCTACTCACTACAGTATAATGACTCCATGGAGTGGTGGCTATGCTCCATGGAGAACAATGGCTGCTTTAGCAGAGACCGGGTTTATCTGGTTTTGTCAGGGTTGCAAACGACTGATACAGATGATATACTGGACATCAAATCTGGTAATAATTCTTAATCAATGGTTTTGGATTGAGCCTCAATGGAACATGGACTGAGTGCATTAACAAACTGGGGCACAGCTTAACCCGCACTGAGTGCGGCTGAACGTCTATGTACCCCCGGTTGTGTAGTGACAGAATCGTAAGTGGTCAAATTCTGCATGAATTTCAAGCTCCGCGCGCCTAGAATCTGGAATTGAGATTAACTTTTTAGGAGTTTATCACCATACACGCAACTTGGGTTGATATAACTGATTTATGTGGGTAGTAAAAATCATCCTCTCTTCGCCTAGCACCACTCAACACTCAAACAGTGGGTTATCTTCGTAATTAGCTGTATTTGTAGGTGATTACGTCCTGCCTTTGGGTTCACAGCGCTACGCAACGAACATTGCGGTTCGCTGATGATCATACACTCAAGATCGCAATGATATCCCCGGTGGCCTCAGGGAAAATGAAAATGCTTCCATTACATGCACTCCCGAGCTAACCAAAATATGTGTCATTGTTGATTAATTATGAGCAGCTCTACAACAATATAATGATTCAAGTCTTGCCTCTATCAAGACCGACATAGCGCGATAGACCTTTGGTCGGGCTTTAAACGAAGATTATCTCTTTGGGAAAAGATCAGAATTTACACTGCATGAACTACCGCCAGCAACGGGAACCAACGCCGTCACTCCCAAGGTCAACATCGATCAGACGTCAATGTTTCAAGTGTAAGATAGATCATATAAACATCTGCAGAGCTCTGGCTACATTTGATATTTCCTGCAAATTGGCAAGCGCTTCCCACGTTGACGGCCACTGCTTGGTTCTCCTTGATTTCCTGATAGATCCCGCAGATGGACTACCATTTAACTTAAATACTGTGACTCTCTTTTCTCTTTCTACAACAGCACCCCTTAACGATGGCACGTTTTGCGCTCTGGACAGGCTTACATCTGTTCGCATTTCCACTGCTTGCAGCAGCACGCAACCCGTCCACCCTCCAACGTGGTCTCGCTAAAAATGGCGTCCTCGCCTCCAGGAGCTCCTACTCCGGGAACGTAGCAAACTGCCCAGGTCAGGGTACCAGTGATTCCTCTATCTTTCATACTTGCTCATTCGCATCCACCAGGGTACACGCTCGGGTCACTTGTTGAGTCTGACACGGGCCTCACAGCTCAGCTCGCCCTCGCAGGTACTGCTTGTAATGCGTTCGGACAGGACATCCAAAATCTCACTATTCAAGTGACCTATGAAACTGAGTCTAGGTATTGCCCATTTCTCCCTTTCTTGTATATATGCTCTTCTGACCATGCTCACAGACTTCATGTCAACATCTTCGACACTTCCAACCTCCAGTTCACTATCCCAACCTCCGTCATCTCCCGCCCAGACCCTCCTTCCACTTCCTATATCAACGGTTCAGACCTGGTGTTTAATTATGACGCTTCGCCATTTGCATTTTGGATAACCCGTCGTTCTCTCCCCGATGCATTCCCCCTCTTCGACACTCGTCAATCATCCCTGCCTGCCACGCCTATTCCCCCATTCATGCCGGGTGACAATAGCACTGCACTGGATGGGTTCCCACTGGTGTTCGAGGACCAATACCTCCAGGTCCGTCCCTGCCTTTTTTGTTCCACTAACACGCGTGCTAACTGACCCACCCCCAGCTAACTTCCTCCCTCCCATATGGCACCAACATCTACGGTCTCGGCGAAGTGATCGCCTCCAGTGGATTCAGACGCGACATTGGCACAGGTGGCGGCGTCGGGACCCTCCAAACCATGTGGAGCGAGGGCAACGCAGACCCCATCGACGAAAACATGTACGGCTCGCACCCCATCTACCTCGAGCACCGCTACAATGAAACCACCGGAAAGTCATCCTCGCATGGGGTGATGCTCTTCAGCTCTTCCGGTGCCGACATCCTCCTCTCGACCCCGCAGTCAGAAAAGAATGTGTCGCTGATCGAGTATAGGCTGGTGGGAGGGGTGCTTGATTTTTATTTCTTTGCAGGACCGAGTCCGACGGAGGTGATCGCGCAGTATTCGGCTGTGACGGGTCTTGCGAATTGGCAACCTGCGTGGGGTTTCGGGTTTCATCTCTGCAGGTCAGTATTCTCCCCGGTTCGCCGAGCTGAAGGTGGTGAAGGAAATATAGATTGAGAAGGGTGGGGGAGGCTGAAGATGAAAGATGGGGATGGGCGGATGAACAGACCATATGAAATACTGATGCTGACGCGAATTTTACCACAGATGGGGCTATAACAACATCAGTGTCACACGAGACCAGGTGCTAAGCATGAGAGAAGCTAATATACCACTTGAGAGTGCGTACCCCTAGTTCTTCCCTCTCACAACCCCGCTTTTCCTACCCAATCACTTACTATGACTACTATGACCCCGTGCATACAGCCCAATGGAATGACATCGACCTCTACCACGCTTATCGCGACTTTACGTCCGACCCTGTCAGTTTCCCGGCGGACGAGATGAAGGAGTTTATCGAGGAGCTCGTGAGTCGTCTTTCTCTTCATTTTTCCCCTTTGTTTTGGTAAGGATGGGGTGGTCTGAGTGACCATCTTTGAGGGGTTTTGCTTTGGTTCTTGCATGCACCGCGCGATTGAGTGAATTATGCTCTCGAAACTGGTGTTCTTCGTGTTTTTCAGGGTTCTTTTTTCATGTTTCTCATATCACAATGCTGACCTGTCTCTATCTATGTGCCTTACAAATATAGGCGTCGAATAACCAGCACTGTGAGTCACGCTTTTCATGTTGAGCTGATGATTTAGATAATTGATGTTGGGCAACGATGGATAGATATTCCAATTGTCGATGCGGGCGTGGCGATTCTGAATAATGCAACCGACGTCGTACGTCCCTCCCTCCCCACCCCCTTCTTCCCATTTGTCTCCCTCTCCCCTTTCGTCACCCTTGTCCAGCTAACATAACCCAACCTGTGATTTTCACATCTAGTATTATCCCTACTCCCGAGGCTCCGAACTGTGAGTTTAAACGTGCTATGTTACCGCCTTCTGGTGTGGAGGTTCTGAGGTTGTCATGCGAATACTGACCTGTCTTGGATGATGGCGTGTAGGGACGTGTTCGTCAAGAACCCGGATGGTTCGGAGTATATTGGGCAGGTGTGGCCTGGGTATACGGTACGTTTTCCTTTGATTTTTCGTAATTTTTGTGTTGCTTAGTGGGAAAATAACTGGCTTTTTATTCGCTATCACTCAATTACTGGCGTCGTCTCATTAACCTCGACATTCGCCTCATTTCCTCACCACTTATATACATATCAAAACATTTGCCCTCACCTATCACTCACTCTCACCCCAAAAACATGCCTATACGGCCTTAATCACCCGCCCTTCGTCCTGCTCCATCACCTCCATCCACCTCTGCTACCGCTATACGCTCACTAGGTCTTCGGAGACTGGTTCGCGAACAACACCCAGCAGTGGTGGTCCGAGGCACTTCGTAATTGGAGCAATTATGGGATCGAGTTTTCGGGAATATGGCTTGATATGAACGAGGTTACTACGTTTTGTAATGGCTCTTGGTGAGTTTTCCTTCTTTTTCCTCTGTCTCTTTTTGCGTGTTGTTTTTTGTTTTTTGTTTTTCGTTCGAGTAAGATGGGGCTGGGGTATACAACGAATGGAATTCTGAGCTGACACGTTGTTGTTTGTTAGCGGGTCGGGCGCAAACACAGCAGACATGGACGTATCTATTGGTGCTGGTGAGGAGACGGGTGTGAACCTCAACGAGCCGCCCTACGCGATTCACAACAGTAAGTTCCCCACTCTTCACCCCTATTCTTGCGCATAAACTCAAGGACACCCGAAAAAAATAGCCTTGGGCCCATTGTGGGCGGGTACTCTCGCGACAAACGCGACGCACGCGGGTGGCTATGTCGAGCTTGACGTGCATAATATGTGGGGAATGATGGAGGAGAAGGCGACGCATGCAGCTGTATCGGAGATTCGCGCTGGGGAGAGACCGTTCTTGATCTCGCGCTCGACGTTCCCATCGTCGGGGCGGTGGTCGGGCCATTGGGTGAGTCGCCCGTCCTGTTTTCTTCGGGCGTTAAATGTTGTATGGCTGACAATTTCAATGATTTGATTTGATTGTCAATTGTCAAAAGCTCGGAGACAATTTTAGCAAGTGGCAATATATGTACTACAACATCCAGGGTGTCCTGCAGTTCCAGATTTACCAAATCCCGTTCGTAGGCGCAGATACTTGTGGATTCCGTGCGTCTCCATTTTTATTACTTATCCCATCCCCATCATGTTTCTTGTACTGAGAAGATGCTGAAAATGCATTATTTTTCTGTACAGATGATAATACAAGCGAAGAACTCTGCAACCGATGGATGCAGATGTCAGCGTTTGTGCCATTCTATAGAAACCATAATATGCTTGGAATGTTGTCGCAGGAGCCTTACCGCTGGCCTAGCGTGGCAAATGCATCCCGAATTGCTATTGCGGCACGTTACTCGATGTTACCATACTGGGTGAGTCTCCTTCACTACTAGCTGCTAGTCCATGCTCACAATCCGTCTAATCATACTATTTATGTGTAGTTGACGCTGTTCGCCAACGTATCCACGATCGGGACTCCACCCGTTAGAGCCCTGTTCTACGAGTTCCCTGACGAGCCGGAGCTCTTTGAGGTGGACAGGCAGTTCATGGTAGGCCCTGATATTCTTGTCACCCCCGTCTTGACGCCGAATGCTACTACCGTGGATGGTACGTCATTCTTTCTTTCCTGTCTCTACCAGACATTCATGGCCTCAATAATGAATTCACTAATCATACCATCGCAGGAATCTTCCCTGGCCGTGGAAGTGTCATATGGAGAGACTGGTGGACGCACGATGTGGTGAATGCGACTGTGGGCGGGAACACCACGCTCTCTGCACCACTGAGTCACATCAACGTCCACATTCGCGACCACTCCGCCCTCCTCCTCCACGCCGAGCCTGCTTACACGATCGCAGAAACGCGTGCGGGTCCCTACGCGCTCCTTATCTCACTTGACACTGCTGGCACCGCGTTCGGAAACGCCTACGTTGACGATGGTATCAGCTCGCCGCCTGGTCCAAGCACAGTCTTGACGTTCACAGTTGCGAATGGAGAGCTGAATGTAGAAAGTAAAGGCGAGTGGGCAATTGAGCAGATGTTGGAGGAGATCACTGTGCTTGGGGTGCAGGTGAAGCCGACAGGGGTGACATTGAGTGGGGCACCTGTTAAAGAGTGGACGTATGAGGAAGGCCAGGAAGCGTTGGTTGTTTCTAATATTAGCGTGGTTTTGAACGAGAGCTCGACGTTGGCGTGGAAGTGAAAACCGAGTGTAAATGGTTGGATTTTTTGGTCGATCTATAGTGCTATTCAACGCAATGTTTCCTAGCTCATTTCTTTACTTTCTATGATCTCTTCTCTGTTGATTAGACAAGGACAATGCCATACTAGTACCAGTCTGGAAATCGTTCGTTGCTTTTGAGTGGGACTAAAACTTCCAGAGAAGAATAACTTAAACAGTAAGATCAGCGAGTCTAGATCATCATGACTTTGCTCTCAATACGAATCCTAAACTTACGAGCGGGATAGTCTGGAAATTTGGAGAGGCGAATTCCTTGGGTGAAATCGTGAGGAAGGGGTAAAACTGAGCTTCTTGTCGCTGGAAGTGAAATCTTAAGAGGTCCTGGAAGGAGAACTCTTCACGTCGAGGCTTGCCATGGAAAGGAGCTTTCAAATATAAACCATGACCTTGTATCAACGTCTCCCATAACGCACCCCTTGTACGTTGACCTTGAAATTTTAATTCGCCTCCTCGTAACGGTAGTATGTGCGTTCAAGTTGCAATCCATCATCGATGCCCCAGCTGCAAGAGGCCTGCCTGGCTGAAACTGTAGACCACAAAAAGATACTATGCCGGACTACTTAGTTGCACTCCTTTACCGTGGTCATGAATATGTAAGCGCCCAGGAGCTTGAATTACCATCAACTTCGCAAGTTCTATGGTGAGCACCGCCGACTGATGGGATTTAATAAGTTAGTCCGAATAGCTCAAGAAAGAGTATGGTCCTTGAAGCTTGAAGGCCTTTCGTACCAGTTTAAGTTCAAGTTAACGCCAATCCAAGTGGAAAGAGCATAACTTATAAGAAGATCACGATCACGCAAGCATCAGGTTCTAAGCACGGTGTATCAAATGTCAGCGTTTTGCACTTCTGTTCTGCTCCATCCTTGAGAACCTAAATTGTGAGGTTTGTAGAGCAGCCATAACAACGAAACGAACCTACACTAGAACGCTTTGGCGATGCCGTAGTACCCACCATTCCTGGACGTCATCATGTGGATGCGCCCGCCCCTCTTGTTTACTTCGCAAATTCTATGACGAAGACTGATACGGCGGAGAAGAACCATATGTATTGCGTTTGGATACGATGAGCGGTTGAGTAAATCCATGATGGGAAAAACGGCGGTGCTGTCAATGAATAAGCCTGACTGCAGGGAGCTGAACACGAAAACGGTACACCTTTCCGAACCTCTTTCAACAAAAATCAGTAAAACAACTGGTGTAAAAATCAAAGCGAAGCACCGATGTCCTTGAAAAATGAAACCTAGAAGAATCAATTGGCATGAGTGAGATCAATGAGACGGCGTCAAGTCTAGTTTCTTGAGGAGACAAGCAAACTATCAAAATATTAACGCTGTTCACCGATGGGGTCGAAAGTCCTGTGCACTGTATAATGCGCCATGAGTCTTAGGGTTTAGTATCCAATGAACCACTCAATCGTAGATTATACCCCACCGACCGCAGAACACATCGCAAAAGTATAACACTGATTATATTCATCCAAGAAAACGAAGTCCGAAAGGTACCCACAAACCAAAAAATCCAAAACAAGTTATGTGTGGTAATGTAGGCCGATGAACACAGAAATCAAAAAGTCCAAGATAGGGCAAGGCTATAGACGAGCCCAAATTATTTTGAAATCAAGAGCTGCTTACGATGACGACGTTGCGTTCGCAGTTTGAACCCTGCCAATGAGGTATATCAGAAATTACTGTAAAGTTAAAAAAAAGTAAAACTATGCGACGCACTGGATGAACCAACGCTGGTCATCGGCAACGCAGTTACCACCGTGTGCATTTTGGGTCGCCTGGCAGTTGAAAGCCACATATTCCACAACTTGGGCCTGTATAATATAACAAGATCATGAGATAAAATTCTCGTCGCCCCAAAAAATCGAAACACGATAATGAGTTAAGCAAACTTACCCAGTCTTGGTTGCAGTAAGTCAAGTTGGTGGTAGCCTGATTGAGGAAGAAGGTCTCGCAGGTCTGGTATTGCATGTAGACACCGGTGGTGTTCTATCCGCCAGGCGTGAACCGTCAATACGAAGCCGCAGAATGTAGTTTGGGCATCGAGTCTACTTACCAAGGTCGCATTGAACGTGGGGACGCTGTTGTTGGTTTCGTACAACAAGGCATTAGAGATGACTTGGCAATCGTTAGGGTCCGGTCCTCCGCCCGACGGGGTGAAGCAGTTGGTCGTGCCTAAAGCGGAAATGGGTGGTCATGTGCGCTAAGTCAGACACAGCGGGCCAAACTTACAGTTTGCTCCACAAACATTGGTCGAGGCATTCGAGGCTAGCTGAGGGCTCGGGACGAGGCTGTTAGAGCACGAAACGAAGCTAGACTTGACGTCCTTCGTAGCTCCGATGTAGGACGTAGAGACGACCTTTTCATTTTCGCACACGAATGCTGGTATCAACAAGATGGTGCATCAGTAAAGAGCACTAGGTATGACCAGTGAGTATTACGCAGATAAACTCACCGGAGTTGACGAGGGGCAGCAGGGTAGCGGCCAAAGGCAAAGCGAAAGCAAAGAATTTCATGATGATCGTATGTGGTAAACTGAAGAGGGAAGAGGGTGAATAAACGTTGCTGTTGATTCTACGACAGCATTTTTATACGACGAAGCTGAAGAGCTTCCTTAGCCTACTCCACTAGCACATGGAATGTTTTAGACACTTTCACCAGATCACCAGAAGAATTAGACTGGTTTGGGCATGACGACCCCAGAAATTTGATGTCGAGAAAGCTGTAGTAAGTCCAAGGCGACAACAAGTAATGAAAGAATCAACTATGTGTATACCGTACCCTGCATCCGTGTAGCAGAAGGAGTGGTCCAAATTCCCAAGGCGGAAAAACAAGTCCGATAAACAGTAGATTTACGACAGCATTTGCTACAAGGAGAGCGACTGCAAAGGTCCGAAACTTGAGATCAGAAACGAAGGTGCTATAGTAGCTCCGCAAAGCACATGATGCTGGGTCCGTTGAGACATGGCGGGGGAGAAGATGGACAGTCCTGTCAGTCCATAATGTGACAGGTGATTTTTGACTGCTATAGCGTCCGTGATGGTCACTGGACGGGTGAACGAGACCGCTTCACGGTTAATGGCCGACCTCCATGTATGAAACCTACAGTAATTGCGGTCTCGATCACCGTAAATATTGCCAGGAACACCGCAGACGGTGGCTCTACTATGAATGAAATGCTCATGCAGCTATCGTCATGACAATTTCAAGCTGATGATAAAAAGAAAAGGGAACATGCACGCCCTAGATGAGGCTGGAAGAAGTGTCCTTTTTTCATGTGAGACATTCGAGCGAATGTACGAGATAGAAGTCATAGGTGAAACTAGCAAGTTAAGAAGACACCCAGAGAATTCGAGACGGATGAGACGTTCAGATGCTTGATGAGGCTTGAAGCATCGTTTAGCTGCTTTCTCAGCCCATTGTCAATGCAGTGTTGGCGTTCGCAACCACTAGGGCTCCTCGTGAAACACAAGTCATACAGCGAAAGGGAAAGGCTAGCACTGGGGTCGTGTCTGAAGAACTGAGAAACGAAAGGCGTACTTCGTTCGGACAATGCCGCCAACCCAGAACCGTCGGCTGTGTCCGCTTTATGCTTGTTTGCGCACATTGTCGAAGCTTTCACCTTGAACACTTTCCATTTCTGGCAATGTAAGCCTTTTGTTCATGTCAAGTGATCATTGTGGGCTTTATCAAGGCTTAATCGAAAACATGCGTTCAACATGCTGCTTTGTACTAAATCCAACTTGGGCAATGCCGACTACAATAAGCACAAGATGAATAGACAAAAGGTACCCGACGTACACGTTGCGACGGTGTGTAGCGAAGTTTATCTCCCCGCACCCTCAGGCCTCCTTGCATAAAGTGCTCGTACCGTTATTTTTACCCTCCCCCGATTTTTATTTTCCTTCTCCGTTGACTGGATCATCATCTTTGCAGTGCGAAATTCATCAGTATACAGCTCAGTAGCGGCCCTTTCCCTCCTTAACAGCAAAATGCTCACTCACCTCGCCTCGCTTACTCTCATATTTATTATATCCTTGACTTTGCTGCCTACTGCTAGGGCTCACGGTTATGTTGCCCAAGTGACTATAGATGGAACTCTATATGTGGGTAACGTCCCAAACGCATCGCCTACACCTTCCATCGTCCGCCAAATCAATAATGTCGCACCCGTGAAAGGTGCCAACAATTCGAATCTCAACTGTGGGCAGGATGCTCAAAAGGCTGCTCTTGTGGCCTCCGCGAATCCGGGGAGTAAACTAACGTTTAGTTGGAAGGGAGGAGATGGCAGTGACGTGAGTCCTCTTTGCTATAAATAAACTGCGATTGCCTCAAGCCATGCTAACCTCGTGAATGTCTAACAGTGGCCTCATAATATAGGCCCCATCATGACCTATATGACGCCTTGCCTCAACACGACGTGTGATCAATATGATTCAACGAACGCCATGTGGTTCAAGGTCGACGAGGTGGGGTTGGAATCAGGCAACTCGACCTGGTATCAGCAGAACCTCAGTGAGCTATTAATATTCGGCCATATGAAAGACTGACTCTAATCTGTGAGCAGTGAATGGCTATCCAGCAAATGTCACTATCCCAGAAACGCTTGAACCTGGAGAATATCTCATCCGCCACGAGATCATCGCACTGCACCTTGCCAACGAAATGGGCGGTGCTGAATTTTACCCATCATGTACCCAAGTTCAAGTCAAGGGATCGCAGACTGGAGGTCCGCTGGCGAATGAGACGGTCACGTTCCCTGGTGGCTACAGCGATACCGCTCCAGGGATATATGATCCAAATGTAAATTATTCCTATGTTTTAACTTTACTTTAAGCTAACCTGCACCTGTGTCTCGTAGATTTTTAATACCCCTCTAGACAATTACGTCTTCCCAGGTCCTCCTATAGCACAATTCGTCCTAGATTCCTCCGGTTCTTCCTCAAACTCTTCATCGTCCTCCTCACCTAGCCCAACATCTAGTTCTCCGGTACCACTGCCATCTAGCACAGGCTCTGGCGCTGGTAATGCATCGTGCAAGCTGCGCGTTCAAAGTATGAACGTCCAGCGCCCGCGGAGTGTCAGTCGTATAATGCGAGATTTGTTATTCTAGTCGCAACCTTGTCATGCAAGCTATTGAGCGGTGCTGGGTTCTGCTATAGTCTTCTAGATATCTGTTTTCGACTTTTTTTTGTTCCTTGTAGACCAATGAACGTGTATCTTAAATTATAGTGTAGCACTAGCAATCCTCAATTCAATCACTTTGTCGATCATTTCATGACTAGTATATCTCGAGCATTCTACCGAGGATTCAAAGTGTCGACGTAGTTACAAGGCAGCTTAGCACCAAGACGCCCTGGCCCCGCCCGGCGCAAGACCACTCTGAAATCAGTACCAAAATACGTATCTAGGCAAAGTTTTATCATGTATGGAAAGTTGACCGTGAGGAAACAGTAGGAGGACTGCTGCTAGACTGTGCATTTGATAAGGACGTGTTGTTAATGATATTTCATAGCGGCAATCAATAAACCCAGTTACAGCTCATCTGAGGAGGAGAATCCACAAAAGGTATATCGGTTCGCTTAGTAATGTTATTATGTAAGCGCATAGGGTGGTGGTGAGTTCACTGGTCTTCTCCGAGTCATGGGTTGGTTACGGTTACTTACTACCTCTGTTCAGCATGCCCCAACCGTAAAAGTACAGTATCAAAACAGAACGCACCGGTAATTAACCCTGGACAACCCATCTTTACCAGACGGACAATCGCCAGTAATCATGCTCCGGATATCCATCACTCCGGAAATAACTATCGTGGCCAAACGGGACCTAAATAACAAGAAGTGTTCAAAGGGCGAAATCATTTAAACGCGAAGGCGCCCTGTTCTTTTGACATGCTGCTTTGTTCCATGGGCCTACAACGAGCAGTGATAGGGTGATACACGGCAAGCAATCTAAAATAACCACCCATATCCTTTTCGGGCCTTGTAAATGGCGGAACATGCACCAGAATCAACCGCGAGGCAATGAGGCTGATGGTCATGCGCGAAATGGAAGAAATGCGATTTGGTTGTCTTTACCATGCTTTATACTTGCTGGTGGATGATATAAAAATTGTACGTCCATTCACATCTGGCTGTACCTCGCCTGGGTATTTTCGCCGAGACCTCCACTCTCACTTTTGTTCCCCATCCACAGATCTTTTCTCACACAAAATATCTCTAAGCTCGTAGAGCGAGCTGCTTATCATTCTTCTGTCGTCGTTCGAACATATTATTCTCGTCATGACAGCCTCATCTTCTCTCGTTCTCTTTCTGTTTGCGATTATCCCTTTCGTCGCCTCCCATGGCTTTGTTAAGGAGGTCACCATAGATGGGACGAGTTATCAAGGTAATTTACCGGGTGGTACTACGAGTCCAAGTATTATTCGACAAATATCCACCATTGGCCCTGTACAACCGGCTACCAACCCCAGCATAAATTGCGGCATGAATGCCACACTGGCCTCTTTGGTGGCATCTGCAAATCCAGGGAGTCAGCTACAGATACACTGGGTTGGGTCCTCCGATGGCACTTCAAATGTAAGGGTATCGTTTGCTAGTCATGCCTAGCAATATACTGACTTCGACGAATACAGTGGCCCCATGAAACTGGGCCTATCATGGCGTATATGGCAGAGTGTGTCAACACCACATGCGACAAATACGATTCTACCAATGCGGAATGGTTCAAAATCAATGAACTCGGAATGGATGGGAGTATTTGGTACCAGACCCTTATCAGTACGCCCTATACATAATCTCAGGTGGTGGCGCGCTGACGGTTTTATCCCAAAGGTCAGGGTGCTTGGGCCAATCTGACCCTTCCCTCCAACATCGCTCCTGGAAACTATCTCCTACGACACGAACTTATCTCGCTGCAGAATGCAGGCTCAATCGGTGGAGCTGAGTTCTACCCATCCTGCACCCAGCTCAAGATTGGAGGGAGTCAAAATGGCGTTGCTCCTTCAGACGATCTTTGCACGTTTCCTGGTGGCTATAATGAGACTGCGCCTGGAATTTATGACCCTGACGTACGTCTCTTTTGGCAAACGTGTATATGGTCCGATAGTTGATGATATACTGAGCAGGTTTACAATCCTGGTTCCACATATGTCTTCCCTGGGCCCCCTGTAGCTACACTCGTTGCCCCAGGCACGAGCTCGCCTGCTCCCAATTCCACGTCCACTCCTACGCAAGCACCAAACCCAACCAGTACGTCTGGTGGAACAACTGGTGGAACTTCGTCTGGCGGTGCGGGCTCATCTTCGGGTAACACAGGTACCTCTTCTGGAAACAGCGCGTCCTGCCAATTACAGCCATCTAACAACTTGAACTTGCGTCGACGTCATCTGAGCAAATTTAAGCGTCACTTGTTCTAGGTGCAACTACCCGCAGCGCCCACATGCCTCTTCTTCGACGGGGCGTTAATTTGTCGATTATTGTAGGAATATGTGCGGGTTTCAAGTTTATTACTTATTATTAAGGTCGTGTTCTTTGTAGATCAAACGAACATGTAGAGATGTATGTATAGCTATTTTGTATCACCAGTAGCACTGTAATTGCTTTAACCTCGTACTCCTTTTCTTCGTGGTGTGATGATCGTGAGGCTGGGTTCATGAAAATGTGCTGTTTAGATGTGGCGAGGTTGCATCGCGCGTACTGTAATCTCCGATGTCATGATATCATCCCTTCATCTAATCTTAACTAGTAACGGTCGACCACTACCTTGATTGCTTTTTTCTGCGGTGTCTAATATCATCTTCCACATTCTTGTAAAGCTGCAGTAATGATATTTCATTAGCAGCTTATGGTATTTGAAAATACACGGTAATTATGATTGCTGACTCACTTCAATACAACAGGAAGTATAGAAGGCGGGTACGCGATGATGATGATTGAAGAGTGCCTTCCGTTCATTCCTTGGCTGATACTAGCTGTGCCAACTCAAGGAATGATTCCACGATAAGGTCTACCTCACCCCCATCCTTCTTCATCCGGACTTCAGCTCTGACGGTAGGAGAATCTTCTGAAGGTCGAGGAACATATACAGTTTTGAACCCCGCGCTAGCTGCTCCACGTAAATCATAGATGTGTGCAGCTACCAAGGCTATTTTGTGAGGTGGAAGAGATAGATGATATGCTGCGCCGAGATACACTTTGGGATTACTTAGAACGCCTCGAGTAAGTTTTAGATCGCAGCACACAGTGCTAAAAGACACACGGTTTATATGAACTGAACATCTCAGCTGAAAAAATAGCATCCCATGGAAGATTGGCGTGTTTAGCCTAGAGGTAATATAGAGTCAGTTAGGAGCAATGAGCTATGTAAACAGATGTGTCATTGACCATATCAATCAAAAGCCTTGTGTTCCCATTAGACAGTGTTGCTATTATCTTATTCTTCTTTAAGGCCTCTAGTCCTTTACTAGTGTCCGAATAACCTGTGGAAGTAATGAATACTACTACCCCTCCCATCATAATTACAAGCACAGTACCATCTAAGCGATGCCAAATTTGGGAAAGATCTTGACGTTCCTCTTCACTCCAGACCGAAGATAAATGAGTCCAACGCGGGGATTCGAGCATTGTATCGAGTATCTGAGTCCAAGATCATGTCTGAATGAACTGCTTTAGAAAAAGCATTTGATTACTTGTCTGTGAACGACGTCGATATTCAATGAACCTTCTCCCCCTTCAGCAATGCGCCTCCTTATGAGAACAATCAGTTCATAGCTATTCGCAGGTCACGATACAGACGCGAAGGACGTACACGTTCGTCTTGTATCCATCTCTCCATTCTTCAGCGAATGCTGCGGCATCACCAGAGTCTGCAACACTTCGCTGTTGGAAAATATGTACGTTTTCTGATAACAGGTTGATCAATACCTGAGATCAAGCCATGGCTTCTTTGCTGAATCTGCCTGCTGACAGTAGTATGCCAATCCACCGTCGTTCCGAATACGTCGAAAACAAAGGCTTCCACCTCTTGAAGAATGTCACTGCTTGCCATGGGTACCGTAGCGTTTGCACAAGTGGGAGTTTCGTCAATAGAGATCGGGAACTTATTTTAGGAACAAGTACTAAATGGTCTCACTTAGCACGCAAGTCAGTCGCAACGTTAGCAGTCCTCCTCAGACGAGTACCTGTATTGAAGGTTAACGCTATTCTGTGGTCAAACGGCAGGCGATATAATTCTGACCTGAAAAAGTTGAGCAACGAAGTCAAGACAAAACCATACACTGAAGGGGAGTCGAACCCCTGCCGCTTGCTTGGAAGGCAAGCATGATAACCGCTTCACCATCAGTGTTTACATGCAGCTTTTACAACACTGCCATAACAACACTGCAAGCCAAATTGCCACATAATAACATGAGGATATCCTGCGGGGTTCGGTTCTTCTCCTCTGGTCGTCACTAACTAGTACTAACTGGTTACATTTGCGAGTATTGTAATAGGGTGTAGTATGAAGATATAACACTAATGTACATTCAGGCAACTGCAAAAAGTGCAGCTTGAATAGCTTTCGCCACATCTTCTGTCGATAACTGAAGTCCAGCATTGCGATTTTCTCCTGTATCATCGCAGACACCCTGCGGTGGTGGCCATGAACAGCACTCTCCAACAGCAGGTTGGGGCCACCCCGGCACGCCCAAAGCAGAGAGGGGGGTTAACGAGTTAACAGAGCCAGAGAACCCAGATGACGGCGGAGGCGTACAAATGAGGTCGTCTGACATCCTCTTGTATGGAGCATGAAGGCGGGAAACGTCGCCAACATACATTCGTACGGCGGGCTTTTCCACAGCCTTCTCTTTCCCTTTACCTTTAATTCTCCCTTCACGAGAAGAGCTCGCAGGATCGTGACCACCTTCTACATCTCGATAAGATTTGATTCCCCACCATGTCTGCGGTTCACCAGCAAAAATCCTTGCCTTCTTGCGCTTCGTGGTACTAGATTTGGAAGGAGAGGCATGCACTGGGGGCTGTTGTGCCATGACGACATGGTCATCGTTCTCGTCCCCTACGAAAGCTGCCCCTACCTTCTCACCTGTAATACCGTATACAGTGGCCCAGTACGTTGTTGGTATTGGTACGACTGCAGTGGAAGTAGTGGGTTTCGGTGGGGATTGATGCCGCTCAGACGAGTCTGCCACCCGAATAATTTCCTCAGGCACAGGGAGCTTCTTCTTTTGTCTGAACTGCGCGAATGCAGTCCCTCGCATGGAAATATACTCCTCCCCACGTTTACGGCTGCATACTGAGCAGTTGCAAGTATCTGTGCAGCATGGACAGACGAATGTGGGATGATATGGGTCAAACTCGACCTCAGGGTACCTGGAGACCATATCAGACATCAGCAATCGAACAAGAAAAAATGAGAGGACTTTGTTACCTTGTCAGAATGCAATTTTCGCAGAACCTCTTGCCACACATGCGTTTATCTGGATGTATGATGGTGCATCTCATCTTTTCGCGGAATGTAGCCCTCCTGCAATGGTGACAAAATGTCCTCTCCTCCGTGTCATCGATTCCGTTCTTTTCAGATGGTGCACGCCTAGCTGTGGATGGAGGTCGAGAGTGTACACTAGGACTGCTTTCAGAGGACGAGTCGTCGTCAGATATCCCTTCCGGCGGTGACATTTTTGACAAGCGAACTTTCAGCGAGGGAATGGTACTACGACGTCCTCTACGGACCCCAGCATCTTGATCAAACGAGGAAGCAGTCGACTTGGACCTCGCAGATTTCGTTCGCTTTCGAGGCTTGGCCCTCTTAATAACTTCTTCTGATTGCTCATCATCGGTGGAAGGGGCAGTATGAAAGTCAACATGTGAAAGGGGTGAAGACGATAACGGAGAACTTAGAACAGGCTCTTGGACTTTGACGGATGAAACGGGAGGTCGGGGTCGAGGTATTGTAATAGTAGGGCCAGATGGTAAGGGAGGAGGCGACGGAGAATGAGGCTGAGACTCCGTTGCTGAAGTTCCTCCACCTAATAGCGAAGGATCGATTGTACCGGAACCTACTGTAGTTTCTATTGGAGAGTCCTCCTTTAAATCGATAGGAAGGTCGCCAAACTCCGCAGACTCCGGGGGCAATAGCCACGAAGCAAAGCTATCGTCTAGTTGTGAGTTGTGAGAATCGTTGACGTTGTTAGCGCCTTCAAGGAATAGACCCGTTCTAATGTGGTCAGGATCGTCGTCGTAACCCGGTGAGTGTGCACCTAAGATGGGATCCGTAGCGTAACGTCCGAGAGGCCCTTGAGTAGCTGACAATAAGGGGTCGTATCTATTGAGATGCGCTCCATCCAAGTTTCTAAATGCCATTGGACTCCGATCGGGAAACATGTCACGAGTAGGAAATGAGAACATGAATGTATCCTTCTGCAGCCCCTTCGATGGTGAGCTCATCATCATCGAGAGGGATGCGCTGCCGAGGTCATTGAAATAATCATTCATATCCACATTCTCGTCCAAACTTGCGTCGACGCCCATAGCATCATCGTAATCGAGCCATGGCGCTTCACTTGGCCTAGATGAAGACGTATACTCATCATCCAACCCTCCCAACGACTGTGATGGGCCAGCAGAAAAGTCTGATCGTTCTCCCCCCTGGCTTATATCTGTTGATAAGCTTGTATTGGCCGCTTGTTGCGAATCGCGCGGGGTTCCTGGGTGCTGGGCATTTTCTTTGGAGATAGACCGACGCGGAAGGGATAGGACTGCAGCCAGATCTGGTCTCTTGCGAAGCAAAGCACTCAATACAGAGGGTATCTCACGATCCCGATATACTGCATCGAGTATTATAGGGGGTGGTCGCAGTGACAAGCTCTCTCGCAAAGCATTGGCTTGCTTTCGCAGAATGTAGGTATGAATATGTCGAGTGGAGGCGGCAAAGGTAGCATTGGTGAAATCTGGGGGTTCATGTATATCTATAATGGTTGGCGGCCAGTATAGATCCATGAGCTCATCCATGTGCGAGACAGATGCACTTGAACCTTCAAATGGATTGGGTTTCCCTTTCTTCTGTGGAGGGGCAAGATCATCGTTATCGTGTTCCCGCTCTTTGCCTTTCCGTTTGAGAGAACTGGACGTATCTGAAACTATAACATCAGATATTGCTGTATCGTCGCCTTCGTCGTGCTCCCACTCTTCACCTATCCGTTTGGGGGAACTAGATGGGTCTGGAAGGACACCGTTAGTTGCATCGCTGTATAGGGCAAGTTCATGTTCATCGACATTATAAAGCTCGCGCTCTTCGCCTACTCGTTTGGGAGAACTGGACAGGTCTGGAACTACATCATCAACTGCGTCATGGGATGGGATGGGGTCATCGTCCTTATCATGTTCCCGCCCTCGGACTATCTGCTTGGGAGAACTGGACGTGTCTGGAAGAGCGCCATTAGCCGCATCGTGGAATAGGACAGGTTCATCTACGTTCTCTAGCTCCTGCTCTTCGACTATCCGCTTGGGAGGGTTGGACGGAACTGGAAGTACAGTACTAACTTCATTAGGAAGTGAGACTTGTCCATCGTCGTTGTGAAGCTCCTTTTCTTCGAATATCCGTCCGGGAAGACTGGATGGGACTGGAGGTACTGTATTAGCTGCAACTTGGGGCGGGGCGGGTTCATCATCGTTATCGAGCTCCGGTCCACCGACTACCTGTTTGGGAGGACTGGGTAAGGCTGGAATAACACCATTAGCTCCATTGTTGGATTGAACAGGTTCGTCGTCGTTATCGTCCTCCCGCTCTTTGCCTTTTCCGTTAGGAGAACTAGGTCGTTCTGGAAGAACCCTGTCAACTAGGGAAACCAATTCATCGTCGTTATCACGCTCTCGCTCTTTGCCTTTCCGTTGGAGAGAACTAGACGTATCCGGAATTGCGCGGTGACCTGCATGACGGAGCGGGACAGAATCGCCGTCGCTATCTTGCTCCCGCTCTTTGCCTTTCCGTTTCTGATGACTAGATGATTTTGAAGGTTTGCTGTGAGCTGCATTGTGGAGTAAAGCGGCTTTGAGCGCATCGCTAACAGAGAGATGTGTCGCAGCGCCAGTTCCAAGTTGCGGGCAAGAAGTTTCTGAAGTAACGGTACGGCCGGTCGCAGTATCGACCAACGGTTTATAGTCTTCCTTTTTGCGGCTGGCGGAGAGTGGCGGAACGGCTATGTGTGAAAGGAATCGCCGCCTATGAGGATGAGGCGCAGGAGGGGGAGTGAAAAGGCAACGGAGCGGATCCGAGGACGAGGACATAGACGATGATATGCTTATCACTGATGCATCACGCCTGGCACGTAAATGGTTATCTTCGGGAATTTTCTGTAATAAGAGAGAGGTAGAGTTAGCACGACTCAATAGATGCAATGAAGCGACAAAGGGTCTTGGGAGTCATTGCTAACGTGAGATAATTCAGAGGTAGCCGAAAACGATGATAGAAATCAATAAAAGCAGAGGACGGTAAGATACTTACGAGCATATCATCGACGCAGATCACTTCAATGTCACTATCCTCATCATATGTGTGCTGCACGTGAGTAGATCCAGAAGCCTGGGGTTTCGAGATTTGACCAGAACTCCGCAATTTAGGACCAGGCTTTGCGGCTCGCTGAACGGCATGATCCTGGGTTGATCTGCCTGAATTCTCAAGCAGGAGTGGCGGGACGTGACGTTGATTGGTGTTCGGCTTGGAGATAGTAGGAGGTGGTGAAGGTGATGAAGATGAAAGAACTATGATTTCTATTGGCTTGCTACGTTTCGACTTTAACGCGAATGAAAGGTGAGGACAATATAAGAGACGAAAGAGGGTGTGTACTCACCACGGTCGAAGAACTGCCCGCCTTCTGGTTTCTGCCGTTATATGCTACTTCGCGATTATTTTGTTTACGAATATATGAGGAAGACGACGATATGGGATGTACACGCTACAACATGATGAACAATGTTCAGGCGAGTTAGGGACAAGGAAGCAAAGAACAACGCACGTGTAAATTAGCCTTGATGTTGGAAGTGTGGGCTCTTCTTGCCTTTAGATTACGTTCTGATATGTTGCCTTGTACAGTATTGACATTGTGAGGTGGTGTATCGGGAGCTATCTTGTCGTGTAGCGCAACAGGAGGATTCGGGGATAGAGGTTGGACGAGGGTGGTGGTCGAGGAGGATGCAGCGTTCTGAGTTGAAGCCCGCCGTGGACGTTTGTGACGGGTCTTCCCGTTTGCGAGGTTTGCTAGCGACGAGCCAGCCATGATTTACTCTCGTTCTCTCCAAAAGAGTTTCCCTTCACCGTGTCGCGATGACTGAAGCGTCGGTGGCGGGAAATCAGTATCAAAAACGCGTGCCGGAAGTTGCCGTGAATGGACTGCCTTATACGATACTCCGAATTAGTCTCACCAGCACTTTGCAATGAACCTTTGAGCATGATTATGCACTGAAGGTCCATTGTCGAGTTTGAGTAACAAGTTAACTTTACAGTAATACGCCCATACCATCAAACTTCCAGCAGGGCGCTCAACATCCTTATAGCGACCACATGACCGCGATGATGCGTGTTGGTGTGACCAGCGCCAATTACTTCGTCAAACTGTGTCCGGCTCCAGACTGGTATACAGAGTAAGCTTGCGCCATCGCACTCGGAGAGCTCGCAATACCTTTTTCTTCCCAAAAATCCTTATCTTTGCTCCTCGATAATGGTCATCCGGTCTCTTGACAATCACGCAACATCACGTTTCTACCATGTAACATACGGACCACTCGACAGAATTGGAGAAAGAGACATATCTTGACTGAACTTATTCTCATGAGCCATCTTGCTTCACTATTGCATGCTCAAGGCACGCTATTCCAGGCATATAAATGGATAACGTCAACGAAATATAGCATTCGAAAGTTCTGTACCAGACTTGACCCATCTCTATCTTTCACAATGGCTCCTTCCGTCTCCGAGTTAACAGCACAAGTCCAGGAGGTCAACCTTAAGTCGAGTACTAAGGGGGTATGCTAGTTAATTTTACAGTTAATTTTTCACCGCTAACTTTTATTTTTTCTCACAGCAGAGCGAACCCCTGTACCCGCTTTACTATCCTCATTTCGACTTGAATGAGAAGTTCCCTCCGACTCAGCTGTTCGGTGCGCCAGACTTATCGCTGAGCTAGGAGTATCACTGACAGAGTTCGTTCCCAGATCACGTCGACCCAGGCACTCGTGCTGATCGTGCCAAGCCGCACATCCTAACTCCAGAGACGAAAGTCCGTAACCTCAGCACGTACTTAGGTACCGAAGTCAGCGGGGTCCAGATCTCACAACTCAGCAAAGAGGGCCTTGACGAACTCGCTCTCTACGCTGCCGAGAGAAAGGTACTCTTATTCCGGAATCAAGATTTCAAAGACATTGGTCCCGAAAAACAGATTGAGATTGCCAGGCAAGTTTATACGATTCACTGAGCTTTTCGTGTGTTTAATGATCTCTTTCTCCGTAGGCACTTTGGTCCCATTCAAAGGCACCCCACATCTGGAAATGTGAAAGGATATCCCGAATTCCATGTTGGTCAGTGGTGTTTATGCTAGGTCTCGACGTCGTTTGTGCTCACATGATTTTGCAGTCTATCGTGATACCGAGCATGATAGATTCAGGGACCACTTTGGAAATAGCCGTTCCAACCTTATTGACTGGCATTCTGACATTGTAAGCAAATCAATCCCATGGTCTCTTTCTGAAGGGCTCACGATAGCACATTTACAGTCATATGAGAAACAAACACCTGGAACGACATTCTTTTTCATCCTTGAGCAGGTTCGTACCTCTGCGATACGGGAGACGGTCGTGTGCTAACTGTAATTCTTCTGGCAGCCTGAAATCGGCGGAGACACGCTCTTCGCTTCTCAGGTAGAGGCCTATAACAGGCTTTCACCCGAGTTTAAGAAACGTCTAGAAGGCCTGCGGGCTTTGCATAGCGCTGTCCGCCAGGCTGATGAGTCCGCGAAAAAAGGCGGTCCAGTCAGGCGAGAACCAGTTGAGACTGAGGTGAATACTCAGACTCTTTGTTGCTGCCCTTTCTGCATGGCTAAAACGAACTCGTAGCATCCTCTTGTACGCCAACATCCTGTTACGGGTGAGAAAGCGCTCTACGTCAACCAAGGTTTCACAAGGCGCATCGTTGGTTTCAAAAATGAGGAATCAGAGTATCTCCTGAAATTCCTCTATGATCACATTGCCAAGAACGCAGACATACATATTCGCGCCACTTACGAACCCGGCACCGTCGTTGTCTGGGTGAGTGGTTGGACTGAGACTTGGGGTTTCATATTTGACAGCGATGCTGACCGATCTTTGACTCGAACCCACAGGACAACCGTGTTACCGTACACTCTGCAACAGGTGACTTCTCTAATGTCCAAAGGAGACACGCGGTCCGCTTGACCCCGCAAGCTGAGGTGCCCATTCCCGCTTAAACCTGTCATTTAGCATGACATGAGCTTTTCATCCGGAAGAGCATAAAATGCTCTCATAACATTTTGTTAAATTTTATTTTGTAAATGTGCCCGTGTATTGTACGAGTATCTATGCAAGCTGTTGTTATCTTGACATATATGTCATCGCAGATTATGCGGGGGAAAATACTCGCAACACTACTGCACCATGACCTGAGTGAGAACACACTGGCATAATACAAGATAAGAGTTCAACTGAATGTACGCTTTTCCATTACGCCAGACACTACCCGACGACACCCCCTATGCATATATACGACACATTCATTAGTAGAAAACCAACACCAAACAGAAATAACTTCAGCAGTTGCTATCTGATCAAAAAAAAATGAGCGTGATACAGTATGATAAGAAAGAACACTGGTTGCCAGTCAGAAGCAACGGTGAGACTTTATTTTATTGGCCGCTAGCAGCGAGCTTGCGAAGAAATTGAGATAAAAGAAACAAGACATGGGACAGGCGTTAAACATGGTGACAAGTTGGAACTTCCAATATGCGCTAGGAAGAGTTATTGTAGTCACGAAATTGGATCACTGTTGCTTGCATTCTTCTGGGTTGACATTGCCTGCGGCTGCACCACCTCGCCCCTTCGGTGGACCGCGGCGTCTTGCGGGAACTTCAATATCTGAGTCCGAGTCCTGATGATTGATCACCGTTAGGTCTGAGATGAACTCGAAACTGGTGAGGTATTACCTCATCTTCAAAACGATCTTCATCATCCTCCTCATCCAAATCTTCGAATTCATCGTCATCCTCTTCCATAACGTCATACTCGAGGGCTTTGCCAGTGAAGTAGTCAATTGCCCGAGGTATAATCTGGCATCATCAATTATAATTAGTATCATCGTACCACTCTCCCGAGGACTTTCTCTTACTTTCTCTTTCAGATCCTCACCGATCTGATAGTCCATCTCGAGCTTCTCTTCAAGTTCTTCCAATTCTTCCTCTTCGATAAGCCCCGACTCCAAGGCATCCTCGGCAGGAGGAACAGGAGGAGAGAAGAAGTTGAAGAACGACTCTGTGGGCCGTGCCTTACGAACCAAACGAGTACGGTTCGTGTCTGTAAGACAAGATAAGCGACTAAAATAAGCAAAGGATAAAGCACAAGCTTACTCTTGTTTCGTTGTTTCTTAATCTCAAACTCCTTGGTCAGGTCTTTCTCCTCTTTCCATCTGATCTCTGTGCCGATGGCACGATCGTACACAAAATCGCCTGAGTATCCAACCTCTTCTTGATATACGTAAGTCTTATCTAGTACCTCGTTTTCAAAGTACTCATTTGGAGTGAAGAAGAAGCTGATCTTGAAACCGGGTTTAGGCTCATCGTTTGAAAGGTAGGAGAGGCGAACGTCGACAAGATGTTTGAGGGCGCCTACGTCACGCTCTGTGATGATTTCTGACAGGCCGATATGGTTACGGAGAGCAGTAAGCCAGAATTCGGGGATAGCCGTCGATCCTTCTGTCTCTTCCTTGGAGAGTGCAGCGTACTCGGGATCATCTTTCAAAGACTGCTTCTCTCCAGCCTCTATCTCCTCGGTAGTGGGTTTTGCGGAACCAGAGATGATCGCATGTCTTCGCTCATACAAAGGCTTTTGAAGTTCAAGATACTGCGATGGGAGTAATGAGTGCCGATCAAAACAGATAAGGGTGTAATCCAACAGATCAAGATGCAAATACGCACCTTCTTTTCAAGTTCGAGACATTCACGTTTGTACTGATTTTGCAGCTCGTTTTGTTTTACCTGCACCCCTTTCAACGCCTCTACACTCGTTTTGACCTCAACTGGAAGACTTTCGATGTAACCAGAGCTCTTTCCGACCAAATCAGCAAGACGACCTTGGACGAGACCTAGCATGGCGGCCTGCACACCACCTGCGGCGGTAGGGGAGTCATCTTTGTCATCTTCCTCATTGTCTTCAGATATATCTGGCACAGTAGGACGAGAAAGCCCAGCGGCAATTGGAGCCTGGGTCAAGGGCGTGTTCTGCGGAGTAGGGGCTGTGATATCGCCATGAGCAATTGGAACGTTGGAGGACATGGTGACTGGCAAAAAAAAGCTGCAGCTGTAATTTTGTTCGAAATCAGTGAAGACACACAGAAAAGGCAAAGCAAGCGGAGTTTCGGAGTCTACCGCCTGGTGTCCTCAACCCTAACCCCGCCTTCTTCTTTCTCTGTAAATCCACTCCTAAGCTTTTGTATAGTGTACGTATACTGGTGATTGTCAAGGGACACGTTCCCACTGCCCAGCGCAGTCTTCTCCAACTTTGCGTCCTCGCCTCGACAGCATGTTGCGGACATTTACATGCAATGGAATCAATACTTGACGCCACAGACCAGAAATTTGCCTATACTGAGAAGTAAGCGGCAGATAAAGTTCCGATAACGACTCGACGCATTACCTCCAGTCATCCTCGTTGGCTGCGATATCAAGCGGTAATCGTCACTAGGTAGCATCGATACGTAAAGGCGTACCTGGCCCATGATCGTTTATCGGCTGTTTTGCTCATGACGGTTCGGGGACGCGTGCCATGTCCTATCACGTCTTATATCCTCAACCTGTCTAAAATATTGATATCTGGACAAGACGCTGACTTCAATAAAGTCTTTTGACGTGCAACGTTTCTTGGACACGTAACGTTTTGTCAAGTTAATAATAAATGGTGAGCCGTGATTGAGATTGAGTGGGAGAGCATAATGCTAACTTATCAAGGTAGTTTTCGTGGTATTTACCTTCCCTCCCACTGTACCACGCGCTCTTGCGCTATCTCGAAACGGAAACGTCGTGCTGTGTGGAGATAGTTTGCAGTGGCTAGTATGGTAAACTTAAGGAACGCATCAACCGTACCCTGTAAATCACTGGTACTTCCTTATCCTATGCCACACATGAGACAAATGTGCTTTATTTTACTTTCGAGATTCCTCGCAACTGATCAGTTGCTTCAAGTTCGAACCTTCAAAAGACTCTTGTTGATCCAAACCCTGGCATCCCAATATCCAAACACTGCTCACCTCACCCGCGATTTGTATCGATAATAGTCATGGTTCAACGGTAGCCGTGCTATCCGGTCAGGTCGCAACACTGTTTTCAGTATTCATAGTCCCATGGTAACAGCAGCTTTCCCTCCATTGTCATCGGTTTTGCCCTCGATATATTTATCTCTGCGCTGTTCGCTGTTCAATTACTGCAGACCGCGAGGGCTCATTGGCTCTTTGAGACTACGGCCTCACAGGTCGCGTGCGATTGTGTTGTATATCGGTCTTTTGCCATACTCACCTTCATGGTTTTGTAATCATTAGGGGCTCCAGCGCGGACCGATAGGCCAGATGACAGAATTCATTATGCCTTAACATTCATCGATTTCGCATTAATGTCGGACCTTGTTGCACGCGCAAGCTCCCCAAGTTCCGAGAAACCCGCCCATTACAGGATGAACAGAAATAGCGTTTTCACGATTCGACGTGCCTCATGATGCGTGGGGGATGAAAGATATGGAGAGCATGATAGAGTATGTTGATGCAGTACGTAGCAGCCACCCCCGTTTTCTATATTTGATACTTGAACGTTCTGACGAACGTCTCGGCGCCCAATTTCTTCAATGGATTCTGTTCCGATGCTGTCGAAGTTGAACGAGTCTAGTTCATCTCCGCATCTAGTTATTGACCATGAGGCCAATAATGTTGGAGAGAATATAACTTCGCTGTAATGGTAAATTTGCTATTGCATCGGTTCTTCGGCTCGTCCAGTTCTTGAACTAGACTGCATTAAAGTTCGATACTAGTATATGGATATACTACCTCCGAAGAAGAAACTGAAAAATTAACATAAGACAAAATGGAGTTAAAACCATTCACAAAGGGGATGACAGAAGTGGTGTACTATCGAGGATGAAACAACGATGATCACATACAAGACGGCATATGAAAAAAAATGGTAAAGTAACTAGATAAGAGAAGGTACCGCGGTGATGGAAGGTGAAAGTAAATGTATAAACCGTTTATCCTACGGTCGGGTTGATGAGTTTTGAAATGAAGTAAATGTGGACGAACTGAGATAGAAGGATACTGTAGAATATTCCTGTACCGGGCCGCCCCTATAGTCGATCCACCGTGTATAGCAAGCCTGATATTGTGTGGTTTTGTATATTCAATTACCTTCAGTGGAAAGCCTCTCGCTTAATCCTCTCTCTTCTGCTTGATACCACCCAATGGAAGCGTGAACCAGCTCTCTCCGGGAACAAGCAATTCACTAACAGCGGCGTAGTACGCGATCCACGCTGTCACAATTCCAAATGCACCACCAGCCTTCTGAATGCTCAAGTTTCCGTTGAACTTGGCAATGGCAAGTAACAGGAAGGTGAGGGACAGGAATCCAAGAAGAGCGATAAAAGCAACGTTGCGACGCAGTGCACCAAGGCTGTCATGTAATACCTTAGTTCGGAAACAAAGCAAAAATATAGCACACTCACGTCAAAAGCATGGTAAAGACAAACCACATCATGAGGTAGAGACCGAGAGCTTCATTTAATTCGTCGGCTGTGGCGTACGCAGATGCGATACCGCTGCTTGGGATCAAGATAGTGGCAAATGACATCCAGAACGCGCCATAGGAAGTAAAGGCTAAATAGTAAGAAAGGTCAGAATAACCCACAAAGTTACTATATTTTCATTTTCATGACAAAACACGCCATAAGCCATACTTTGAAAGCATGGCGGCCGACACAGAACGAGGGAGCAGATCTAAAAGACCGGCGAACAGAATAAACAAAATGTTCCTGAGGCCAAATCACCACGGGTTGATTATAGAGACAAAATGTCCCAAACAGGCAATACATCTCAGATCATCGGTGCCGGATAATCCAGAACGAGTGATGAGCGGGAGCAGAAGACGGATTAAGATAAGATGACCTCATCAAATGTGGGGTAGCGCAACAACAGAAACCAGCGGGTCACACGTTCCACCGACGAGTAACTGATGTTGACAGCGGCTATCTCAGTGAAATGGGCGACTCACCAGTTGCGCCAAACACATTTCCGCGTGGGAATTCCCACATACCCGCCATGAACTGAGCAAGACCACCAGTGAAGAGAGCCATACCAACGACGATGTTGGGTTCGGTGAGGCTGCGCGCGTTGACGTTGAGGAGCGATAACAAGAACGTCGTCGACGCGAAAGAAAAGAGACCACTAAAAACAAGATGATGATCAGATAACGAGACATATGGCGGGAAAAAGAACTACATACAGGGCACCAGGGTTACCTATCTTCGTTGGGCGGGGAGCAAAGGAGTGTCTGCCATCGTAATTGTTGACGAACTGGTCCTGACGAGGCTGAGGACCGTTATCGGCCTGAGAAGAGTGTCCTTTCTCGACGTCTGTCATGTTGCACAGCGGGATGAGATGGCGCTTTGAGAACGTTGAAGGGGGGAGGACACAGAAGCTCGAGGGTGGTTGAACCACTCGAGCCTATTTATTTGTCTGGATGGTGTGTTACACCAAAAGGAGTAAACGTGAAAAGAATACTTTCAACTATTCTACGTTGGGAAGTATACGCACCTAATCGAGACAGAAACCGTCACAATCGGTCACTCTCAGTTCAGTGTGTTACGTTATTTACGAGTATTATGGCAGATTGTATTCTCTTCGGTTAGCCGGCGTGATTCCGAGATTATCTCAACCCTCTGTCCAGATTCCAAACCGAACTAAACTGGGCACTTTGACATGTCAGAAAAAGGCCCTGGCGACGCGCAATCACGCCAATCCACTCACGCTCAGTCCGCTACCATCAACGCCGTCCTCTAGTCACATCTTACGGATTCCTTCAAGCCACCCAAGCTGTAGTACCTCGTCTCCCCATGCTGCCGATTTACCTAGTGCGATTCTTGCTTAGCTCGCCACCTTGAAAAAGTCCTACGTGTAAAGCAGCAACTACTGAAAATTGAATTGCAACATCTGACCGAAATTGGTCTTCAAAAGTATGTTGGAGGAAGTTTTGGAAACCCAAATGGGATTAGCTCAGACTTTTGAATTGCGCTTAGCCATAAAACTATCAAGCGAGTTCGACCATTTTGCAGATGAAAGAAGTAACGTGACCGAGCAAGCTGTGCCAGTAGCCCAGAAGCTCAATATTACTATCAGCGGCGCTACTGTAAACTCAAACCACTGGCAGTCTATCAAGTACTTGAAATAGAAAATTTGAACTTCTTTCAAATCGCTCACAGTGCACTGGCAGTAGGCGCCAACACACACTTGGTATCGGTAGCTATTGACAACTTTTTGTTCAAGGTCGAAGCTCCAGTTTGAAAGTACCGGATTGCGCGTCATATCTAGCCGCCGGTACTAGCCTGCTCAGTCCTGGTTCAGAAATCTTAGTCGTCACATCTGTTCGTATGAGAACCGATCATCCATTGACGCGATGAAGAGTAACGCTGTCCTTTTCAAGTCCTTAATGAACTGGTTTGCTGCAAATTAGACGCGTAAAGTCCTGGGCCAACTGCAAATGTATCCGACCTGCTAGCGACTCACATTCCAGTAGTATTTTACTATTGCCTGTGGCAGCGGCACAATGAGCCGATAAGTATGCACACCACCACTCGTATAAAGGTCAATTACTGCGGCAGCTAAGCTGCTAAGTTTGGGGTTGGTAGTTCTTCACTTGAATATGTCGAGACGACCAATTTTAATATCTCGACAGTATGCTTACACTTCACAGAGATCTAGATTTCGAACAGTGCTGTACCGCCCGATAATCTATATACATTCTATCTGAAATATGGAGGCATCACTTTGGAAGTACTGAATATACAAGTAATGTACTGCTTTGATCACCATGATTTACAGATGCCGGGCATCTCATAAGCATGATGCGTATGATGATGATTGACACCCTCATATGGTCATATAGATCGTAACCGTCGACGATGCGACATCACCATTTGTGAAACATCAAATGCACATTTTACATGTCAATGAAAAAGAAGCTGGAGAGTATAGGCGGTGAGAGCTGTCATGGTAATGAACATGAGAATATACTGAGGAATCAAAAACGCCGATAAATGTTCTGCTGAGCCAGTACCCGAGTACACCTGAGTGAGGAAAACCTATCAAAGCACAATGAGTTTGAATGGACATATTCGATATAGTAAGACCTGCCTGTGTTGTTGCAGTTGGCAAACATGATAAAAATCTATACTCGGATTCAGATTAGTAGACACAACAGTACGAGATACTCGAAACACTTGCATGCACACAAATCTCAGTACATTGTTGTTCTCGTCGATAAAGCCGACGTTAGTTAGGCCCTGACATATCAGAACTCCGAGTATAGGCATGACCAACATTCTTCCAACGGCTAGCCACATAATCGATCCAACAGGAAGGAACTTCCACTCGTTTCTAGGCACCTTCAACCTCGCCAAGGCAGAACCAAGAGTAATTAAGCCCAGCGGAACTGACGCAGCGCCTATAAAGGTTGCGGTGTTCATCAAGAAGGCGAGTGGAGGTTGGCCGTCAGGAGCCGGCGAAATATTCGTTCCTGGTACACCCGGTACAAAGAGTGCTTTCAAAGGGGGTATAACAGATATAATGAAGGAAATGATGATGGAAAGAGACGCAGGGGTCAATAAAGAGCGCAACGAAGCGATTCCTTGGACCAAAATGCGCTTCCGGATTGATGGTTTGTCTTTGGGCGGCACGGGCTGGACAGGGTCAGCCGATAGACCTTTTGAAAAAGAAGGAAGAGGGTGAGGTTGAACAAGCGTCTCGGCCTGGAAGATCGTGGGTGCTGCAGAGACTGTGACTTGAGAGCTCATGGCTTCTGCAGAGTGAAGTGGAACCATAGTCTCCGTATAACCAGCCGCAGCTCCATCGAATGATAGCTGCTTATCAGTACAAGGCCGCAGCTCCACAGCGGTACTGTGCATGTGTTTCTCGTTTTCGTTGGGTTCTGTCTCTGTGGGAGTCTCGAGATCTGCTTGCGACTGGCGACTTCGCCAGTGAAAGAATTTCTTCCATCCCTCCATCAGTCTTTTTCTCTTCAGACGCATCATTTCTTGAACTTCATGGTTTTCCACGTCTGGACCAACATAATCCATCGCTATCCACCGACTACCTCCCATTGGGAACAGAGTAATCTATAACACCAAAGTTTTAACGACCATCGGAGCGTTTGGCGTAAGGAAAACAGAGTTAGGCTACTTACACAGAAGATAAGAAGGAACGCAGCAATGTAAGCTACAGACAAATTTTGGTCGTCGGTGCCGTTAAAGGGTGCTGATCCAGTGATACTCATGACCACAGATGTTGCTGAGGATAAGTTAAGTTCTCGGTCGACTTCTAACCGGAACTGACGGGCTACTCACGTATATCACCTACATTTCCCCACCCACCAGCTACTATAATGCCATATCTAAATCGATGCGGGACCCAGAAGAACTGTTTTATGAGCAAAGACATAAGAATTCCAATCCCTTCATAGAGAAATGCGACGACAACGAGCGGGCCTGGTGATCATTGTGTTTCATTTTGAAAAAGAAAATCAAAGGCGGGGAGTCGGTCAGTAGCAGCGAGTGATAAGATGATGCGGGGAGAAGACGCACCTAAAGCGCTGATGTTTTGAGAATTGAAAGCTGGAACAATCTTTGAAAACATAAGGTTTGGAAGAGTGATATTCTACCATGTTCTTTAATTTCGATGCCATCATGAGGGAAGTGCACAATACTCACAAGCATAATCTGACCTGCACCCCGAGCTGCAACGATGGGAAATATGTCCGCCTTCGTTATCGCGAAACCACATGCTACGCATAAAAACCTATCATGATACGTTGACCAGGTGTTTGCTCAGCCTGAGCATATGTATTGCAGATAAAGCAACGTACAGTCGAATGAGAGGTTGTAGCGATACCCATATCAAGGTCCCCACCGATAGACTGACCATAGCGAAGCGATAAAACTTGAGAAGAGGCGCCTACGTTACAAATCTTGAAGCAGAGGCACCGCCCTCGGGGTGGTGGATAGTCGAATGAATTAACTTGTCAAAGAGAAAGGGCAGAAGGGTTTAAAAGGAGTGACGGGATAAACTATGATGACAACAACGATTACAGGTTAGTACCGAAGACAAAGATAAGATGAAGGTCTCGGGCATAAAACTTGAAGTTCTGATATAATAGCTTCAAATTCCAGCCAGACAACTACTGGTAGCTCATGAAAATTAGGTGAGTAAAATTTCCCCTCAAGTTGCAACAACCCCAGTCAGCACCGGTACTTTTAGGGCCGCTTCAGAAACATCGGTTTGAAGATGGTCATAAGACTGCGACATATATGTACTTATCTGCATCGTCTTCTATCATGTCATCGTAAGAGCATGCCTGCGGAAATCGGCCTCCACAGGAACGTAGGTGTCATGCCTTTCATAGCAGCTGAGGTCCTCGTATCGAGTGCTGATTCAGAACGTACAGATGCCTGGCAGACTTGTCGCCTCCTTAAGAGATAAAGTACCAGCATCAGGTAGCTTGGCGAGTTTAATGTGTCATAATACAGAGTACCTGTAGCCTGAATACGAACGAAATGAAATTTTACGATTCAAGTTCCTGGCTGCAGGTCAAGTGACGTATACAATGCACGACTTCTACGTACTAGGGACAAGAGAAAGCGGCACCACCCGTTTGCGTGACATCAGCGAGACTTGGGCTATATACACCAATGGCATAACCCTGTGAAGACTTCAAACCTCTTTCTAGATCCCACGAACTATGCATGGATGTTCGCTGATCATGTAGGTGTGAGACATGCGCACTACAGCCCTTCTATTTGAAACATAAAAGATAAAAGATAGACAAGTCTCTAACAGAACGGAAATATGATAACTCTCCGTCACATCTAGAGAAGAAAAGACAAATCACGCTTAGCAAAATATCCACGAAGCACTTAATAGAATGATACTTGCCATCCAGAACCAGACAGTCTGTAACCAGTGCTTTGGGGGTGGTTCCTCGTACCTGCATCGTCCTTTTAAGCCACCCACCATTTAAAAAGAAGAAAAATGATACATACGTGACATTTTCAATTTCAGTCAAGCCACCCTTGAAATCCATTTCATCGACTCTAACGAAGGGTACCTTAGTGTATACCTTGGCAGCGATATAAAGCAAAGGAAACAGCATCATCGGCAGGTAGTTAGTGACGAATGTTGCTGTGGACCACCTATCGTTGAGGAACACCTCCCAAGCGCTAAACTATACAGTTGTTGTTTGCATCAGGTAAATTGATCAGTACCCAACAGTCTTAAATGAACCTACCAGCAATGTTAACAAGGAGGCGACCATGGCATACCATGCGGCAAAGGGCTGGACTCTGGAGGAAAAAGGCAACGTACTCCTATCATACCCCTGGGAGATGAATCCCTTGCGGAACCTTATATAGATGACGCCGATTCCAAACCAAGTTGTCAAGCCTGCAGTCGCACACATGCTCGAGAACCATGTAAAGACATCGCCTGAGCTAGCATTGACCACCATATAAGCTAGAAGCGAGAACATGGCGCAGAAGATGACAGAGACATAGGGGAGCCCTGTGCGAGACGTGCGTAAGAATATTTTGGATGCATTACCCGAAGCAGCGAGCCCATCTTGACAATGGTATTCAGTCAGCGATCTCAGCTACAGACACACTGCAACTCACAAAGTCCCCGTGAACTAATATACAGGTCACCTGAAGCTGCGGACCAGGCCGAAGTGAGGAGTGCAGCATTAATAACCTTGGGAACCATTCGTTAGACGCCTGATCATTAATTTGGGAGATTAATCCTACAGATGACAACCCTCTGATACCTGCTTGGTCTATTGCAATGACAAATGGTGATGCCGAAGCATTCTCTGCAGCCAAGTTTAAAAGAGGTTCATTTGAAGGAACGAGCAATCCAATGATGAAAACACCGCCTATATAAAAAAGCAGGATACGAATGTACACTCGACGGACAGCCTTCGGTAGATTGCGCCGAGGATTTTTGGCTTCAGCAGCGGCAATCTACGAAACACATACATTCACCGTTCAGTGGAGAGGGGAAATAAACGCACAGCGACAACCTCTGTCCCAACATAAGAAAAGGCTGCTTGTGTAACCACGGCAGACCATCCGAGGAATCGACCTTTCGGGCCAGAGATGCCGTCATACTGTACGAACAACCCCGGATTTCTCCAGTAACGGAATCCTATGCGGTCATGATTAGGCCCGCCGCCCAAGTCAACGATGATACCCAAGATGATAAGGCCCGTGATGGTCACAACTTTGATTGAACTAGAAAAAATTGGCTCGGAGAGATAAGTAACGATTTTCTAAGAAAGCAAATCCAGCCCATTCACCAGAAAATGAATTCACATTCTCCATATACACCTATATATGAATAAGACGAGTATTTTCGTCAACTAAGGTTGTGGAACAAAAGAGCTAACCCACCAACGCCGCTTAGATTAATTCCTACTGCAATAACAAGACACATTGTTATCCACACACCATTACTGACGTTGTGATTCCAGTAATCGATCAGGGTAGCAGCGGCTGAGAGTTCGGCTAAATCATAGATAGGAATATAGTTATAGCGCAAAATCTATGAGTAAACATGTCGTCTCTGGACATTTGCGTTCATCAACCTTACCCGGTAGTGTAACCTTTAGGATGAGATATAACATTAGCCTAGACACACGATTTCCAGTATTGAACCAAGATTTACCACCCAGTTGTACCAGAAATTCCAACCCAGTGCGAATGAGAACGCAGGATCAATGAAGCGCTCAGCCAATTTGATGTGGCCTCCAGCAATGGGGAGGTATGCAATCATTTCACCAATAGATATCTGGCAGGAGCGAGAACATCGAATGTCAATTGTTACATCACGGATGGTAAGAAATTAGGACTGACCATGACACAATAACTTATGGATCCAATGAACACATAACCCAAGAGAAGACCCAGAGGACCACCGTTTCGCAAGGCTGAAGCTGTGCCCAGAAACAGGCCTGTACCAATGACACCGCCGATGCTAGAAGTATATGCAGGTGAGATCGTCGAACAGAATTACCCAAGGAGCGGGGAAACCTAATCATGGCGACATGTCGATCCTTCAAGCGTCGCTGTAATTTGTTCTCTTGGACGCCAGTGCTAATCAACTCAGCGCCCTCGATACATTTCCGGGAGGCCTTTTCAGCAGCGTGGTCGTCAGATCCAGTATCCATGATAGCGTTGAATGACGGATAAGAGGTCACTGAGCCAAATGCGCTGACAATCCAAGTTTTTTAAATAAACGTTGTCAGACATAGTTTATCGCACGCTGAGGTCAGGAGATAAGGACGGGCGTCGACTTTGGGAAAGAGGTCCCACCCCATTGAGGCATAATTATTATGTGACACAGAAGACGTGATCTAGTTGGTAGCGTTTCGTATCCGCATCCCGGCCATCCAACCTTCTGCCTTCGGTCCTGCGTAAATTAGAGGAATTCATACTGTGATCCGACTAAGAAACATAGACAATTGACGTACTTGCAGGAACCGGAGCTGGGGAATGCTCTCCTGGGTTAAGAATGAAACTACATTGCGTATGGTCGACTGCCAGCGCCAAAGACCTAATTTGCCTGAGTTGAGCCACCCACTCGACGGTCAAAAGCGTGACATGCAATGAGGTCTCAGGATTACTTTCAAGTGGAAGACAAGTCTCAGTTGTATCCCAAGGTGTTGTAGTCTTTGTAGTACTCCTGATACAGCGCTTTCCCCCAAGCTAACGCGTCATTGAGACAGAAGAGTCGTAAAGCGGACGAGGCCTAGGTTTGATTACATCAGCCGAGAGCACCAGGGTTCCACCGAATTCTGATTCTGTCATGTTTAATATAACTGTTGCCCTTTACTCCACTGTAGCCCAGCCCGTCGCCTTTTTCCGTTTCACCGCCCACTGAAACTACATTTAGAGCGTTGGGGAGCCCCACCATCTTTCTCAGAAATAGCCCCAAAGATCAGAATATCTGTGGCTTGATGAGCAGCTTAAACGCAGGCGCCTCCGTGCACAGTCTTGGAACAGCGAGTGCGTGTTTCTGCTCTTGTCCACGACGACAAAGCTCACAATGCCCCGACCTTCAGACGTCGCTGAACCTCTATACCAAGTCAAACTTTTGTCTGCTTTGCGCAGCGGTACGTTCCAGCGTGTCTCTCGTGTCAGTTCTAATTAAAAAACACTTGCCATATTCGTGCTTTCAGGGGATCCCGCTCTTATTCACCCGTTTTTGACTGAGATTGGAAAAGAACGGCGGTCATCAGTGGATGGCGATCTAAACACTGGCGCTGCAGCACTTCACCTCGCTGTTCGTTGCGCATCTGGTAACCTATCACTATCTCGACGATTGTCTCTTGTTCCCTGACGCGTTACTATAGCCGAAACAGTGCAATTACTTCTCGAACACCGAGCCATATCTCCAAATGGCATACATCCTCCAGGTTCTGGAATTAGCCCTCTCCACCTCGCGGCATCTTTGGGTCGAGCCGATATCATAAACCTTCTTCTAGAGCAACCTGGCATAAACGACACCTTGCGAGATAGCGATGGCAAAACCTGTAGAGAAGTTGCAAAAGGAAAAGATGTTATTCGTGTTTTGGATGGTGGGTGTTTCATAAATCACGCAAACAAGGCTTACTAATGGAAATGCAGATTCAAGGTCATTTCTCAATGCATCATATCGCTCTCTTCTACGCACATACGTCCTTTCACCACCTTCTACTCCCCCAAATTCTGCTCTTGTTTCCTTATTGGAGTCTCCTCGAGTTCGATTCGTGAATCTCTCTTATCTGGACGATGCTTCTGGCAAATCATTATTACACGAGGCTGCAAAAAGGAAAGACCTTAGGCTCATTGAGCTAGCAGTACGTGCTGGAGCAGATGTATTTGTACGTGATCGTAGAGGAAAGATGGCTTACGATGGCGTCGGTAAGGATGATCGTGTCAGGGTGTTCTTACGGCAATGTAGGTCAAATTGGTTCATGTGAAGGTTGTTTGATCTGAGTGATTTTAGTTGCAAATCATGATACTACGCTCATTGATGCCCCTATATCTGGGCCTCCCGCGTTGAAAGGTTATCTCAATAAATATACCAATGTTGCTCGTGGTTACAACACTCGATGGTTTGTACTCGAAGATGGGGTATTATCATGTAGGTGTCCTACGAAACTTGCACGCGCAAGTTGTTCACTTTGTGACATATAGATTACCGTCACCAAGAGGACGAAAATATTACTTGCCGAGGAACAATTTTCATGAAAACAGCGATTCTCAAAGTTTCGCCTGGTGGAGAAAAATTGCGTTTTGAGGTGCACTCGATGCCTTCGCGAGGTCACCATTCAGGAGTTCAAAAATGGTACATGAAAGCTAATCATCCTGTGGAGGCATCCCGATGGACACAGGCTTTGGGCAAGAGCATGGAATGGTACAAACGAGAGACAGAGAACGACCCGCAACGCAAGAGTGTTGAAAGTGACAAAAGTGGGCTGAAGCCTATCCCATTTAGGACGAGTTTCCAATCCACTGTATCAAGGAGGACAGGTTTCGGGGGAATGAAGTCAACAGCTAGCTCACTTGCAGATCATACGGATACAGCAGAAGAAGGTAGCCCTCCCGCTCCTGAAAATGATAAAGATGAGAAATACCGCAGGACGTCTGAAGAAGAAGCGAATAACGATTCCTCTTCTGCTTCTGAATCGACGGGGGCAGTACCACCGCATAACACTACATTTGAGCTACACGGGAACTCAACTGCCGCTCAGATGGAGTTAACTTCTCAATTACTGGCAAATCTTTCTTTACCGCCCAACAGCTCACCTCGCACTCAAGAATTGAAAGCTGCTCTCAAAGAATCCTTCGTCATGGTGCAGAGTATGCTCAACGAGTACGTGCAGATGTCACAAGATCGTGAGGAGTGGTGGCGAAATCACCTCCAACGAGAGCGAGAGAGGCAGTCAGTATGGGAAGAAAGCCTACAGACTGTTGTACGAGAGGGCGAGGCGCTGGAGAGAGAACTCCGAACGAGATCTCGTAAAAGAGGAAGCCGGTTCTTTGATGCTAGTATGAGTGAGGGAATGGGCACTTTGAAGCAGAGACCTTCTTCGATGGCTTTCTCTTCATCTCCTGTGCCAGAGGACAGAGAGGCAAGTTACTTTTTACCAGTCGCGGGAGAGCCGGCAGCTTTGTCTCTCCCAGCTTCTTCGCCTTCTACTGCTGTTCAGCCCACGTTTTCACTTTCCACGACACCCACACCCACTTCGCATCGCACACTCCGGCCGAGGCAGTCGGTTTCTTTAGACGACGACGAGGATGCTATCGACACGGATGAGGAAGATGAATTCTTCGACGCCATCGAGGCAAATACGCTTCCCAATCTAAATATCAGCCAATTTATGACTAGTCCAATGAATTCCGAGCTCACGCTTCCCGGGATGGTTAGCATAGAGCCGTTTGTAGGGTATCAAAACCTGCGGACCTGCTTGCCGATTGGCACCGACAATCGCCCTTCAACAAGTTTATGGTCGGTCCTGAAGCACAGTATAGGAAAGGATTTGACGAAAATTAGTTTCCCCGTGTTCTTCAATGAGCCCACTAGCATGTTACAACGAATGGTAATGCTCTTCTCCCTGATCAGTTTATGGAAGCGTCTAAGTACCTCATTTAGGCGGAAGATATGGAATTTTCAGAATGTCGTGAGTAAAGCCAAAATTTCGGCGTATTTTGCTTTACTGATGTTGAGGCGATGGTGCTAGTGGACATTTCTGTACGGGAGGAGGATCCTCATCGTCGAATAGCCTTCGTTGGCGCCTTTGCGATGTCGAATTACTCTTCAACCATTGGTCGGATAGCTAAGCCATTTAACCCAATGCTGGTGAGTGTTCTTTCGGCTAGTCATAGTGGCTATAGCTAATAAACCGCAGAATGAGACATTTGAATACGTTAGGTTTGACAAGGAATACCGTTATATGTCCGAGCAAGTCAGTCATCATCCCCCAATCTCAGCTTGTTGGGCTGAATCTCCATACTGGCATTATTATGGCGAGGTAGGGCTTGTTCTCCCAGCATTGAGGTCAATTTTTTGATGGCACATTTTAGGTGGATGCTCAAAACAAATTTATGGGGAAATCCTTTGAAATCCGTCCAACTGGTGTCGCACACGCCGAGCTACTTTTACCGGAAGAGTGGGCTCCAGATTATCCGAAGGCAGCGAACACGGCAGGCAAAGTCGTTGAGCATTATAGCTGGAAAAAAGTCACCACCAATGTTTCAGGCTTTATTCTAGGCTCTCCTACGATAGACCATTACGGCGACATGATTGTGATTAGTTTTACTTCACATTTCTCGCTGCACCTAACTTACATCTATGTCAGATCACGAACCACCGCACCGGAGATCAGTGCGTCTTTACATTTAAACCGCGAGGATGGCGAGGGAAGGATGCTTTTGAGATTTCTGGTTTGGTGAGGGACGCTGATGGCGAAGTGACTTACGAAATCGCTGGTCGCTGGAATAGCCAGCTCATCTGCCGTGCTGTCGGCACTGGGAGTGGTTTCCTGCATCCCGATGTCCCTGTTAGCGGGCCTGACTCGCCCAACGCCGTACCAGAATATACTTTATTATGGAGAAACTCCGAGAAGCCAGTCGCACCATTCAACCTCACACCATTTGCCATCACGCTAAACGATTGTCCCGAAGATACGTTAAAGCCTTTCCTTTGCCCCACTGACTGTCGGTTACGTCCGGATCAACGGGCGTTTGAGCTAGGGAGATACGAGCTTGCGAACGAGCTGAAGGGGAAACAAGAGGAAAGACAACGTGTGACAAGGAAGGCACGAGAAGAGGGAAGACTTCCTCCACACAAACCAAGGTGGTTCACGGCCGAGACGGATGGAGATACAGGGGAAAGAGTTTGGAATCCTTTAAGAGCGGGAGATGTATTGGAATATTGGATTGAACGAGAAAGAGCATGGAAGGAAGGAGCCGAGAAAGCATGGAAGAACGTAGATCCTATATTTATTGAGGATACTTTATAATGGTAGCATAGCGAGGTCTGATGTTTTACGAGTTCAATTAGAATAGACAACCCATGTTAACGGTAATTTTTTAAATATAATTCAGCTGTTTTCATATTGATAGGCTTGTGGGCAATAGTTCTGCAGTATTCGGTCAGCAGGTGTGATGAAGCGTCGAACTATCGCATTCTCTTGGTATCCGTAGGGGGGATATGGGGAACGGGCATTATATGCTCCGAGTAGAACAGTATTGATTTTACTATAAGCAGTTCCGGTCTTCGTGGAGATTCTCGGGCTACAGCATTAGAGAACTACATACGTTTATATGCTAGACATGCGGAATGTAGGAGCTTACTACTTTCCGGAGCTCTTGACAGATCTACCAGACTTGAAAAACCCTCACCACTGTAGACTGAAGATGGGCGCAAGCCAGTCCTTTCCTATTCTTCCGCATCATCCCTACCTAGCTCTTATTCGACCGCGCATGTCGTTTCCAACTGATATCTTTGGTCTATTCCAGCCTGCAACCTTTGGACCAGCCACACCTGACATATGGGAACGTCTTCTTCGAGTAGATGACACCTCACAGTGCTATATTGACCGTGTTCTGTTTTGTAAATGTAAAGAATACAAGAAACACGAGTTCTTGTTGATTTACGTCCATCATCCGACAGACACTGCGAAAGCATTGTTGGTTGTTGACCGTTCACATGCGGTTGTACGAGCGACCAACTTGTATTTTCGTCCTCTTGCCCCAGGATCGGGTATATTTTCGCCGTCAATCGCCGACTGTCCTGCGCAAGACCGTGTCTACGTCACCAGAGAAGACAATAAAGCGGAAGTCACTAGACAGTACAAAGCATATACGACGCTATGCCGACTCACCTTTCCTCCCCCCTGTAATATCACTGGAAATCATTTACCACCTTCTGTTCAGCAGCTATGCGTCCTTTTACAAGTAGTGAGCAAGCATGCACCGCTCTACAATCTTTATGAGCACCAGTGCTACTGGTTTGCCAACACCGTATTTGACACGTTGAAGAAGCTCTGTCCAGCTGGCGAGGAGACATGTAGTACACATATGGCCCATAGCTTGCGATCCAAGTACCTGGGATTAAAATTCGAGTATGGAGGCAGTGTAGAGATGCTATTTGCGGAATACGGCAGGGCATGGGGTGAGGCTTGTGCAAAGATGAAGCAGGAGGAGATTGGACGAGAAAAGAGTCGACGTGCAGTGAGTAAAGTGTCACAGTTGGGTTCTGTTATTTAATACTTATTTAATTTCCATCAAAAGCTCATCGAACGCGGGAGAGACGAAGGCCGTGCGGAACGAGAGCAGCTTAGAACAGACAGAGAACAACTTCAAGCAGAACGAGCACAACTCAAGGCAAGACTACGCACCGCACTTTGAGAAAAATAACACGTGCACTAGTAATATGATAAGATACTCGGTAGTGGCCGAGATAATATAAACTCCGGTCTACAATGTATGTCACGGTACTTACGACTTGATCATTAGCCCTATGTACAGGACCGACAAGGATTACGGACTGTTCCACCATCTTCGTTTTTCTATTATATCGGGATAAGCATTGTAATTACAGGTAGCAACGTGATCTTATATATATATATATATCGAGCCAATGAAATGCCCAGTCGCGATTTATTTTTACGACTCGTAATCTTCCTGGAAGGCATGGTCGTATTCCCTTATCTTTGAACCAATGAATCCTGTCGACAAACTTGGATTGAACACAGCGCTATCCAAAGCTCGCAAAAGCTATCTGGAGGGAGGCATCCCCATAGGTTCTGCACTTGTCTGTCACGGGTCATTAGACGACGCTGGGGAAGCTATTGTGCTAGGGACCGGGCACAACGAGAGAATACAGAAGTCGTCTGCAATACTTCATGGCGAGATATCAGCTTTACAGGACGCCGGTAGGTTGAAAGCAGGAGTATATTCCAAATGTACCATGGTGAGCCCTTAACCGAATCCCTCAGGTTATCCTTCGTCGTGCTTCTTACACTTATTCACTTACAGTACACCACCTTGAGGTACGCCTTCATGAGTTTATACTCTAAATTTCCTATGCCAGTCAAGCTCAACAATTCCTTGTTACAGCCCTTGCAACATGTGTACGGGTGCTATCTTGTTGTATAAGATTCCCCGGGTTGTAATCGGTGACAACACAAACTGGGTCGGGGGAGAAGACCTCTTGAAAAGTCGCGGGGTAGAAGTAATTGTCGTTGGCGATGATGAATGCAGAGACTTGATGTCGAGATTCATTCAGGAGAAACCAGAGGTAAGCTATGCTCGCCAACTTGTGATCCGGGCTTGCACTGATATACGTCAGGAATGGAACGAGGATATCGGCGTATAATACCGAATATAATGATATCATAATCTCAGTCTGCTCAAGTGCTCACCGAGAGACACTACTGCCGACGAAAAGAGGTGTGCATTATGATACTTCAGGCGCCTTTGTCCCCAGGTGGTTAGGTAGGGTTAATTGTCGCCTCCAAATGAAATAACATTCGGTATACCTAGCAGACATGATTTAACACTGGTGATTCAGTAAATTATCACAATGGCATGAAGTCGGAACGTGGGAGTCTATGATCCTTGCGAGAGCAAATCTAGGCAGACACACTTGTTGAAATCAACTCCCCCTTTCCATCCTTTCCAATCTCCTGTAGGCTGATATTTAGATCGCCATTCTCCGAAATTATAAGCTGAGCCTCGATCTTTGTTTGCCATTTGCCCGATTTTTTCTTGGCATTTTTTGCTTCCACTGCAAGTGAGGCTAAGAGGGCCTCTTTTGAAAGTGTCTTCTCCTTGACCTCCTCCAGCTCTTCTTCTTCGGGCTCATCGTCATCTTCAACTTCTACCTTCGGAGGCTGCACCTGCTCAACCTTGACGCCCTCGCTTACTTCCCAAACTTCAAAACCAATTTTTCGTCCTTCTGCGGAATCCCCTAGTTCGATCTCAAGGCTGACCGTCCTCCTGCATGGTATAGGGGTCTCCTTCAAAACAATGGGTATCCACTTTCCTCCTAGTTCACCTGCCTCATCTCCCTCCTGAGGGAATAAAAGACTGATGGTTTTACTCGTTGATTTTACGGTGCTTCGAGTACTGCTCCTCCCAAAGCTTTCCTGAACTTCCTCGCTCTCTCCTGCAAGGGAAGCAAGTAAACGAGCCTGTATTGCACATCCCCGTGCCAAGATTGAAGTGGGATCGCCGATGCCACCGCCCACGACGGTTCCTGCTTTGAAAGGCGTAATGACAGACTCTACAAAGCCCTCAGCAAGCGTTTCATCCAACCCGGGTAGGCAGGCCGAGCCACCAATATAAACGATTTCGTCGACGTCATACAAATCCAGATTAACGCTGGCGATGAGCTCTTTAACTTTTGAGTAGACTTTATCGTAGATGGTACGCATTTCCATGTCAAATCGAAGCCTGTTGATGGATCCGGTGAAATCTAGCCCGTCTTTCAGAGATTCCACAGAGCATGTAGCAGCTCCGGGACTTGCACTGAGAGTGCGTTTGGTATGTTCCACGGCCAGCCTTAGTTTGGCCTCCGCACGTTTATCAAGGGGGTCGGTTGCGGGCGATACTGTCAATGGCGTTTTGGTCTTTTTGGTAAATTCTTTCGCGAAGAATTTGATAAGTTTGGAGTCAATCTCATCACCTCCCACACTTGGGTCTGAGAGAGTAGCAAGGGAGTATGCAAGGCCTTCACGGATGGAAAGCAATGAGAGCTCCAGCGAGGATGCACCGAAATCGACGATCAGTTGAGTACGATCAGCTGGAACATCCTCTGGTCCTACGGCAGTGCAGACAGCAACAGCGCCGGCATCGTCCAGCAATTGAAGAACTTTCACCCCTGCTTCTTCGGCAGCGTTGGTCAAAGCGTCTCTTTGAGCATCATCGAACCAGGAAGGAATGCTGATGACGGCGCCCAAGACCTTTTTGCCAAGGAAATCTTCGGCAGACTGGAGAAGAGAACCCAAAAATATGACGTTTACTTCTGATACAGACAATATGCGTTCTACAGAAACGGGTTCCGAGCGAGGAGTGGCAGTTTGAGAGGCAGCAGGAGTGTTCGTTGCAGTGATGGGAAGGGGCGTAGGAGAAGCTTGGAGAACCTGAACTCTATAGGCGGGTGTATCAGGGAGAGACGGGTGTTGGATGACAGGTGCAGAGACAGTCAAGCTTGATTGGGGTATCTCGGAGAATCTGGCAAGTCATGCCAACATCAGCATACAACAAATAATGCGAACGATTTGCAGACACACTTTTTACCAAGCAGATTACGGAAACCAGTGATGGTATTTTGAGAGTTTTTAACAAGTTGGTGTTTAGCTTGATTCCCAATGTACTAAATGAAAAACCAAACGGATCAAAATCATGATCTTGAATATTATTTGCAGCCAAGCTTACCATCTCCTCTCCTTGAAAAGCGATGGCACAAGCGATCTGGCGCTCACCGTCCTCATTGGCTATACATTCAGCTAATCCTTCCTGCAATCCACGAGGTCAGCTTGTCCATAGATATATAGATCACAGTAGATTTGTACCTTTGTCAGTACAGATATAGACGCATAAGAGTTGCCAAAATTTATGCCGACAACAGATGGTACAGCGGAGACATCGAATGGCGCCTCTGCGCTTCCATTAGGGGCATGACCGTTAGCTACCATCGTCTAGAGAGATTAGAGGCGATTCAAGTATGTGGATGATGTTCTATGAAAGCAAGTCTAAAAGTTGGCGATTTGTTACTCGAAAAATTCCATCAAGTCACGTGATGGAGTCAAGTCCATTAGCAATGAGGGCAACTTGCGAGCGCTCTATCGCAAGTTCATACGCTCTAATAAGAAAACTGCGGTGTAAAACGGTAATATAGTATACGTTCATTTCTACTTAAAACATACATTGGTCTTCAATAGCGACGCGACGCTACGATGGCTTTCGCATAGAAGACTTGATAACGAGTCACCTGATTTGTCACGTGATGCACACGCCAATAAGTGGCTGAAGACGCTTGGTTTCCAAAGTTATAACCACCATCGCCGTGGTACGAGCGCACAACTCATATATACTCCCTTGATTACAGTAGACCAAAGATCGGAGCTTTGAAAGATGTCACTTGATACGGGATGCCCTCATATCAATGAGTTACTTGCACTGAAACCGCCCAAGCTCAGCCAATCTGTACACAGAGAAGAGTGCACCCAGTGCTTCGACAACCAAGTAAGCAAGTTTTCAAGAATTATCTTTTAACTGTCTCATGCTTCCTCAGGATGGACCACTCGGAGTTGACGTGTGTCTTGCTTGCTTTAATGGCGCTTGCCTTAATCAAGATCGGCATCATGCTCGCACCCACGTCTCACAATCAGGTCATGCTTTTACGCTGAACGTCAAACGATCGCCAAAGAACAAATCATCCAGTCGGGTTAGTCATTATTAAATGTAATTTTGTAGTAATAACCCACAATGAATTATGACATCCCACCATATCATCCAGGCTGAAGATGAGGAGCCACCCGCCAAGATGACAAAGCTTGCAATCGTAGAAGAGCGAGAGGAAAATAAGTTCGAGCACAGCACAGCGATAAAGTGTTGGAAGTGCAATCCAGAAGATGGAAAGGTGATCGTTGTTGATAATCCAGCCGTATGCGTACCCAATCTTCTCGAATGTAGGCTACTGTTAACAAACGTCTTCTTTTAGACAAGGTCTCTCGTAGACGAAGTGCTGCACTCCCTGTCTTCCGCTCGTCAATCAGAGGTCAAGGCATGGGAGGAGGAGATCACTGCTTGCGAACATACACTGCTTTTGGAGCAAGTACAGAGTGCACCTATCCCGCCACAGGGTACGCTTTCGTGTTACACACATCGATCTACCTTTATATCTTATTTGGAGGCTTTTGTATCTTGCAGGATTGGCGCATTGTACCTCCTGTGACCTTACTTCAAATCTATGGCTTTGCCTTAGCTGTGGTGCATTGGGCTGCGGTCGCGCCCAATTTGGTGGCGTAGGTGGAAATGGGCATGCGCTTGCGCATTTCAACGAGAGCGGCCACGCAGCTTGTGTGAAATTAGGTACCATCACACCAGAAGGTGGAGCAGGTCAGTGTCAATGTCACTTTGAGTATATGGTTTTTAATTTGCTTCATATGTCATCTGGGTTGTGGGTTGTACTCACGAAGATATCTACTGTTATGCATGTAATGATGCAAGGCTCGATCCTGACCTCGCTACTCATCTTAAAACATTTGGTATCAGCGTTGCAACACAGAAGAAAACGGAGAAAAGTATGACAGAACTAGTACGTATAATCCAAATATTCAAGGCGGTTTCTTACAATATTATGTATGTCTAACAGCAAATCGAGCAAAACCTCACTTTCGACTTTTCCCTTACTGCGGAAGATGGTTCTGCATTGGAACCAATTTTTGGGCCTGGGACGACGGGTTTGAGCAATTTGGGAAACAGGCGAGTCTACCATCTGCAAATAAACCCGTGGCCTATAGATAGCGAGGTTATCTTGCACACGTCTTCGATTATTTATTCATATGGCATTTCTGTTCGCCATACCGCGGTACATCCTGATAAAAAATCATTACTAATAAACCGTGCAGCTGTTACATGGCTTCTGTTCTCCAAATGCTGTTCTCGCTCCCTGCCTTCCGAGCTCGCTACTTCGGGCAGGTCCCTGGTCCGTCTCAAGGCACCAAAAGTACCCCAGAAGTGATTGTTTCTCCTCAAGCAATCTTACACTGGTCGACGTGTAGCCAGGCGCTTCCAGCCGATTGTCTTGATTGTCAGTTGTTTAAGATCGCTGACGGGCTTCTGAGCGGTCGCTATTCGAAGCCTCATCATGGTCAAGGTCTGTCTTTTGATTCTGGTATTTTGTATAGTCAGTGACTTTTTTCTATAGATTCGCTCATGCACATAGATAAACCTCTCGCTCATGCTCCGGTAGAAAAGACGCCTTGGCAAGTGGGACTCAAACCTGCAGGATTTAAAGCGCTTGTAGGACGCGGACATGCTGAATTCGCAACCATGCGACAGCAGGATGCGGAGGAATTCTTCGGACATCTGCTTACGGTGCTTAGGCGTCACAACCATACGCGAGGAGGTGCAACTGGTATGTTCTGCTCAACAAGCTGTATTTGCCGTTGTTAACCAATGGACTATCGACGGACAATGGGAACTGTAGAAGAACCCACGGAAACATTTGCATTTGGTCTTGAACAGCGTTTGCAATGCCAATCATGCCAAAGGGTTCGGTATAGAGTGGACACAATGGATTCGCTCAGTGTAGCCGTGCCGGCACAAGAACTCCACAACGACGAGGGAGGAGGGGGGGTAGTAGAGCAGGAGATTGCGCAGGTCGGAGCGCCCAACGCAAAGAAGGACAATACAGGAGGGAAAAAATATCAATCTATCCAGCTGACGCAGTGCCTCGATTTGCTCCTTGGTGCCACAGGCAGAGAAGAGCTTGAATATCAGTGCGAAGGAGGGTGTGGAAAGGTTAGTGCAGTCAGGTAAGCCGATCGTTACTGTGTATACTGGTGCTCGTGTTGAGTGGAACGTTGCGTTTTTCTGCTCCATCTGTGGCTTTGTTCTGCAGGCAGACACAATTTGCGAGTTTCCCAGATGTTCTTGTGGTACACACCAAAAAATTTCAGCTTGTCAACTGGGTCCCAACCAAACTCGGTTTGTACCCTCTCATGATTTTATATGATGCGATCTTCATCACTCACCCTTGCCATATTGTTTTTGTTCTAGATATCCCTATCATACTTCCCCAAGACGATGTTCTTACTTTGGATGGCTATCTAGGACAAGGCCTGCAGCCTGATGAAATCGAGCTACCAGACTCCTCTTCTAATCCACCAAGCGCTCCCCAATTTGATCCCGAGGCGGTAGCACTCTTGGAGGGTATGGGATTCCCTACTGTTCGTTGCCAGAAGGCACTGCTTGCGACGGGAAACGCAGGAGCGGAAGTTGCTATGGAATGGTTGTTTGGGCATATGGATGACGCTGGTACAGTGTTTAATATCAAATTCATCAAATTGAAGCCTATTGATGAACCATGCATAGATATCGATGATCCAATCGTCATTGCATCCTCTACGGGCCAGACCTCAGGTAGTGAACCATCGGCGGAGCAGGTCGCAATGCTAGCTGATATGGGCTTTTCGAGCGCCCAAGCAAAGAAGGCTCTGCGAGAGACGGTCAGTCTTTAATCTGCTTAGTGATCTCTTAGACTGCTGTCCTATGATTGATGCTCAGTTACTGATCGTTTTCTCAGGGTGGTGATCCAGAGCGTGCGGTGGAGTGGCTGTTCAATCACCCGGACGATACTGGCGAAGACGTTCCGCCTGCTAGCGGCGAAAGTAAAGCGGCGAAAGCACTCCCTGGTTCTACTCGCCTACCAGCTCGCTACAGGCTTAAAGCATTTATCTCGCACAAGGGCCCGAGTGTCCACTCGGGACACTACGTTGCGCATATACGGATCCCTGGAGCTGGTAAGAAAGGGTCAGCTGACAAAATGAACGTAGACTCGAATAGCGCGGACGACTGGGTGTTCTTCAATGACGAGAAGGTGGTCTTGGCGGATAAGGAGAGCGTGAACGGACTCAAGAAGCTGGCATATCTCTATATATTCGAGAAAGCCTAGGGGAACAGAGCAAAAAAAAATAATGATGTAGCAGTTCGATGTACAATATATGTATAGATTGAACTATTCGTCTAAACAAATCGATGACAGTCGAGTCTCAGAGTATTTAAGCGCTCGTAAGACCTCGAATTCAAACTAAAAGTAGATATTGAGAAGCTGGGAGGCGAGCAATGCGATGAAATGTCAAATACTTTTCGACTAGTCGCAGACGGAAAACACAAATAAAGACAAAACTAGAGAACGAGTAACTAGTACTAGCGTTGACGGCCCTATCCCGCATTATGTCGGAAGAATAGTCCAATGGATGTGAATCTAGGTAACAAAACAAAAAATAGTTAAAGAAATTGAGTCCACGCCTACACCACTCGCCCCAACCAAAATCCACTACACTAGTACCCAGGCTGCCGTGGAGGCGGCCCATAATACGAATCATAACCCCGTCCTACATCGCCCATCTGCGGCGTTCCTACATCACTACCTCTCGGTGTCATCATCCCATCTCCATTCGCGAAATTGTCTCGATATGGCGACACCAAACTCGCTCTACTCGTATTAAAATCCTGCTGCAGAGGAACGAAAGCACTCGAGTCAGAATTCCTGTTCCCCTGACCCCCAAACGCCGCCGCACCCGCACCCAACCCGCTCATCGGGTACGCAGATCCTGGCTTTGCGCCGGCAACATCATGCGTCTGGACATACGGATGTGGGTGCGCACGGCGACGCCGGGCAACAAAAATACCAAAGAGCGCACCGAGTACTGCAACCCCTGCCACACCTCCCACAATAGCACCTACTAGAGCTCCCGTGCTCAGCTTGCTAGCGCCCCCAGTCTTTGTGGTGCCGCCCGTTCCGCTAGCGGAACTTGAGCTTTGGCTTACTGGAAGTTCAACAGCAGCCGAAGTAGGTTGGGTCCCGACTTGGCCACTACCAACGGTGACCATTGTACCGTTACTTGGGATACCAGAGACGACAACGAACATGAGAGCAGGACCTGGGGTGAAGATGTTTGAATTGGGAGGAGCTTGAGAAACATGAAGGACATAAGAGCCATCGGAGTTGACGGTGTAGGTACTATTGAGCTGGAGGTGGCGCTGACCCATGTTCATAGCGTGAGTCGTGAAACCACCACGGGAAAGGACAACAGTGGTGTTCGCTGCAGCTGCGTTAGCAGAACCACTATACGAGCTTGCTGGTACAGTGATGTTAAAGTATTGGCCACCATACGTCACGGTTTTGGGAATGCCCGTTGGAACTGGACGAACGCTTGCAGAAAAGTAAGGCGGGTAAAATATTTCGGCAGTATATGTTGTAGGGTAGATCGTGCTCGTGTTGACATCGATGTTGGGATTCGACCCTGCGATCATGACACTAGCGTCGGGGAGAAGCATTGCGGAAGAGTGGTACAAGCGCGCGAGAGGAGAATTACTAAGACCAGCGTTGGACCACCGCGAACCCTTGGCAGCGTTAGGGTTGTAGATAGCAGGGGTACCAACAGGTCCAGAAGCGAGTGATTCACCAAAACCCATCTGGTAGAAGTTCGCGGTTTGACCAGTAGCTTGAGCGTACCCAGCGGTTCCATTAAGACCTCCGTTGACGACCAGAAGAGTTCCATCTGGAAGACTGATGAATTGACCCATAGTACGACCCTCCAGCATGTCATCGTCCTGCTCGTAGACAGGCGCGGATCCATCCTGAGGTTCCGGGGTCAAACGCTGGCAGTCTGCTGATGCCGGATATTCCCAGGTGTTGATAGCGGGGTAAGAGTAGTTACCCCAATCTTCATCTGGCATGTCGGAACCACCGCAGAAAATAACGGTAGGCGTGTAGTTGTTAGCTGGGGTGAGAGGAAGCATAGCGACAGCACCAGAAGCGGGATAGACCCGTGCCACGTTGCCGGGCATTCCGGGAAGAGCGGTCTCAGTGTTGGTATCCGGATCCCAAAGCACTAAGTCGCGTTAATGCAAGAGCATGCAAAATTAAACTACACGTACTGGTCGAGATATTGGCTTGGACAAGCATTTTCCCGTCAGGCATGAGGTAAGTGTGGGCATAGGAGTTGAGACCCGAAGTCGTGATCATGAACTGCATGACTGTTGCGGGGCCTTTGCTCGGGTAGAATTCGTACGTAGGTTCGGCAGCTCCACCCTCGTACTCCGGGTCGACATTAGGTGTGTTGCGGTTGATATATCCGCCATTTACAAATCCACCGATAATAGCAATGCTTCCATCGCCAAGAGCCTCTGCAGCTGAGTACCATCGTTGTTTCTGCATCGACAATACTGTGGCATTATCGAACCACTGGCACTGCGCACTTGCGAAGTCGTCCGCATTTGTGCACGGGTTGAGGATACGGATGGATTTGGTACCGTCGTAATCGTCATAAGTTGCGTCGTAAGCTCCTGAACCTGCGCTGTTCAGGACGCTGCCAATAGCGCCACCTGGTCCAATGGCACCGTTACCGCCGAAAGTGACATATGAACCGTTTGGTAGGTGCATGCCAGAAGCACAGAAGGTATTTGTGTAAACTTCCATAGCGGTGGCTGTATGCGAGTTGATGTCCCTGTGGTTGGTTGTGAGTGACATGGCGAGGAAGGACAGATGATGATTACCAAGCAGCGCCCCATGCAGGGTGACCGTTGATTTGGGCGGCGTTTCCCTCCGTTTTGTCGAGTATGTATACTTTTTCCTCGTTACCAAGGAACATCTAGAACAACGCGAGTCGAAAAGGAAGATGAGGATGATCAAGATGGATGATGGCACATTCAGCGACAGCCCAAGGCTTACCATCATAGCGCTGACGAGGGTGTTTCCGACTTGGACTATTGAGCCGGCTTGCTGAGCTTGGACGAGGCGAGAAGAGGCAGCGAGGGCTATAGGAAGCCATGGTAAAGCAGCGAACATGGTAGTTCGACGCCTAGTTGGAGTATGGCAAGAAGGTAGGATAAAAAGAGACTGGAAGAATAAAGGGAGGCTGTATAGGGGCCTAAGAGGAAGGATGGAGGGGACGAGGTAAGGAATGTGAGGGTGTTTTGTATCAAGGGTGGAAGACTTTACAGCGTTTGTTTGGATGTGACCACACTTGACCTAGTCTCGCTTATTAACCATTTCCATCAACAGAAGGACCCCACGATGCCGTCCCGTCTCATTTTCATTCTCAGACGGCATCCGACGCCACCTTGCTCCTCCACTCCAATCCATTTCCCGATATGACTCTCGCCGATACATTCTCCAGCATTGCCTTTGGTTTTATCCATTTCATTTTGGGTCCAAAGCGATTCTCATAACCTGCTGGATTGTGACATGTCTGTATCTTGCATGGCACGGCCTCACTTTTCCGGGGTCTTCGTCCCAGAACAACCGGCAGTCCCGCATGGCGTATATTTAGACAGCCAAAACCTTCAGTTATAAATTGATATCGACTTATATCAATAATTTGGTCGGCTAATGGAGACCAACTTCATTGTTGCAGCACTATCTTTAACAATCTTCCTGGTCTTCTGGCTCTTTCTCCATTTTTATACGCGTCTTAGAACATCATGCAGCTCATGGCACTCTGCTATTGCCTCTACTTGTTGCACCAGGCGGTCTCTGCGGTCCCACGGTCACTTTACTCCGAGTCCGTGGCTCTTGATGCGCCGATGTTGGGCCTTCCTGCTCTCGGTTCCGTCGCTCAAGGAAAATTTGATCATGAGACGTTGTGCGAGCCCTTTTTGCCTCCGGTTTGGTTTCCCGTTCTATTCAGTTCCCAGCCTAGACGTTGGTCTTGGTACTACTACATCCCCATTTTCTTGGACTGTCCGCACAGGTCTACCCCTTTCCATCGGTGCATGACTTTACCTTACCGCGTAATATCTGAAGATGCGTCCCGAAGGACCCATATTTGATGCGACTCATGCTCCGAAATGATACCTCCGAAGTGGTAACTGGACTTTGAGCGGCCCAACCCAAGAATTCAGCTCAAATTCGTTTCGTCATATTCGCGTGCATCCTTGGATTGACTGCTACGCCACGACGTTCGTGTGTGGCAAGCATGTACGACCACCGGTAAGTAATATTTGGCTCCCCACTTCGTGCTATTCCCTATGTACTTCTGTGCCTTGAATTTCTGTGTTATATGTTATTAAAGAACAGGTGAGCAGTATCGCCTCTTCGCCCGCGTTGAGCACCCTTACGATAATCATATTGATATTGTATTGATAGTATGATACCGTCGATCTCGTTCACGAACAACTTGGGCTTCTTCTGGTGCAAATAACACTTAATTCTGCTCAACCGCAAAAGCATCAGTGATCTTACACAATAGGTATAATTAGATTACTTATTTTTAGGTATCTCTCACTCACTTGAAGGAACCTGTCCCTGTTCTGTTTTTGGATCTGTTGTTCTTTTCTCAGAACTGTTAGTCCCTTACCACGAAGATGGTTGCTCAAAAGCTTGCACTGAGCAAGGTAAGATTCAAATACACGTTCTCACCACGCTGCCACACTTTCACATCTGTAGGCATGATCGCAACCAACGTCTAAACTTATGAATACCCTGCTCTACCCTACGACCATGGAATGGTTCCTGTACATGCCACGTTCATACACCCGTCAACACGTGGAGTTCATCTGGTCCACTTGACTTTGTCTCGTGTTCACTCAATGTATCAGTGTTTATGTCAATCCCGTGGTCGTCGATTGGTTTGAGTCAGTACTTGTTCATCCTCGTGTTCGTCACTCTGCATTTGAATTACACCGAAGGCCGGGTTCCTGGCTTCGTTGACAGTAGTTATTTTGGTGCCGTCGATGTGCGCAGATATATACTTAGTACAGCTACGTGTCAAACGTGAGATAACTTTAGCCTGCGTTCCGCTCAGGTTTTCTGTTTAGGTCGTAGAGTAAGGACAAATAAGGTTCAAGGTATAGGGCTCATCCACCGCTATATTTAGGTGGCCTGTTGTGCCGGTTCCATCATCTTAACGTCAACTGTACATCACATATTTCTGACAATCGGCTCGCACAGAGTCGTGCAGAATCAAGCTGCCAAACTTTCTGTGTAATTTTTTAAGATAAAAAGGAGGCTTTGTGTGCCATTAGATATATATAAGAAAGTCACAGGTGATCACATGACATTAGTAGGGTGTGGATGAGCCTACCACTCATGCTCATTCATCCCCAGTAAGAAACGACAAAATATATACCGAATCACATCGAATTTCATCGGATATTCGATGTGATTCGGTATATATCTTAAAACTACCATAATCCTAGATTATTTCCAGATGTAGAAGACTTGTATCTAACCACAGTGATAGCACAGAAATCATTCAATTTAGTTAGGTGATTCTTGTTGAATTTTGCTTATTATATAGAATATTTGAATCATAGTGTAAATTGGGGAGTTCTTCACTAATATATGGCAATTCACTTTGGTTATCTTTTATCACTCACTTACTCACACAGTACTGAATTTAACCTGGATTATATTCAGTGGTATGTAAGAGTTTGTGATTAGATTGTCCTAATCTAATCGCAAACTCGGACTAAATAGCCGTGTGGCTTAGAACTACATAGTTTACACTACCTATTTTGGATGTAAGGTATGACTAATGGTCAATACCTTACACCCTCCCCCAGAAAAGGAAGGTTTAGCATTCGTATATACAAAAAGATAGACAATAGAAAAGAACTTGAAATGTATTCAAGGTATATATGTAAAACATATTGTATGTACACTCACTGTGGGGATCAACTTATAATAGCTAGACTTGCAGTGTGATCTTACAGTGATTTATTTGTAAAAATATACCAATTATTGACAAAACCGGATAAACCTGAAGCAGCCATTGTTCTCCATGGAGCATAGCCACCACTCCATGGAGTCACCATTGTTCTCCTAGGAGCACAATTGTACTCCTAGGAGTCATTATACTGTAGCGAGTAGCACCTCTGACTATAAGTAGTAGGGGGCTTAGTATAGAAATACCTCAGTCGTTTCTATAGCCTCTTGGGCAGCGGCTGAGTTTCACATAGATTTATTAGGTTATGAGCCCTGGTGCGCAAAAGCTACGCAGGAAATAATTCTTATTTAAAACGGAAACCTCGGAACCATGACCACAGCACACGATACATCCGCATGTCCAGTTCTCACTGGACCCAACAATTTTCAGATATGGAAACTCCGGATCATCTCAAAGCTACGTCGGGAAAAAGTTCTCCGGGTTGTTACCGGAGAAGAGCTTAAGCCCTCACCAGGAAAACCTACCTCCTCGGAGGATCCTGAAATCACCTGGATACTTAAGGATGAGAAGGCACATGGAATCATCCAGGACCACATCTCTGATGCCCTCCTAACGAGGACTGGAGACCTCACCAGCTCCAAGGAGTTATTTGATAAACTTGTCTCACTCCATCAGACATCCAACATTGCCTCGGCCTTCTATTCATTCCAGCAACTTACAAAATTGTCCTGGGATGGGACATCACCTATCCAGGACCACATTGCAAAAATCTGGAAAATTGATTCACACCTCTCCGGAATGAAACTAGGAGTTGATACCAAACTCATGGCCTTTGCTCTTCTCCAATCTCTTCCATGCACTCCTGAATGGCAAATATTTCAGTCATCAGTAATCAACACGATTGAAGAAAATAAACTTATCTTTGATGCAGTTAAGATCCGGATCACTGCAGAAGTTGCACAACAGTCAGGAAAGGCTCCTGGAGGTTTCGAATCAGCACTCAAATCCGAGGAGAAGTGGTGTGACTTCCACAAAGTCAAATCACACAACACCTCGGAGTGTCGAACATTTCAGTTAGCTGGAAAAAGTCAAAGGAAAAAGGGAAAAGAAAGACACAAGGATAAAAGAAAAGAGAAGGAAAAGGCAAATATGGCGGAGCAATCATCTGGACCTGATTTCAAGGAGGAACAGAGTCATATTGCATTGGAACATGTACATATTTCCAAGCCCCTTGCTAAACACATTCAAGCTTACCTTGTGTTGGAACCCAATAAGACCAAAACAACAATCATTATTGACTCTGGAGCAACATCTCACATGGTCCCTCACTGCTCCTGGTTTGAGCCAGGAACATACCATGTTTTGCATCCTCCGAGGACAATCAGTTTTGGGGATGAATCCTCTGTAAATGCTATTGGAATTGGAACAGTAATCCTACAAGCAACAGTTGGCAAAAAAGACTACAATATTGCACTGTCAAATGTCTTACTTGTGCCAAACTTCACTTTAGCACTCGTCTCTGTCCACAGATTGTCGAAAATGGGGTTATCAACACTTTTTCCAGCAGGGTCAAATGCTTGTGAAGTTCAGAAAAAGGAGGAACTTATCCTCACTGCCTTACACAAGCGAGGACTTTATCACATCCAAGCAAAACCCGAAATTAACCCGGAGTCAGCTTTTGCAGCAGTAGATGTAAATTTATTGCACAGGAGAATGGGACACATTTGTGAGGAATCAATTTTTCTTATCGCATTCCCGTCATGTTGTGGTTAACAGACTCAATCCCTGTCACTCCTCTTGCCCTTGGACTAGAGATCACAGCAGGTGTCTTATTACTTTTATCCTTTTTCTTCTTATTCTCTATTCACACTCACGTCCTATCGTACTTACAACAAAGGAGACTTGTTGTAGACCCTCAAGAAGATATCCAAATGACATAGCAACGATCCAGTGCTATGTCTGGGAATACTTCGGAGGAATATTGATAAGCAAAGAAGGTTGTGAGTCAGTGCCTTCTCATGGGCTTACTGATACAGCCAATTGCACACCCCTTACCAATGCATTTTCTCATACAATTAGTAAATACGATAGATCGGACCACCTTCTCTTTTTCTCTTATTGGTTAGCTAGCTGGTCAGACCACTTTCTTAGTTCCTCCCTTTCTCGGTCTGACCATCGCCGTTCACTATATAAAGAAGTACATACTCGATGTATTACTCTCTAGTTCAATATTAGTTTGGATTTGCGCCTATACCGATACTCTTCAAAACTCATACCCTGCTTCACCGCCTTCCAGCAAGGACTTGACCAGGCATTGTATTTTGTTATATAGCTTTGTATTCGTTGCCTGACAACATTGGAATGGATCGCTTGCAACAAATGGTTACAAAAGGACAGCTCCAGGACATAGACACCCTTACCGGAACCCCGGAGTTTTGTGAACCTTGTGCTTTAGGAAAGATGAAGAAATTACCTTTCAAGTCCACTGGAGGAAACCGAGCCAAGCGCCCCATACAAATTGTGCACACAGATGTTGGAGGACCAATCAAACCAACTTCCAGGGAGGGTTTTCAGTACTGGATTATCATTGTAGATGATTTCTCCAAATTTCCATGGATATACTTCCTAAAACATAAAAGTAAAGCACTGGAACGATACAAGCAATGGAAAGAAGATGTCCAAACATTCTTCCGGACTCATTTGGGAGAAGAAAACTTCACTCCACTATACACAGAATTCCTCCGGAGCGACGGGGGAGGAGAATATACTGGCAATGCATTCAAAAATCAACTCCGAAGAGATGGTGTCATCCAAGAAACTACAACTGCAGATACTCCGGAACAAAATGGCATTGCAGAATGCATGAATCAGACATTGGCTACATTAGCAACCACTATGCTCCATGATTCCAAGCTCCCAAAGTCATTTTGGGTAAATACCATGCAAACAGCTGCATATATCACAGCACGCAGCCCAGCATCAGGACTCCATGGAAAGACCCCATATGAAATACTGTTTAAAAGGAGAGTTGATCCAACTTTGTTTTGCCCTTTTGGATGCCAAGCATATGCCTTGATTCCAAAAGACAAAAGGCAAGGGAAGTTTTACTCCATGGGGCGCAAAGCCATAATGATTGGCTACACACATGGAAAGCAAGCCTACAAACTCCTAGACACTGAAAAACGAACTGTGTTTTCCAGTCAGCATGTCATATTCAATGAATCCGGAAAGGTACAAAAGGACAACACTACTCTCTGGAACACAGACCCTAGCACAGATCAGTGGGAGGGACTCATTCCAGAGAATGCTCACTATCCAGACCAAAATACACCGGAGGAGGATGATCCTGACCCTCAGATCCGAGATCCAAATGAATTGCAAATGGAACTGCATCTCCAAGGAGATATTCTACAAGCAATGAAACTATATCAGCATGAAGATGTTCGGAGAACAGTGGGGCAATACCTCCGTGGAAACGTTCCGAGAGCAGTGGGAGCACCTGATTGGCTAAGACACCCTCCACAATAGTCTCTACAACCAAGACCTGAACACTGGCCATCTTCAGAACGGAAAGCCAAAGTAGAGTTACAGTCAGTGGGAGGACAGCCCCTCAACATACAGCCAGCTAATGTGGAAAAAGTCCGAATACAGCTAGACAGCCTGTCCATTGGATCAGCTTATGGAAGGCATACAACACCTCCAAAGAGTCATCCAACGCCTCCGAGAAGTGATTCAACACCTTCAGGAGTGGGTGGGGCAACAAATACACAAATGCGTCTACTCCCTGGAGTACCTGCACAAGTAAAATTTAAATTTGGAAAATATAATATTTATTTTAGAGATTCTTATTTATTATATAAAAGAGCAGTCATGCCTGCTGAAGTCCTAGGGGTATGCAGAAGCAGTCGCCAGACCCGTCCTGCAGACAAAAACCGAGATTATCAAAGGATTCTAGATGAGGAACAGTCTCAAAAAGAGCAGCATGACAACTCCATGGAGAAACCTAACACTCCTGAGGTTCATGAAGAAACATCTGATACAGAGGAGACATTCTTTGCTGGAATAGCAAGTACCGGTCCATCTAACACAAACCTTCCAAGGACACTAAAGGAAGCCTTATCACGTCCGGATGGAGAATCATGGAAGTCTGCCTTGGAGGAGGAACTCCTAAGTCTCAATACTAATGCAGTATATGACACTGTTCCACTTCCGAAGGGAGTAAAACCCATCACATCAAAACCTGTGTTCCGGATCAAGTTTGATCAAAACGGAAACATTGAGAGATACAAACTCCAGATTGTTGCACAAGGTTTTACTCAAAGGGAGGGGATTGATTACCAGGAGTTTTTTGCTCCGGTTGCAAACTTAGAGTCAATCCAAATTATTCTAGCCCTGGCAGCAAAGTACAACCTAGAATTTGATCAAATAGACGTATCCACAGCTTATCTCAATGGAAAACTTGAAGAAAAACTGTACATGCTTCCTCCAGGGGGTGTTCCTATCCAACCTGGATACTACTGGAGGTTGAAGAAATCCATCTACGGATTAAAACAAGCTGGTCGTATATGGAACAAAACCTTTAATTGCAAACTCCAGGAGCTCGGTTTCACAAGACTAAATGCAGAAACATGTCTCTATGTATTCCGGGACAACAAACAAATATGCTTTATTGTTGTCTATGTAGATGACCTCCTCCTAGGAGCTTCATCCCGAAAATTCATTGATATCACAAAAGCCAAACTCGAATCCATATTCAAGATGCGGGACCTTGGAGAAGCAAAATACATCCTCGGAATAGAAATCCAACGTGATTGTTCAAACAAAACAATATCCCTATTGCAACACTAATACATTGACACAGTCCTGGAGTGTACTGGAATGAAGAACTGCAAACCAGTATGGACACCAATGGCCCATGGATCAAAACTCCTTGCAAATGCTCCAGGGGAAGATATTGTGCAACACGAGATGCATATTGAAGGGCATCAAGTGTCATACCTCTCAATTGTAGGCTCCCTCATGTATGCCATGCTCGGAACCCGCCCAGACATTGTCTATGTTGTTGGAATACTAAGCAGACACAGCTCAGCTCCAAGGAGCCATCACTGGGAAGCTGCTAAACATGTTCTCCGATATCTGAAAGCAACCAGGGACATGGAACTATGTTATTGTGGCACAGATGTCTCCATGGACATGGATTTCTATGGATATTTGGATGTGGATTGGTCTGGAGACCCAGACACATCTCAATCAACATCAGGCTTTGTTTTTATCACCATCCGAGGAGCAATCTCCTGGACAAGCAAAAGACAAAGCATGGTAGCTTTATCCTCCATGGAGTCAGAGTACATTGGATTGGGCAATGCTGGACAACACCTTGCATGCCTTTGGACATTTTTTGAAGAAATTGGACATGCTCAAAATGGACCTACAACATTGCACTGTGACAATCAAGCAGCTATTATTGTTACACGAGATCCGCAGTTCTGTGCTCGCACAAAACATATTCAATGGAAATATCATTTTATCCAAGATGGCTTAGTATCAAAAGGAGAGGCAGTAATCAGATATGTTCCTACAGGAGATATGGTTGCCAACATTCTCACTAAACCCCTTACTCATGAAAAACACTGGAAATTCTCTAAAGCTATGGGATTATGGTTGCACTTGAGTTGGAGTGACAAAACCGGATAAACCCGGTCTCTGCTAAAGCAGCCATTGTTAGCCATTGTTCTCCTAGGAGTCATTATACTGTAGCGAGTAGCACCTCTGACTATAAGTAGTAGGAGGTTTAGTATAGGAATACCTCAGTTGTTTCTATAGCCTCTTAGGCAGCGGCTGAGTTTCACTTGGATTTATTACCAATGGTTTGATAAAAGTGCTTTCAAGGTTTGAAGATAGGAGATGGGCGTGCAGGGATTGGGGTGAAACGACAGACAGGCGATGATAGTCTCGGTGATGTGTATCGGATTCGCGGAGATTAGAAAAGTCCTTCCGTCACGGACGCGAGTTGTCACCCATCGTCACACTAAGATGCGACGTCACGGCGTCGACTACGTCGTTGTCCGTGTCGGATACGAAAAAAGCTGACGTTGTATAGAATTAGTTGGGAGAAATGTACGCCTGCAGCGATCGCCACGGGCAGTCGACGATCGTCTGTGTACGAATGCAGCAGTTGAGTTGCCAGGAACAGAGGAGACAGGATGCTTCTAATTAGATAGCTTGGAGTGTCGTCGACGTTCGTCTTCACGCGGTCAGAGCGAATGACATCTGGTGAGTGAATCTACCCATAACTGTTATATATCCTCTTACTCCCTCCCTATCGTCCACTGCCATGTCGCCCTCCTCCACCCCCACATTTGCTACTCTTCGTGCTCTCCACGCACTCATCGGCGACGCTCTCGACGACATCCACCGTCTCTTCTCTGACTCTCACTCCTCCCCATCCACTTCTCCCCGCTCGTCTCCCTCTCTCTACCCCGACTCCACACCCTCATCGCTCCCCTCCTCACCCTCCTCTGTCGCTTTCACAGCCCCCCCCATCCCAATCTCCCCCTCCTCCTTTCCCCCCCTCATCTCCCACACGACAACGCACTCCCTCTCCCTCCCTCCCTCCACTCGACTATCCTGACCCATCTACTCCTTACGACCCATCTCACCCCTCAGAAATCCGCGCAGCTCATCCCCAGGTCATCGCAGCCGCCAATACACTCATCGCAGCCTGCACTCAGCTTGCCACATTCGTGCAGCAGCCGTTCCTCGTCATTTGTGATGCCGCAATTGGAGTACGTTTTCTTGCCTCTGTGTTTCCTTATCTGATTTCGTTATCTATCGATCGCAGTACAATCTCCCCGCATGCCTTCGCTTCCTCGAAGCCACTCACGTCGTCGAGATCCTCCGCGATGCTGGCGACGGTGGCCTTCACATTCGTGATATAGCGGCCCAGAATGGCGTAAACGAGGTGATATTGGGTACGCTCGACTCTTCTTTCTTCTTTTCCCTCTTCCACCTTTACCCCTTCCGCGTATACCCACTAACCCCTACGTACATAGCCCACGTCCTTCGTCTTCTCGCAACCCACCATATTCTCCTTGAGCGCTCTCCTGATGTCTTCGCCAACACTCGTATCTCAAGCCTAATCGATACAGGCAAAAGCGTAAATGAGCTTTGTATGCGCGTTCCTGTCGGTGGTGGCATGCATGACGAGACGCAGGCTACATTCCTCAGGTGAGCAATTCTGTAATTGGTATCGGCTATACTTTTCTGACTTTCGTCCTCTTTCCTTACACTCCCTCCCACAGTCCCACCCCTGAAAAGAAATACGACGATACAAACGGCATAGCTGCGTTTGTCGGGCTTTGGTGGGTTCTTTTCAGTCACTTTGTCTTTTATTCTGCTTTGCATTGGCTTTGCTACTTTCGAGTACAGGCCATGCTCCCTGTTATCGTTGATGTTTTGAGAGACGTGGCGTTGCGTTTTAGTGACGACGCGTTGTGACAAGCTCGTATCATTGCTTTCGTCCTTTTGTCGACGAACAAATTGCTTTGAGGCAGGCTCATTCGCGCGATCTTTGAAGTCCTCGACCTTCATTTAGATATTTTATACGCGCATACATGCACAAAATTTTTGTTACATTTTACTTTCCTTTCTTCCTCGTGTCTTGCATGATATTAAAGTAAGCCATGGATGCTAACATGCCTTCCCGCAACTCAAAATAGCACGGACGAGCTTTTTAAAGCAGCCGCATACCTCACAGAGGCGTTCACCGGGGTTCCTCCTACGACGCCTAATCGCACTCGCACTCAAAATCAAGATGAAACTCAACTTCAAAAGCAAAGTCTCGTCACCACCGCTAACACTACCGATGATAAGGACAGGCAAGTCGGACTCGCTGGGTGCCCATGTGCGGATCGTTGTCCTTGCGTTTGCGATCGTGGGGTCGTCAAAGGAAGGTTTGAATGTGAAGATGGAGGCAGGAACGCCTCGGTCAAGTTCAGTCTTCAACCTCCCTTCGACCTTCCGACCTTCCATAAGAAGTCCATAGCAAAAGTCCAGGCTCAGACTCATGCGCACGCACCAGCAGAATTAAAGATGACGGTGAGCTTGCCGAGCACAACGGCATTTAACATCGCATTCTCCACCAGCGCTGGGTTTTTCGAGTGGCTCGAGGAAGGGCGGGACGAGCGTGGGACTGATGCTGGAACTGGAATTGATATCGAAAATGACGATAACAGTGGGAAAACGAGGAAGCCGAATACGCACAGGCTCGCGCGGTTCTCGAAAGCCATGAAAGGGACTGGTGCTTGGGAGGCACCAGGAGCTATTTTGCACGGTGAGTTTACGCACCATTTTTTTCTCCAGTCAAACTGCCTGCAGTCATTCTTTTCTATGCGTTGCTTTATTCTTCTTTCGGATTATAAACTTAGTTCTGACCCATGATTTTACTCGTTCTGTTTTCCTTTTCTTGTTGGCCAGGGTTCGACTGGACATCACTCCCGCGTGGGAGTAGAGTTGTGGATGTTGGAGGAGGGATTGGGAGTACGACGATGGTGCTTGCTAGGGCTTTTGGTGGTAATGTTGATGTGGGCAAGGGCATCGATAATGTCACGGAAGGTAACAAGGACGAAAGCTGGATGAAGAACGAAGAGGATACCAAAGATAATCTAGAGCTCGCATTTGTTATCCAGGACAGGAAGGTAGTTGTTGGGCTTGGCATTGCTGTAAGTTGTTAACTTTTTGTTCGTGACCGGTTAGAAGTACGTGGTCATCCGTTGTCCTGATATACCTCTTTTTGTGCCTTTCTTTTAGGCTTGGAAGGCGCAGTGTCCAGAGATGCTCGATTCGGGGAGGGTAGTGTTTCAAGGTATGCGTGAAACTTTTTACCCCTTTTTACCCCTGTTCACTATGCTCGATCCTTTCGTACAACTTCGATCACAACTTGTTCCATATATTTCATTTCATTTAAACCCAACATTGACTCATCCTGACTCGGTCCACGCCACCCTAATTCGCAGAACATGACTTCTTCGCCCCGCAGCCTATCAAAGATGCGGATGTCTTCCTCCTCCGCGCCGTTCTGCACGACTGGCCTGACAGGTACGCTAAGCGAATTTTGAGGAGGCTAAGAGAGGCTGCCGTCGTCAGGAGTGGTCATCGTGGGGAAGGTGTTTCCCTGATTGCGGAGGAACTTGGGACACGGCTGATCATTGCTGATCACGTGCTCCCACTCGCTTGTATCGATGATCTGGAGCCTATGAATGACCCACATGGTGATGCGGGTGTGGAGTCGGGGGAAACATTAGAAAGAAGCGGAGTACAGGAAGGAAAGGGAAGCGAGGGGAGGGGAAAAGTTTGGGATTTACCGAGTGTCCTTGCGAATGTGGAAGGCGCGGAGCGCACCCTTGCGCCTGCTCCGCTTCTGCCTAACCTAGGCAAGGCAAGTGCGAATGCATATTGGATGGATCTTACGGTGAGTACAGCCGAGGCTCACGTCACTACCACCATGCATTATGTTGTGACTGACGGCGAAACTTTTATTTTACGTGGAATAGATGCAAGCGATATTCAACGGGAAGGAAAGGACGCTGCGCGAGATGTGTGCCCTGGCCCTGTCTGCAGGTTGGCGTGTCGTGCGGGTGACGCGTGCTGAAGGCTCGTTATTTGGCCATATCGTGTGCGTCCCGATCGACATGCCGCCAGATGAGGACGACTACGTGGTCGAGAACGATATCCTTCCTCCCGCTACCTCCCCTGATGCATCGCACGACAGCCCGAGTACCGAAGGACTGCAGGTTAGGGGGAGGGAGCTACAAGCAGTGTCGCCACAGCTGCTCTCTCGGCTTCAAGGTGATATGGGCATGGAGAGGCCGAGTCTCGGTTCGAGATGCGGGACGCCGACATTCGGGTCGAGAATGAACCTCCCAAAAGCGGATGAGCATATGTCGATGACGCTCAGGAGGGGGAAAAAGACTATCAACGGTAATGGAAGCCTCAACCTAAGCCTGAAGACGCGTGTTGTTCCAGCGCGACGTGATGCTCAGGCCAGCAGCCGCGTTGACTCTTCGCGACAAGCTCAACTTGTTGGCCTGGGTCTAAGACAGACGCGCTCGATCATGGCTCCTCACTCTCCTCTCGCACCATCATCCATCCCGCGTCTTGTGTCGGGCCCTCCGTCGCCGGCTTCGTCTGCATTTTCTGTGCGCCAGAGCCAAGGACAAGGACCTCCACCGGTCCCAACCTCTCCCCTCGTAAATACCTTCTCCCGACAATTTACACCAGGTCCTGTGCCGTCAGTATCTCGCCGCCGACTGACGGTTACGGCAAGCGAACCGAGGAGGGTGGGAAGTGGTTATTCGAGCGATACTATTGGGACTTGGGCTGGAGCGGGAGCTTTTACCAGTGCTGGCAGCGATCGCGACCATGTGGGCGCAGCAGATGGTGGTAATGTTCGTACTAGAGGCCTAGCGCGCCGGCCTAGTCTCGCTGTGCTACCAAGCCCAAGAACACCTGGAAAGACCGATGGTAACGCTGGGACTGGGCGAGAAAAATTAACTCGTCGACCAAGCCTTGCGGTGCTTATGAGCCCGAAGACACCTGGAAAGGGTGATGGGAACACTGGGACTGTGAGAGAAATTATGCGTCGACCGAGTCTTGCGGTGCTTTCGAGCCCAAGGACTCCTGGGAGGGGTGGGAATGGGAGCGACGGCATTAATTCTGCGAGCCTGAGGGAGTTGTCACGTCGGCCAAGCCTGGGTGTGCTTTTGAGCTCCAGAGTGCCGGGGAGGAATGTTGGTGATGACGGAGGTTCTGGAGCTGGTGCGTTGGGAAACACTTGGAGGTGATTGGAGAGGTGATACAGGGCAGGCGATGGGTGATCGTTCAGAGTGCCTGGAAGTGATGATGTTTCATGATTGGAAAGAAAGAAAGAAAGAAGGTGTAGTGTTGCTTTGTTTTTATATTATGTTATTCTCGAAATTCGATCGCGAAGGATGCTTCATTTGTTATGTATGTTACGAGTGCTATGATTGTTATTGGACTGCCTTATATTTTCCATCTAATACTTACCACCTCTTCTCGGTTTTCGTGGTATGGTTCATTATGTTATGTTATATGTAGTGCTAAAAGCTGTACGTAGTACACTAGAGTAGATATTTCAATCAGCGTAATGATAGAATGCTATACATTTAGGCGCTCACTCAGAGTCTATAGGAACGCTGCTAGCGCTCAAGTTTTCGCTTAGCTTACACAGTTTCGCTAAATTCGCACGTTTATCTTGAGCCTGTAAACGCACTGGCACGAGCACTGCAGTTGTTACAAGCTGATGCATACACGGCCAGTCGAACTCTTCGTCTGTACCATCATCCTTTTTGTATGATTTCACTGTAAACTCTTCCACAAAACCTGCGATGCTTGGAAAACTCCCTCAAACGTTCACAGCTCCGTTTGGTCTACTAAGCGACGAAGCCAAACTTGCATTTCGCAGTCAACCTCAAGGAATTGCAAAACTTGCATCCACCAGAGTACGTATGTGTGGCCCGTCTCCTGTATAGGGTCTAATATTCGTATGGCTTGCCGCAGAATATTGCTGAAACCGATAGCTACTGGAACCAGGTGTGTGTCATTTGTCCTCCCAACCCTTGCTCTCTATTGACAGCTCTATCCAAGTATTTTGTATTGTTTGACACGACTTCCGATGTCTTCTCTCTAGTATCCCCTCACGATGGTCTGTTCTACACTCATTCTTCTCTGCCCGCCCACAGCAACTCTGACTATTGTTCTCAGTTCGTAGAGCTCTGCAGGACGCACCAGAAAACATTGCAACGCTCATTCGAGTTGTGACCTCACGTCTTTTCAATCTTATTTCCGACCATACGTTCCCTACAACAAACGGCAACTCCGTTGCATCATATGCAACCTCGTTCATCAAAACAGGTTCGGCGGAGCGAAACACCACTAAAGAGGTCCTCAACTGCCTAAGAGTTCTCCAACGAGTGTTACCCGTGGTGTTTGAGGTAGAAGGGGAGTCAAACGTTTTTGAGCTTGAGGTGCTGTGGAAGAAAGTCGAACTCGACGATGATCAAGATGAGCCTAGTAATGCGGGAGAGGCACCGCAATTTGTCATTGAAGACGATGAGGACGAGGATGAAGATGGGAGTCAGCATGGTGCAGCGTCCAAAAAGCCCTCTCAAACACCAGAGCCCAAACCAAAAGAGAAGAAGATGTCACCTACGCTTGGCGAGAAGCTCTTTAACTGCATCGTTGATCTTCTCTTCTGCTGCGGCTTCACTCTTCCACTCAAATTACAGGTTGACCATTATAAGATCAACTATGTTATATGGTGAGTCTTTCGCTTTCATTGGGTGCCATCTATTTCATGGGTTACAGGGAGAAGGGAGTTGGATCGACAGCTGATATAGGGCCAAATAACGCTTTCGACTCTAACAAAACAGAAGTTCTCCGTCTTCTGCTAGTTCTCTTGTCACGACAGATCTACGTCCCACCATCGTCTCTTTTCACCAAACCGTCCTTCTACAGTTTACATTTTGCCCGAAAGACACCTCGTCGGGATGTCTTAACGATACTATGCTCGCTGTTGAACACCACCATGAACTCGTCCGTCACTAGCAATGCAACTATCGGCAGTATGGCAGGAAGGCTGCCTTATAATCATCTTGTTTTCAAAGGCGAAGACTCGAGATCTATTCTTGTGGGCATGTGCTTCCAGGTTCTGTGTGCGTTGCTGGATTTCCAAAGTGGCCCCGCGAGAGATGCCGTCGTGGGCAGTGGTGAGAACATCAGTTCTGCACCTACAGCGCATACGAATGCATTCAGATACTTCCTCGCCAAGCTGGTATGCGCCCTGATCACTCGCGAGGAACAAATCAACTAACTGACAGATCGTGAAAAGCATAGGACGCATGATTTTGCGTTTATTCTCAGTGGCATTACAGAGATCTTGAAGCGGCAGCTAGCCATTATGAACAACGTACTTCCAGGTGCAAGGAAGTCCATACCTTACGTTCCGGAGGCTAGTACGTACCCTCGTTTTCTACTACGAGTTAACCTTTATAGCTGACGTGGACCAGTCGTACTCTTTTGGAAGATGATCGAGCTAAATAAGGTACATATGCGCTTTCACGACGATATCCTCATATCTGATATTCATACCCTGAATGGAACTCGACGTCGTAACCTAGAAATTCCGAGCATACGTTCTTGACTCAGATAAGGCTGTGGATATTCTTGCATACTTGTTATGCTACTCCCTTGAGATCAAGGATAAGCCTCGTGGGTCACTATTCACCGGTATATTTTCTGCACTAATAATTTTTGTCAGAGCAACACGGCCTCTGCAGAGCTCTATCTTACATCGTACAGATCTTATCGGCTGAGCCTGCTTTTGGTAATAAGCTGTCCTCACCCGTCACAGTTCAACTACCTGCCAAGTGGAATGCTCCAGGTACCGCTGCAGATTTCATGGTAACGGTCAGTTTCATTTTCTTCAGGTTTCTTTCTTTCACGTATACTCACCTGAACGGAAGGCCATCTATTCGATTATAACTACGACGTCTGGGTCACTGAATTCGATATACCCTGCCTTGATTATTGCCCTGTCGAATGCCGCTCCGTACTTCAAGAATCTATCTATCGTCGCTTCGACCAAGCTCATCCAGCTTTTCAATTCATTTTCGAACCCTCTGTTCCTCCTTTCAGATGAGGGGCATCCCAGGCTTGTCTTTTTCATGTAAGCGGTAACAAGTAGTTTCATTACAGGACTCCTGTTGATGCTTTTCCGTGTCATTAGGCTCGAAGTCTTCAACTCCGTGCTTTTCCACCATCTCGGAGATAATCCAAACCTGCTCTATGCCATCTTGACTGCTCACAAGTCCTTTGAAACCCTGGGTACGTTCACGTTATCTCGAGGGCTACGTGAAATAAAGCGGGTCCAACTGGCCAAAGAGGAACAGGCTCGGAAAGCCGAGAGTGGTAACGATACCAAGAATGGACGTATGCAGAAGGAAACAGAACCAGAGGACGCTCATGCAGAAAAAGTTAGACTGCTTCGAAGCGAGAGCATGGGTCTATCTGGAGACATAGAGAGTGGCGAAATCATGGTGGAAGGATCACCACATCACGACCGTTTGGAAGAGCGCAGCTCTCAAGAGGAGACATCAGTGACCTATCCATTGATGTCGCCCACTGTTGGGAACATCCCAATGATGAGCGATGGTATTGTAGGGTCGGCGTCCGAGAAAGCTAGAGGGAAAATGAAGGCTAGGCGATCTGAATCGCTCGATACGACGAGTAGTGTCGACCGAATTGCTGCTGCTGGTGTGGGTAGGAACGGCTTTGTGCCGACACAAGAATGGGTAAGTCGTATATTTCCCACCCTACCGCCAGTACTCATCTCAAACTTTGCAGGTCACGTCCTGGCAGCAAGGGTAAATTGACATCAGTCCATATTCATTATCTTATGATGCTAATTTTTCTATACAGATTGCCTTTGGATATTGTAATGCTTGCGATATCTGAGCTACTCGCGAAAGTGGAGAAAATGCAGTCTGGGCATCAAAAAGCGGCCACTGCTGCTTCTATCACAAATTTCCTTCAAAGTGTGGATTTGGCACATGTCCTACCTCCTGCTCCTCCAGTCATCCCACGGCGGTTTTTGGTGAGACTTTTAGGATTCTTCTTGATGTTCTTGTTGAATCTAAATAATGCTTTTGTCGTGCCAGTGGTCGGATGCTTCGATAGTATGGCTCACGTCTCTGATATGGGGAGAGATCTATGTTCGCGGCATGTCTCCACTTGGAATCTGGAATTCCACCAATGTTCGCCTATTTTACGTGAAGCACACACAGACGCAGCAGCGACAGATCACAGAGGCTGTTTCCAGCGTGGTTGGAGGTCTTCTTTCTCCTGTTAGCAGGCAAGGCGCAGAGCGTTCTTAGGCTTATAGGTCAACCATTTTGGGACATCGAAGAAGCCATTTTTCATATAAATGACAGAGTACCGTGTTCGAGAGAGGCGAAGAGGACATGCAAGCTATCCTAAGGTGATAGTGCACTGCTGTGTCCGGACATTTTCAATTATATAAAACTTCTAGCTTAATCCAAGCAAAACTTTTAAGCACCTTCGATGACACATGTTGTTTTCCTTGTGTGTATAAGGTCTGCTTCATAGTTGCGTTCGCTGATGGACCTTCGACATGGGAAAGCCCGTTTTTGAGCGCTGAACCCTGAGTTCTGCTTGCACCTCCTGTTTTACATCATATGATATTCGATTCATACCACCAGCGTTGGTTATTTAGTTGTGTATGAATGCTTCGCCTGATTGAAGCGCTAAGGTCGGGAGTACCTTTGGGATCTCAATTAAGTTCGATCAGAAATGCACAACGGCACTGGCACGTGCAAAACATGTCTAATGTGCCTCTCTCCATCCAGCCTTATCAACCTATTATTATGCACTGCAAGTCCAGCTTCCCCTATTTTCTTTGCCCGTAGGCTGCCGCGTGGCCATGTCCGAACTTCCCAGTCAACTATCCGTCCTTCAATTGTCACTTCAATCAATGGTTATGAGGACTCGAAGTTGATTCATATGATCCTAGAAATCTGCGGTGCGTTTTTTAGTATCAGTTGTGTTAGCCCTGCAGATATTAACAGCTTAAACACGCTTCAACAATCGTAGTCACACCTCCGAACTTATGTTGCAGATGCTGGTATTTAGACGCTGAAATTGACGTTCCGCTTAAAGTCCTGTACACGCGTTGGCAAGTACTAGTAGGACTACCTACTATCAGACGCTCAAATCTACGCAGTTCAGGAGACGAACCTTTGATGGTAATTTGTACGTCATTGTGGAATAAGTTGGCGGAACCACTAGTTGAGCAGGAAAGTTAAGTTCCATTATGGCTCTCTTATCTTCCAATAAACCATGCTGTTGTACTCATGGTGACTTGCCTTTAACAGTTATGTTATGATTGTTCCTGAGTCGAAAAGATCTAACGCACAAAGCCCTCACTTATTGGACACACTGTTGGACGCCTCTCAGCGATCGCCAATTCGGAAACAAATAGCGAGGACAAATATGAGTTCCATTCAATACATTCATATATACTATACATTGCCATGCATATCCACTCTTTGAGAATTCTCATCTCAAACGCCCACAACAAATGAATACCTGCAGGCTCAAGGATGATTCGTTTTCGAGTCCTTGCATCGATATGACTAACTGGTGTCGGAATACAAGCTCCCAGCCTCCATTAATCCAACACAACTACTGGCACATCCATTATCTATCATCTTCACCCTTCTTTTAGGACTTTTTTGTGCCACTGCACTTGCAAGATACATGAAAGCCGATAAGTCGATGCAAGCGCTCTAACTTTGTTCATCAGGGGATATCGAATCATTGTACTGACAACTCTGACGAGGCCAATCGGATGACTCTGAATCAGATACACTATAGGATAAGTATTTGCTTGTCCCAACGTCTCCACGATATTCACGCTCCTATCTGCCAGAATGCAATCTCTCTTAGACGCTCTGTCCAAGTTGCCCTAGACCCTGCCCTGAGATTTACGACAGGCTATAAATTGCAGGACCCAGCGCTCAAACTGACAGGCGTTCCTTCGCATCATCTATCTGGCCACGGGGAACTTACCTTATCTAGACGACTGAATTGAACCTTGGACTTATCCGCGTTGGGTTAACAGACAAGATCGTACTACGATTTGGCATATAATGCAGACATTCTCAATGTCTGAACCCCCTAACAACTTATTTTTTACTGTCTTTCTACAAAGTCACTCTCACTATGACGATGTTAACTGTGCTGGGACCACATGCGAATAACCCTGTCGACTCTCATCAAGATGTGATGGTTGCGTAAGTTCATATTTCTCTGAAATTGCGTCGACAAGGCTCAACCGTTGGATGACACCACCTCTGAAGAGTTATGGGTGCTACAGGAACAGGTATGTCGAACCTAACCATCAAGATAGGTCTCGTGAATTAATCTACCTTTATTTCCTCCGTCGACTAGGGAAATCTTCGGTGAGCATCGCGATAAACAAAGTATGTGGTAGGTGAATGCTGAACCATTGCTACAGTTTATTCGGCTTCTTACGAAGGACGAGAATATACACATCGGTCACGGGCAAGAGTCTCAGACTGACCAGATCAACACTTCTTGTTATTTCGACCCCAGCATCGGTCGATCTGTGGTACTAGTTGACACTCCGGGCTTTGACGACTCCCGTGATGGCGTGAGCGATGTCGATATTCTCGAAAAGATTGCCAAGTTCCTGCAAGATGGGTAAGTAGCGATTCTTTAATGGTTTCATAGCTCTGACGGCTGGACATCTCCAGGGGTGGACGAAAGTTGAACGGCATCATTTATATGCACCGGATCTCTGACCCTAGAATGGGTGGGAGTTCCAGGAAAAACTTGAGGATGTTCAAGCAGCTCTGCGGTGACGGTACACTCAAGAATGTTTGCATAGTGACGACGAACTGGAGCAGGGTCACCGAGTCGGAAGGAGCTTCTCGAGAAAAGGAACTTGGCACTAACGGGAACTTCTTCAAACCTCTTCTCGATGCCGGAGCTCAACTCGTCCGCCACGACAAAGAACTTCAGTCCGCTCAGCCTATCATGTCCAAACTCATTTCCAAAACTGCGGTTACTACCCAGCTCCAGGCAGAGTTGGGAGAGGGCAGGGTCTTACGGGATACATCAGCGGGCTCTGTGCTCAGTGAGGAGATGAAGGAACTCATCGAGAGGCACCAAAAGGCGATGCGAGCTCTAAAACAAGAGATGGAAGAGGCCGCAAGGGAAAAAGATGAGGCATTAAAAGCAGAGTTAGAAGAAGAACGTCAGACCTTGGCGCACAAGATGGAGAAGGCAGAACAGGATCGCAAGAAGCTAGAGAAAAAGATAGAAAAGGAACGTATCAAATTGAACGCCGAGTTGCAGAAGGAAAGGGTGCAACGTGAAAAAACGATAGCAGAGACCGCGAGACTGGAGAAGGAAATGATTAACCTGGAAACCGAAAGGAAGAGAATGCATGGCGACCTTGAAAAATTGAAACAAAATACGGAGCGTGATCGTGCAGACATGATGAAAAAGACGGAGAAGGAGCGTGCAGAGCTGGAGAAGCACGTTGAAGAGTCTCGTAGGAGATTGCAAAGGGAGATGGAAAAGGCGGACGAAGAACGTAAGAAACTCAGGGATGATATGACGACGTTGGAGAAGAAGTCTAAACGGTCCATATTCGCAAAGTTCTACAGTACGGTTGATGACGTGGCTACAGAATTTTCCAGGGAGGGCGAGGAAAGTTTTGGAGTAGCTGGTGCTGTTGCGGGAGGATTGATCGGTATCGCAGCGGGGCACGTTGTGGGCACTAAGAGACTGATATTTGGATCTGATTAGGACGTTCTGTTTCGCCTACATATGCACCTAATACTACATCTGGCACCGTGACACTCACCCCAAATACGACCGCGTGACCAAACGCGTTCGTGACGCTTTGCGAGCCTTAAAGCTTAAAGCTTAAAGTAACAAGTCACCGCTTCAATTTCTCTTCTGAGCCCTTTCCTGGAAATGAACATCAATATTTACTGTCACAGGATTCAAGAACCAAAGTCTAACATCAGAAAAGCTACATTTCTTACTCTTAATCTACGAAATTTACCTCCATCCCCATCATAAACTGCAAAAAAGCCATACTCATTTCCTCGCTCTCTGCATTAGAATCAAGTTAGTCTTCGTTCAAAACCATACCAGACAACACTTGCCATCGTACTTTTGTTCAGCCTCGGTCATCTCAGTGAGATACATGTCTGTGACAGTAAGCTCCTTATCAGACAATATCACCTTCGTCGCTTTCACCACCTCGTTTATAAACTTGCCAAGCGTCACCAACCCCCCAAGTGTTTCTTCGTCCACTTCTTCCCCGCTCTTCTCTCCCCCTTCTCTTTTGGTGATTATCGCCCCAAGTTTATTCGACGCTCGCTTTGCCATACCCCCCATAATCATCATTCTTAGAGGATGCACCCACCACACAAATACCCTCCCCTTCCCTCTCAGTAGCCTCGCGTACTCGCTGACAGGGAGCTTTATCATAAACCGTGCCTTCTCGAACATCCCCTTGTCTCGTGCATTTCCCCAATCTTCCAATGGAAACCCTTGTTTGCTCTTTGCCGCAGTCGTTTGAGCTCCCCCGTCATCCTCACATTCGCATCGAGATGCATACCACATGACTGCATAGAGCAGCGATTCAAAATCGTGTCGGCATCGCGGAGTGGTGGCGTGCTGGACAAGAATGTCGAGAGAGATGAATGGGGCGTCTGTGAGCAATCTTCTCGGAGAAGAAGGAGTATCAGGCGACGAGCAAGGTGGCTGGCTCGTTGAGTAGTCAAAATCGCCTAGTGCACCGCACGGCTGGTCGCTTTGCTTCCGAAACAAGATATTGCTAAGACCGATCTCTCCGTGCGGCTTTCCTGATAATCTGTGGAGCATCACATAGCCTAGACATTCGAACTATCACTTCCTCGAAAACCAGACAAGGTCAAATAGAAACGATCGAGTTCCGACGCACAATATAAGACATCGCGAAATACTTGTGCTGCTTCAGCGACAGCTGTCAATGAGGAGATGGAGAAAAAGAGCTGCTCAGGCATGGGGCTTTCAGGGTGCTGGCTGATGTGAACCTTTTTGGAAGATGTAAACTCAAGGCATTCGGGTCGCTCGACGCTCATGTTACCTTGCATACCACGAGGAGACGTCGAGGCTTCATAACCCTATCTTTCCGAGGCGTACGTACTGATCAATGCCGATAGCACCTATCCTTCCTTCCGAGTCATATTCCACGTGTGCCATCATCAGTCTCATAACGTGGAAAACGCGGGGACATGCTCGTAGGAACCCATCAGGTCTTCCTCCTCGATATTAATCCAAACCTATCCATCAACCTACCCTCGGGCCGCCAAAACCGTATCCCAAACTCCCCGTCCGTATGATCATGGATCGGACAAGATAACTTCTCACCGACTGTGATTCACGACGGGAAGCGGCTTGATTTGTGCAGAACCAAAAAAATCACAGCTCAGAAGCGCACGTCCTCCCTAGTCAAGCAAAAGACTTGGGATTTTGGCCAATAAATCACGAGCTCATGGACCGTTTACGAAATATAACTTTGCCATACCATCAATCCCACACAAGCTTTTCAAAGGATACACGCTCAGTATCCCAACCACTCTGAATCTACAGTCGTATGCCCATTCCCATCAGATTCAGCAAACATTTCTTATCCAATTCCCGAGAATCTACGAGAAAACCGATTAGCCTTAATACACAAAGACCCTCCATTATAACCAATGAGAGCTGAAGAGAGGGAAACAGAAAATACACATAAAGAGGACGTGAAAAGACTTGCCTCCAAATTTCTTTGCATCCTCTCTCATTTCATTTATCAATGCGTCCGTCATTTCGAGTTTACTATCCCGCATGATCATCTCTATGCCTTCGTTTATCACCTCGGCTATCCTACTAAGAGTGACCACTCCCCCGAACGTTTCTTCATCTATTTGCTCTCTATGCTCGTACGGTTTCCGTTTCAACATCCCATCTCTAAATGTCATCTGGAAATAGCACAGCGGCCACACGAGCATCCTTGCTTTTCTTGGTAGCAACCTATCATACTTGCAATCAAAGACACCGAACATAAATTTTGCCTTGGCAAATTTGGCATCACCTGCTGGATATCCCCAGTCGTCCAGCGGAGCCCTAGCAATCTCTTTTCCACCCTCATACCGTGATGCGCACCAGGTAATCGCGTAGAGGAATGATTCCAGGTCGTGTCGATATCTGGGAACAGCGCTGGGTTCGTTGAGGAGATCAAGGGCGATAAATGGGGCGTCTGTGAGAATTTTTGCTGGAGATGCTGGAGACGTTCCGGAGCACGGTTTGGTAATGGCGAGGTCGAAATCGCTCAGTGCACCACACAGCTGGCCACTTTTCCTTTGAAATAGCATATTGCTAAAACCGATCTCACCGTGAAGCTGCCCCGAGCATACATGAAACACAATGTAGCCTAGGAGTTAGACAGGGATCAGTCATTTCAGAGAAAGTGCATGACAAGCCTCTCTCACGTACAGCGTAAAATCTCTCGAAAGACAAGGACGGCTTTAGTAGGCTCTGTCAGCGCGGAGATCGGGTAGAAAAGCGGTTTGGTCATTAAAGAGCTGTTGTCAAAGCCAACAAGAAGCTATAGGTTATCGGAGTTCAGCATTGAACGCACCCCCCACGAGGCGACTTTGAGGCTTGATGGGCCATGTGCCCATGTGCCCAATTCTTTACAAGCTTTACAGCGCATATCACTACGATATCCTGATCGGTACCGATACCGAAAAGTGATACGCTTTTGTGCGCTCCTTCTGTACTCTTGGCTTCCTTATCACATCTATACGTCTAGAGGAAACCTCCATCACCCCGCTGGTCCAGTATAACACTTATACCTCACAAAGGGATACACACAAGGTAACGGTTTAGAGTGACCACTCCATGTCATATCAATATCGTGGATAATTGACGAGGATATATGTCCTTTTAACACGATAACCATGAGGATGAAACCGAGCTTTGAGGTTTGATGAAGTTGATGCATCCATGCTATGTTTAATATCAACGCCTCCTATCATCTTATCATCGGCCACCGTTCTACTACAAAGCAGTCTCGAGACGTCCGTCATAACCACTGATATGTCGAGTGAAAGTGCAGATACAGAGACTTAGGAAGGATTAGCATCAGAGCTCGACAGTCAGCTTACTCTGAGTACCCTTTCATACAAAGGTCCCCCGATTTATAATAAATCATCTACAAGCCAAATCGTCCCTGGTTTGAGGGAGGTTCAGATCTATACAGTATCATGGTGTCCCGCAACAGCATCTCCCTTATCAGCGCACCCAGTTATTAGTGAAGAAATAACTTTGCACGTGACACGTTGACCTGACGCGTCACGGTCTACACTTATCTCGACTCCAGCGTGCTGGACTCCTTTCTATGCCAAAACGTTCGATTAATATGTAAAGTACCTTATTTTGGCGATACCGATACCCCACCTACAAAGTAAGCTAATGGGACTAGGTCCTGCTCGAAACTAATTATGAATATCGAACTATTCAGGATAATAGTATGAGTGAAACACAGAGGCACCTTGATCTCTCTCGTACGCGCGAACAGCACCAAAATTCTACGGATGGACCGGAGGTAAGGTTAATACACACCTAATAAACGCTCTGACTTTTGTGCCGTTCGTTTTGCAGAACTATGATATACTAAACGAAATTGGACATGGCTCTTCTTCCGTCGTCTATCTAGCCACATGTAAACGCGGTAGACTGCGTAACCGCCAAGTTGCACTCAAAAAAGTGAGCATGCTTTCTGAGTTCGTCATATCCTATATCAATATATTCAGGTCTCCCGTAACATTGGATCGAACATGTCCTCCACTCCAGATGCTCCCTATAGCGCACCGCTGCATCAGAGTCTACACCACCCGGCCATTGTTTCACTCTTTTCTACCTTTTCTACGTCGCTCGCATACTATTATATTCTCGAGCTTTGCCCTCGTGGGACTCTATGCGACTATCTGCGTTCACGTAACCCGGTTGGTCTCGAAGAGAGCGAGCTTCGGATGGTGCTTAAAACTTTGGTCAGCGCACTGGTGTACCTACGTAAAGAACTCGTTGTGCATAGGGATCTCAAAGCTGCGAACATACTTTTGACAGAAGATTACCAAGTCGTAAGCGCCTGGCTTTACTAGTCAAACACGTCGAGCGGCGCTGACATGTTCAATGGATCTATAAAGAAGCTAGCAGATTTTGGACTCGCGGCTCGTCTTTTAACGAAAACTTCAACCATCTCTACTTTTTGTGGCTCGCCCAATCATGTCTCGCCGTGAGTTATCCTAGCTTGTTGATGCGATATACAGACTGACGTCATTCACGAAAGCGAAATCTTATCTCGATTACCCTACAGTTTCTCCAGTGACTTGTGGTCCTTAGGTTGTTTAATTATTACTTGTTTATGTGGAACACCTCCTTTTGAAGTATGTCAACACTCCTTTCGCCATACTCAAATTTAAGATTCACATTTAATGCATACAGGCTAACACTGTTCCAGAAATTTTTGGCAATGTATTACGTGGAGAATACACTGTGCCTCAAAAGACATCGTTTGAACTGAGAGATCTCGTGGCAAGCCTTCTACAGCTCGTAGGTCTTCGAGTCAAAATGTCTGTTGAGTTCAACCTTTGACGTTGAAAATTCCATCTGAAGGATCCAGTAGATCGAATACCTCTGCACCGAATATTGTCTCATCCATTCTTCAATCCTGCGTACCCATCTCAACTGCTCTTTCCGGTAAATCTTCTGAAGAAGGAGGATCCTGTTGTGCACGAACCATACAAAATTAACGATCAAATGAGTGAATATCACCAAAAGACAGTCCAGACGACCGCGATTAGGCCCAACCTTTCCTTACCATCGAGGAAACCTCTGGGCGACATAGGAAATGGGGACCTACGTCGATTGCTGCGTCAAGAAGCTTCATCCTTCCAAGTAAGAGATAACAAGCCCTTCGGCTCAGGTGAAACAAACCTATCAAAGCGTATCGTATCTGATCCTCTCCCTCGTCGGATTACGTCCCTTGCGGCAGAGCTCTCCACATTGCCAAGAAAAGGAACTGGTACAAGCGCCATTCCTGAGTTGACAGCAGATACCTCTCCATCACTTTCCTCTGCCTGCTCTCATGCACTTTTATATCCTCCTGAGACCAAAGCCAAGAACTGCGCTAAAAAAGGATCAGATTCTAACTATGAGGCCGATATCGTCGTCCGACACCGGAGAAATTCAGCATCTTCCTCACCTGGATTCGACTATAGGGTAGCAAAAGCAATGAAACAGGTGTGCAAAAAGTCTCTATCATTTTGACTCGTCGATGTTCTATCTTCGTGTAAAGGACTTGATAATACCCAAAGACTCCGAGGAACGAGCAGATTCCGCAGCAACCCCGATAGGCACGATGCGTCCTATTGCATTCACAACGTCGACACTCGCTCCACAGACACATAAGACTGTACATGGGCAGGTGACCATTCTCCCTTCCCGCGCTGTTCTTGTGGACTTCCGCGAGGGAGAACGAAGGAGGGGGCATATAGGAGACGAGGTGATGATCCTACATGCTGAAAGGGGCCAGGTACGAAAGTCAACTATGACGAAACAGTTTTATCGGTTTATTAAGCCTCTCTCTCCTCTAGGTTGACATATATAGCGCCCCCCACCTGAGTACGCCATGTTGTCTTGCTGAGCCCATTTCGATTTTTGCTATACAAGAGTTACCAAAAAAATACTGGAAACAATACAACGATGCGCAACGTGTAGTTGAACAGGTGAAGCAGAAGACGCCAAAGGTAAGCCAGTGTTCTATCACATTTTACTTTCCCTGATATAATATGGACCATACGTAGCTTGTCTTGTACGAAACGGACACGAAATGCACATTGATGAGCAACGGACCAATAGGTGACATTGAACTTGTGTACAAGACACAAGTGCCTCCTAATAGCAAGCACGAATCACGAAACGGGACTTCGAAGAACAGGAAAAAGGTTATTTCGATGCCTTACATGCGTATTAGACTATCGCGCCAGTACCAGACTCTCGAAATAGCATCGTACAGCTCGGGAAGTCATCCGGATACGATGCAAGAGGGTGAATGGACAAAGAAGACGTTCACCTATCGTGAAGGAGGAACTATTATGAGCGATGTAGACCGGGCGTCCCTGGGAGCGAAGGAGAGGGAAGGTATCAACATGCTGATGGAATTTCTGCACGTATGTTTGGGACTTGAAACGATGACCAAAAAGGGCAGTCCAGTCAGGGAGATACCTGCAGTGCGAGCGGGTTTATCTAAGATAGGCACACGGGATACTGAAGATGATGGCCCCCTCCGTAAATTCCATGTTCCTGATTCCAAGCACAAAATACCGAAGAACGGAAAAGAAAATTACAGCTACGGCGTGAAACCTAATTCATCCACCTCCACATCAACTATGGGGAAGGCGTTAGCGTCGATTAGTTTAGCCCCACGTCCTGCTAAGTTATCATCAGGCACACTCTCATGTCCCAGTGTGCCATCACAGACATTACACCAGGATAGAGGGGATTTCGCTACTTCGCAACACACAGCAAGTAGTGGATCTACCAAAGCGCATTCAAATATTCCAAGTTCTATGCAAGAAGAGCCAAAACTCACAAACACTTATCCAGCCGGCATAATTCAAACTCGATTCATCCCCTTGGTCGGATGGTGCATACGTTATGGCTCGAGAGTGTCGCAGGGTGGCCGTTACCGCGTAATGTTTATCGATGGGGCTGTAATGGACGTTGACGCTGATGAGGAACACATCGAGTTTACTAGTCAGACGGGAAGATCGACGCGGTGAGTAAAATTTTTTTAATGGAAATGAGACTATTGTTGATCGTATCTCAATTGCAGGTATGCTGTTCGCGAATGTGCGACAGACAATTTGATGAGGGAACGATTCGAGGTATTCGAGGAGTTTGTGTCGTTATTCGATGATTCGCAACATGAAAACATAGTGTAGTATTTTCTATCCGTCTCTTCTGCGCCGCGACTTTTGCCGAGTCGATCATTCAAAGAGATATCGTTGGATTCGGTATTCGGTATTCATCCACGGAAAGTACAGTATTTTTTCGTAATGATGATTGTGCGAAGTGATAGTTAAACTTGGTGCATTTATATCTTGGATCTTGGAAGTATAAGATGAATTAACGCGCATAAAGCTTCACAAGAATATCGGTCGACTGACATTGGTTCACCGTTCAGCGCTTGCTTAATACCAAGTTGCAAGTTGGAAGGCTCAATATGCAATGTGAATCATGCTCACAACAATTTGCCTTTGTTCACGTGTCTAAGGGAATCAACATCATGAAACTATCACAACAACAGTGGCTACCCAAATCCTAGAGAACATAAACCCTAAAGAAAAAGAAGAACTGATACAGAAGTGGATTAAGACTCGCCGGCCATATTGCATAACATTACTCCTGCTGACCCCTCTTCATGAGACTTGAAAACCCGTCATCAAGCGCAACCAACCATCTTCTTTTCCCTCAGCATCTGTAGCTCGGTCTGAATTCTGGCATTTAGCATTGAGGATTCACATATGTTCGACTTATCTCCTAATGGGGGGATGCCAACTTTGTTCACGCGGCGAGGCCCAAACTTGGTGTGTACATACTCGCAATCGCCAGTTGGACAAATAACAGGCGGAGATGCCTCCCGCTCCCCCTTTTTATTAGCGTAGGCGGAACGGAGCTTGTTGCGAATATCCAGAAATGGATTTTCTGATTTCTTCTCCGTTCCTTTGGAGGAGCGACGAAGTCGTATGAGCTTCAGGCGAGTAGCCGCCGTATCTACTATGGCCGACCGAGTAACGAGCTTCGACTTGAGCTCGTCCATGTAGATATCACCAGTTTTAAGGTGAGCCATTGGGAGGACGCGTAACGCGCGAGGCCTGGAGGGAGCGTCAGTTGATACAGTCGGCTGATCGTATGGTTGGATGCTAGGGGATTCACTGGGAACCGTAGTAATACGAGCTTGCACGAATGTGCCAAGAGCTAACGTCGGGTCCAACGAGTCACATTCCTTATTGATGGCAGCCGTTGAGCCGGAGAATTGTCCTACGATATCCCCTGTCCGATCAGCACGATTAATGAATATATCGGTAGGAGCTTGTCCCACTGATGTTCCTTGACTGCTGGAAACGTTGGCACAGAGGACCGATGCACTGACAGTGGCTTCAGCGAAATGGTCGCTGCCTTCCCTCGGACCTTGTTCAACATCTTGATTCACGGCCTCAGGGGATCGGAACACGGTGTTACATAGTCCATTGATATCCTCCGCTTGCTCGATGGGCGGAGTCGCCAGTGGAGAGAGAGGTTCGAATACATTCTGTGGCTGCTTCTCCGCCACGACCTTCGCTTTCCCAGTGAAAAATATTTCCTTGTCCTCGAACGACGTAAGAGGGTTCTTTGTAGACATATTAGCATTGATGTGGTTTGATGCGCTGATATTGGAAATCAAGCTCGTGACCTGGGATTGAGTTACGGGTGAGACTAGCACTTGGTTTTTGATCTGGACAGGTGTACGGACACGGACGTTTGTCTTCGCTGCATTAGACGTTGCATGTCCAACGCGAAGAACTGGAGGTGCCCCCACTGGTTGGCCGCTGCGGACGATCTTTGCGCTTTCAGAGGTAGATGGGGGTCCCTTGACAATATTTCGACGAGGGATATTCTGCTTGATAGGAATGAGAGGCTGACGGACGACCTTAACAGTACCTGTGGAAGCCATTGTCACCGGAGGACCCTTCGGCAGTCGTTTAGCGGTCATCTTGGATTTCGAGCCTGGAAAGGCAGTTGTAACACGGGATGTATTTTTCACTGTAGCCTTCACGCTGGTCTTCGCATGCTTGCTGATGATCTTCAGATCCTTTACTTGGTTGTCACCCGCGGTTACCTTCGGGGTCTCGACTGTAATCACCTTCATAGCACCATGATCCTTGGCGGTATCAATAACAACCTTTGAGGTCGCGAGAGCCGTCTTAAAGTGTGGAATCTTGCTGGCCTTCGGTGACAAAATCAAGCCTTGTGTTGTCGGGGCGTAGTCAGAGACAGTGAGTGATCTACGTTTCTTGTTCAGTACTTTGACTGGAGCGAACTGACTGGTTGGAGGCTTGGCAGTGGATTCGTCATTGGAGATGATGGGCTCCTCGAAAGGAGAACGATTGAGTTTGACGACTTCACCTCTAATCACATCTGCTCTACCCGTGGTTGTGGCAGGGGAAGACAGTGCCTTGTAGCCCCTCTTGGTCGTATGAATGGCTGTCACAAGGAAGGTAGAGTTAGACACCGGCGCCAGTGTGCTATCAACCATTGCCTAGTTGTACCGCATCAACATATAAAGTGGAAATAGAAAGGAAGAGAACAATGGCTAACCCGCGAGTGTACCCAGAAATACGTCGAGTTAAGCCAAGGCCAGGGCCTGAAGGGAATGTCGATGAACGTCAGATGAGGGACAGAGTATAATCAATGCTGACTGATATACGATAATGTGTAAATATTCCGTGCCAGCCTCCATAGGTAGTCTGAACTACAATAGCGACCAGCCACTATATAAGGTTAGACGACAAGATACAGGTTGCGATAACGTCGTTAATCGGCTTCTTGACACTATTAGTGTGTAGTTTCTGCATGGTGTATACCTAGAAAGGACTGAAAGTCAAAGAGCAGAAAAACAAGCCATTAAGGATAAAAGTGGACGTGAAGGTGAAGGTGAATCATTATCGTTGTAATCAATGCCAATCAGAACACTCATCTCCACACATAAGCCAGATAACATAAGAATATCCAGTGTAGAAATGCAGCTCTACGCACCAATTCACCAACCTTCTTGAACCGCTGAGCTGTAGTTCGCAGAATTTATTCAAAAAATCACTGCAACAGTCGTTGTACAGCTCGATTTATTGACGATCATATGCTTTGAGTACTTGACATGTTAGCAAAAGCGCATATATCCACACCCAATGTCAACAAGATGGTCTGAAAAAAAGGAACGCTGGCAATACTCGGCCATTAGTCTCCCTTGCTGACCTAATCCAACACATTGATGATAGTCGATCGATATCTTGTAAATAAGGTCTGCTTCAAAATAACGGTGGCGTGCAGAGTGCCCCCCTTCGGTGTCAATACAGCAAAAACACGAACACTATTCAAGCTCCGTTGATTGTCAGCAAGCTCAGCACTCAGCGAAAACTCTATGCTAATCACTATGCCTGCCTCATGTTGGGTCAGAAACTGACCATTCGCACCGGCGTACCTCATCCAGGAGGTCACGTCCTTCTGCCTGGGCAGCCTGGACACTGTCCGAGTGTACAGCTATGGCCTTGATGTTCAAGTTGGCTATCTCAGCCGCCTGTTCTGTTTGGTAAGCCCGATTATTTGTCGTGGTTAAGCTACTCACCTGAGTATTTCCCAAGGCAATGAGAGGGGTTACAATTAGTATAACTGGTGTTGTCGGTAAGTCCTTTACTCCATGTACTGGATTTGTGATTAATTCTTGAATTAACAGTAGCAGGCCATAGAAGACAGCCGTTTTGCCACCTCCTGAGCTCGTTGTTCTTGTGAAAGCCATTGGCTTTGTTCAGGTTGTATAGCTGCTATGCCAGCATTAGAATACATGTATCAATGTATCACCAGTATATATTTTTCCGTCTGATTTCACTAAGTCCTTGCTCTATCTACGCAATGCCGAATAGGCCGTTAAGCCGATGTGTGCCGTGCTGTTACGCACGAAGTGCTTAACAAAGTCTGAGGGTTCGTCGAGGTTTGTAAAGAGACTTATCCGAAGACAAGTTCAAGAACGTAGTTCTGAATGGAGGTTTTCCAACAGAAGTTGGTCTTCTTCTGAATAGAAGTCTTGATCTTGAGAGTCTAGCTTTGTAAGCATAAACTGCGTAGAATTGTATTAGAGAATACTACTGCTTGTTACATGGTATTTATAATGAAAAGGAATTGGTGATAGGAGTTAGGTCCTATCTAGGGCAGGTCCGTCTGTTGCGGACTAAGTACTATAATAGGTACTGTGAATGCGAGAGGAACGGAAGTGTACGTGAAGGAAATGAGTCATCGGTCCGATGGTATAACCGATGAGTAAAAAGAAATGAGTAGTCCTTAAATGTCCAATAGAGATCGTAACACGTGCAGTTTTCTCTCTACTTAAAACCACCGAACGGGGGCACCCACCAAATCAGCGTTATATTGGACTAGACTAGGTTACACTACTCTTTTGCCCACAGCTGTTAGTCCCGCTGTCGATGATGAGAACTGCTGTTAGAAAACCACACACAAAACAAACTAACACAAAATCCTCCCAGATTCCACGGAACTTGTTTATGGGCTTTGCCTCCTAGAACAGTGGAGTGGTCTGGTTGTTCGTGGGGTGGTACGTATAAAGATCCTTCAAAGTAAAACCCAGAGATGTATGGGTGTGGGTTTTGAGGAGGAGGGATAGTTGGAATATAGAAAGATAGGGGGCTTTGTGGCAAGTATAGACAAGCACTACCTTGCTAATTGTAGCACAAGGTAGGTTTGAGAACGACAAGGATGACGAGGTGATGAGGTTCCCAGTGATAGCAGGCTCCTGACGCACAAACTGTAGTGCTCAGAAGGACTCTAATCAAAAGGGATGACAATGACTTCAAAAGTTGGAAGTGACGATGACAGCAATTAACAGTGATAGCAGTGGGAAGTGTTGTGACCACACTGGATCACAAGTAGAAGAGTAGTGAACTTGAGATTAGAGAAGAAGTCTGGATTGGAGTTCTTTGTTGTTTTTTTTTTTTACAAGGTAAAATACAGGGGTTTATATAGTGAAAAGAAAGGTAGGCTATGCACAGTATAGCTGCGCAAAAAGAATGAGAAAGAACATGAAGGAATGAATATACGCTGACGAATCCTGCGTAGTTGCTACAGGATAAGATCATCAAAATAAGGGAAAGAAAAGGATAGAACAATGAATGCTGTGAGTAATGTCACAGGTTTGTACAGCCATAAAGTAAAGTTCAATAGCAAAAAGAGAGCAAGAAAATCATGATGTCATGGGAAGATGCAGTAAAAAAAGGGCAAGGCAAAACACTATCAGTATCAACACAGTTCCTTTATTGTCAGTCAGGCATTCTAAAAAAATATGTGTCCATAAAAATGATTCAAAAATCAAAAATAATCGCACTGTAAATGAATGTTCTGCTGAAGAAAAAGAAACTGGAGCCACCGGTCCACCACCTAGTCCAAATCCAACAGTTCCATGGCCTTACCAATGGACTGGTTGTGTTGGACCACCTGATCAAACGAGGGAGGGAGAGGAGTAGTTCCAATTTGGAACAAGTGAGTCCCAGGCAGCGTGTGGTAGCTGTAGCTGTAGCGAAGACGATGGACAAAAGATAAGTGTACCCAAGTGAATGGGACGGCGATGAAAATGGGCGACGCAAGGGGATGAACCTTCTCCAGCTCAAAAACTACCCACCCACGCTCCAACCAGGCAAGACGAGCGACCCATGTTTTGATAGTATATGATGGCAGATTGACGTCATGAAGATGGACCTGTTGCCCTATTTGGACCGGCTGCCGGGGCTTTGCTGATATCAGCAGTGGCACGTGGTAGTCAACGGATCGGCGACGGAAGCGGATAGGAAGTGGTGACATCAGAAATGGTGGGGGTGCAAATAATATGAGGAGGAGGAGGGTGGAGGTGACAAAAAAGTGGATTAGAATGGGGATCCAGAAACGACCATCAGGTGAGAATAAAAAGGAGAGGAAGGGGCCCATGGTGGGGCTAGGCAAAGGAAGGGGAGTAAGGGAAACAACAAAAGCGAGGGCGCAATGCAATGTGTAGCCAGTGGCGACGCGAAAATTTCCCGAAATGCCGAAACACGGAAAGTACCGGATGGAAAAGCAAAGGTGAGCGTGACTAGATTGCCTAATAGAGGTGGTGCTGATCAGCCACAAGTTTGAAACAGGCAATATTAATTACTATTTCACGTGGCACTGTGCCTGTGTGGCGCAAAGGCGAGTCTTTTTGAATATTTGCTTCGTTATTGACACCTGTCCATGCTACCAATCAATTTTGGTGCATGACAGCGGCCTGTGTGCAAAATGGCACAGGACTGAGAGAAGAGCACTGACATCACGGGCCTCTAGAGGAGCTGCGGAGACGTCCTCGACGACAGCAGTAGGAGTTGCAAAGACAGGTGCTGCAACAAGTGCAAGGGTGAGGAAAGCTTTGGTGAAATGCATTCTGAAGGTCTTTATAGTGGCGACGGAGAATATACTAACAATAGATGCGTGGTCTGCAGACAGGAGAGACTATTAATGTTGAACAACGAACAGCTGCTTTATATACCACAATAAATGAATGGAGACTGACTGAAATGGAAACGAAGAAACACTGGTGTGTAAACCAAGTAACAATGCTCCGCAAACCCATGCCAATCAGAGAATATAATCTTTAGCAAAAGAGCAATGATGTCGGTGGCGAACATCTGGTGGCATGACCAAGAAGGGAAGAAATCATCCAAAGTACCAAACCGCAATGGATTCAGACCATGCACCTTCCTGTTCTGGCCGGTGTCACTTGTGTTCATGTTGATGTTCCCAGCGATGTCGTCAAGGCCCGACATGCTGATCCTGCAGGGATTTGGATGAGCCGCTTGATCTGCAGTTGTTCAGAGACGACGACGACGACGGTGACCTATTCTACAAGAGAAGGCTTCATGCTTTGATCAATGGCAATGTATCACCGCCCAAGGCCGCTACTAATTTCGATACCTATTGTTGACGAAGCTAACATGTGACTCAAAGAGCTCATGAAGCGGCTGGACCCAAGGACCCTGACACCTGGAGAAGAAGAGAAGGGCATTGTAAGCATGCGCGCGATCACATTGACACCAAGTCCCAGCGGCAATATCGAGATGGTATTTTCAACAATCGCCAGGTTGTGTTCAACCTTTCCATTGCACCATCCCGGACAAGACAGGATCATCCATTTCCTTGAGGCGCTGAGAGCCATGTGGGAGCAACAAGTCCCCAATGGCGTTCCTGCAGAAGACCATAATGATCACTTTGAGACTCAAACAACCATATTGTGACCGTTCGGAGGAATTTGTATGGCCTTGGCCGCATGGAAGCATACAGAGTGTTTTCTTTGTTTGTCGACAGTAGGGAAACATGCTGACCAAAATAAATTGGAAAACAGAATATTCGTAGCCATATTCTAACATCTAGACTCCTGTCAATGGGAGCAAAATTCAACTTTGCTGATGCAACTGGCAAGCTGCCATTGCACGCATTATCGCTTCAGGTATCATGCGGCTTTCTCTTTCTTTGCAAGGCAATATTCTACCCTCCCAGCAACAACTATCCAGAATTGGAGAAGTACAAGGTCGGCGGACCGAACAGAATTGGTGGAGATGTGACTGCGGGAGCGCAGTAGATTATATGGCCATTGTGAAGGTCATTTTGCGTACTAGAAATGCAAAAAGGGGGAGAAGATGTATGGTCCTGGGACAATGTGGAGTATGGAGATATGGAAGCTGTGGAAGGATCAACTTGCGTTTGACACAGGGGATAAGATTCAATTCAAAAGCTCGGCTAGTGGCTAAGTTAGCGGGTCAGCACATCATAGCCTGGTAGCGTTCGAGGACCTAAGACTACATACAAAGGATTGTCACTTCCACTGTTCTGGTACAGTATAATAATCTATGCACCTTTCGTCCTCACTTGCCCGCTGCGATTTAGAGGCTAGTAAAAAGAAAGATCAGAAGATTCACGTTACAAGTTAATTGCAGATTGTTAGAGCTTGTACGGGAACTCTCACTTTTCAAAAAAAATCGATTTTTGCTTCGGCCCAGCTCCTCCCGGTTAGAGCGGAGAATGAAAATACACAGACTGCAAAGTTCTTGCACATACCCATAGTTAGCGCTACCAGCCATTATTATAAGTTTTGTCTTGCAGCTCAATATCGAGTCCGATTCTAATCGCATGGACGAAATAGAAATTCATAATCCGGAAACAGAGGACGAAAATCAAGCCCCATCCGATGTTGGAATTGTCAAGGTCAAAGCCTGGGCCTTGTTAGACAAAATTGTGCAATTGAGTGTTGATATCCAAGGGCTGGTAGCTCAGTTGGTTAGAGCACCGCCATATATAGGCAGAGGTCCTGGATTCAATCCCCGGCTGGTCCAATTTAATAAAACTAAGTCATTATATGGAAACAACTTTATTATTTACCTAAGTGAAACTCAGCCGCTGCCCGAGAGGCTATAGAAACAACTGAGGTATTCCTATACTAAACCCCCTACTACTTATAGTCGGAGGTGCTACTCGCTACAGTATAATGACTCCTAGGGGTACAATTGTGCTCCTAGGAGAACAATGGTTACTCCATGGAGTGGTGGCTATGCTCCATGGAGAACAATGGCTGCTTCGGCAGAGACCGGGTTTATCCGGTTTTGTCACTCCCACTCGAGTGCATGTAGTCCCATAGCTTTAGAGAATTTCCAGTGTTTTTCATGAGTGAGGGGTTTAGTGAGAATGTCTGCAACCATATCTCCTGTAGGAACGTATCTGATTACTGCCTCTCCCTTTGATACTAAGTCATCTCGGATAAAATGATATTTCCGTTGAATGTGTTTTGTGCGAGCACGGAACTGTGGATCTCGTGTAAGAATGATAGCTGCTTGATTGTCACAGTGCAATGTTGTAGGTCCATTTTGAGCATGTCCAATTTCTTCAAAAAATGTCCGAAGCCATGCAAGATGTTGTCCAGCATTGCTCAATCCAATGTACTCTGACTCCGTGGAGGATAAAGCTACCATGCTTTGTCTTTTGCTTGTCCAGGAGATTGCTCCTTGGATGGTGATAAAGACAAACCCTGATGTTGATCGAGACGTGTCTGGGTCTCCAGACCAATCTGCATCTGAATATCCATAGAAATCCATGTCCATGGAGACATCTGTGCCATCATATTGTAGTTCCATGTCCCTGGTTGCTTTCAGATATCGGAGGACACATTTTGCAGATTCTCAGTGGTGGCTCCTTGGAGCTGAGCTATGCCTGCTTAGTATTCCAACAACGTAGGCAATGTCTGGACGGGTTCCGAGCATGGCATACATGAGGGAGCCTACAATTGAGAGGTATGACACTTGGCGCCCTTCAATATGCATCTCGTGTTGCACAATATCTTCCCCTGGAGCATTTGCAAGGAGTTTTGATCCATGGGCCATTGGTGTCCATACTGGTTTGCAGTTTTTCATTCCAGTACGCTCCAAGACTGTGTTAATGTATTGGCATTGCAATAGGGATATTGTTTTGTTTGAACAATCACGTTGGATTTCTATTCCGAGGATGTATTTTGCTTCTCCAAGGTCCCGCATTTTGAATATGGATTCGAGTTTGGCTTTTGTGATATCCATGAATTTTCGGGATGAAGCTCCTAGGAGGAGGTCATCTACATAGACAACAACAAAGCATATTTGTTTGTTGTCCTGGAATATATAGAGACATGTTTCTGCATTTAGTCTTGTGAAACCAAGCTCCTGGAGCTTGCAATCAAAAGTTTTGTTCCATGTACAAGCAGCTTGTTTTAACCCGTAGATGGATTTCTTCAATCTCCAGCAGTATCCAGGTTGGATAGGAACACCCCCTGGAGGAAGCATGTACAGTTCTTCTTCAAGTTCTCCATTGAGATAAGCTGTGGATACGTCCATTTGATCAAGTTCTAGGTCGTACTTTGCTGCCAGGGCTAGAATAATTTGGATCAACTCTAAGTTTGCAACCGGAGCAAAAACCTCCTGGTAATCAATCCCCTCCCTTTGAGTAAAACCTCGTGCAACAATCTGGAGTTTGTATCTCTCAATGTTTCCGTTTTGATCAAACTTGATCCGGAACACAGGTTTTGATGTGATGGGTTTTACTCCCTTTGGAAGTGGAACAGTGTCATATACTGCATTAGTATTGAGACTTAGGAGTTCCTTCTCCAAGTCAGACTTCCATAATTCTCCATCCGGATGTGATAAGGCTTCCTTTAGTGTCCTTGGAAGGTCTGTGTTAGATGGACCGGTACTTGCTATTCCAGTAAAGAATGTCTCCTCTGTATCAGATGTTTCTTCATGAACCTCAGGAGTGTTAGGTTTCTCCATGAAATTGTCATGCTGCTCTTTTTGAGACTGTTTCTCATCTAGAGTCCTTTGATAATCTTGGTTTTTGTCTGCAGGACGGGTCTGGCGACTGCTTCTGCGTACTCCTAGGACTTCAGCAGGCATTACTGCTCTTTTAGGAACTTGTGCAGGTACTCCAGGGAGTAGACACATTTGTGTATTTGTTGCCCCACTCACTCCTGAAGGTGTTGAATCACTCCTCGAAGGTGTTGGATGACTCCTTGGAGGTGTTGTATGCCTTCCAGAAGCTGATCCAATGGACAGGCTGTCTAGCTGTATTCGGACTTTTTCCACATCAGCTGGCTGTATGTTGAGGGGCTGTCCTCCCACTGACTGTAACTCTACTTTGACTTTCTGTTCTGAAGATGGCCAGTGTTCAGGTCTTGGTTGTAGAGACCGTTGTGGAGGGTGTCTTAGCTGATCAGGTGCTCCCACTGCTCTCGGAACGTTTCCACGGAGGTATTGCCCCACTGCTCTCGGAACATCTTCATGCTGATATGGTTCCATTGCTTGTGGAACATCTCCTTGGAGATGTGGTTCCATTTGCAATTCATTTGGATCTCGGATCTGAGGGTCAGGATCATCCTCCTCCAATGTGTTTTGGTCTGGATAGTGAGCATTCTCTGGAATGAGTCCCTCCCACTGATCTGTGCTAGTGTCTGTGTTCCAGGGAGCAGTGTCATCCTTTTGTACCTTTCCGGATTCATTGAATATGACATGCCGACTGGAAAACACAGTCCGTTTTTCAGTGTCTAGGAGTTTGTAGGCTTGCTTTCCATGTGTGTAGCCAATCATTATGGCTTTGCGCCCCATGGAGTAAAACTTCCCTTGCTTTTTGTCTTTTGGAATCAAGGCATATGCTTGGCATCCAAAAGGGCAAAACAAAGTTGGATCAACTCTCCTTTTAAACAGTATTTCATATGGGGTCTTTTCATGGAGTCCTGATGCTGGGCTGTGTGCTGTGATATATGCAGCTGTTTGCATGGCATTTACCCAAAATGACTTTGGGAGCTTGGAATCATGGAGCATAGTGGTTGCTAATGTAGCCAATGTCTGATTCATGCGTTCTGCAATGCCATTTTTTTTCGGAGTATCTGCAGCTGTAATTTCTTGGATGACACCATCTCCTCGGAGTTGATTTTTGAATGCATTGCCAGTATATTCTCCTCCCCCATTGCTCCGGAGGAATTCTGTGTATAGTGGAGTGAAGTTTTCTTCTCCCAAATGAGTCCGGAAGAATGTTTGGACATCTTCTTTCCATTGCTTGTATCGTTCCAGTGCTTCACTTTTATGTTACAGGAAGTATGTCCATGGAAATTTGGAGAAATCATCTATAATGATAATCCAGTACCAAAAACCCTCCCTGGAAGTTGGTTTGATTGGTCCTCCAACATCTGTGTGCACAATGTGTATGGGGCGCTTGGCTCGGTTTCCTCCAGTGGACTTGAAAGGTAATTTCTTCATCTTTCCTAAAGCACAAGGTTCACAAAACTCCGGGGTTCCAGTAAGGGTGTCTATGTCCTGCAGCTGTCTTTTTATAACCATTCATTGCAAGCGGTCCATTCCAATGTGTCCCATTCTCCTGTACAATAAATTTACATCTACTGCTGCAAAAGCTGACTCCAGGTTGATTTCGGGTTTTGCTTGGATGTGATAAAGTCCTCGCTTGTGTAAGGCAGTGAGGATAAGTTCCTCCTTTTTCCGAACTTCACAAGCATTTAACCCTGCTGGAAAAAGTGTTGATAACCCCATTTTGGACAATTTGTGGACAGAGACGAGTGCTAACGTGAAGTTTGGCACAAGTAAGACATTTGACAGTGCAATATTGTAGTCCTTTTTGCCAACAGTTGTTTGTAGGATTACTGTTCCAATGCCAATGACATTTACAGAGGATTCATCCCCAAAACTGATTGTCCTCGGAGGATGCAGAACATGGTATGTTCCTGGCTCAAACCAGGAGCGGTGAGGGACCATGTGGGATGTTGCTCCGGAGTCAATAATAATTGTTGTTTTGGTCTTATCGGGTTCCGACACAAGGTAAGCTTGAATGCGTTTAGCAAGGGGCTTGGAAATATGTACATGTTCCAATGCAATATGACTCTGTTCCTCCTCGGAGTCAGATCCAGATGATTGCTCCGCTGTATTTGCCTTTTCCTTCTCTTTTCCTTTATCCTTGTGTCTTTCCTTTCCCTTCTTCCTTTGACCTTTTTCAGCTGACTGAAGTGTTCAACACTCCGAGGTGTTGTGTGATTTGGCTTTGTGGAGGTTACACCATTTCTCCTTGGATTTGAGTGCTGATTTGGAACCTCCAGGGGCCTTCCCTGACTGTCATGCAACTTCTGCAGTGATCCGGATCTCAACTGCATCAAAGGTAAGTTTATTTTCTTCAATCGTGTTGATTACTGATGACTGAAATATTTGCCATTCAGGAGTGCATGGGAGAGATTGGAGAAGAGCGAAAGCCATGAGTTTGGTATTAACTCCTAGTTTCATTTCGGAGAGGTGTGAATCAATTGTCCGGATTTTTGCAATGTAGTCCTGGATAGGTGATGTCCCATCCCAGGACAATTTGGTGAGTTGCTGGAATGAATAGAAGGCCGAGGCAATGTTGGATGTTTGATGGAGTGAGACAAGTTTATCAAATAACTCCTTGGAGCTGGTGAGGTCTCCAGTCCTTATTAGGAGGGCATCAGAGATGTGGTCCTGGATGATTCCATGTGCCTTCTCATCCTTAAGTATCCAGGTGATCTCAGGATCCTCCGAGGAGGTAGGTTTTCCTGGTGAGGGCTTAAGCTCCTCTCCAGTAACAACCCGGAGAACTTTTTCCCGGCGTAGCTTTGAGATGATCCGGAGTTTCCATATCTGAAAATTGTTGGGTCCAGTGAGAACTGGACATGCAGACGTATTGTGTGCTGTGGTCATGGTTCTGAGGTTGCCGTTTCAAATAAGAATTATTTCCTGCATAGCTTTTGCACACCAGGGCTCATAACCTAATAAAACTAAGTGAAACTCAGCCGCTGCCCGAGAGGCTATAGAAACAACTGAGGTATTCCTATACTAAACCCCCTACTACTTATAGTCGGAGGTGCTACTTGCTACAGTATAATGACTCCTAAGAGTACAATTGTGCTCCTAGGAGAACAATGGTTACTCCATGGAGTGGTGGCTATGCTCCATGGAGAACAATGGCTGCTTCGGCAGAGACCGGGTTTATCCGGTTTTGTCACAATTTGCTTTTCTGTACTCTCTGAGTCCAGTGTGGATTCTTACATCTGACTCACAGATTGCCTTGACTAGACAACAGATCCTCTCATATGGCCTGCAGATGTTGAGGTTCATGTCAATCCTTGTTCAGTCAATTGTTGCAACAGCTCAAGCTGTTGCTGAGGAGCAAGAGCAGCAACCACAGCCAAGGCAATATCATAACTCAATTCTGACAGGTTATGGATGGGTTAGAGAATTAATGGACGGTCATCCTGATCAAATAAGGACTGAGTTGGGGATGCGGTGAGAAGTATTTGTAAAGCTTATTGATTTCCTGCAGAGTCATGGGTATACTGTCATGCTGGAGGAACAAACCACCATCTTTCTGTATGCCTGCATCACCGGTCTATCTACCAGCCATATCGCTGAACACTTTCAATGTTCCAATGACACAATCACCAAGTATTTCAAGCGGATGTTTCAGGCTTTCACTTCCACCAATATCTACAACTCCTATGTACATCTTCCTGAGGATAATAAGGCCACACCAGCTGCTATTGCCGAAAACCCGAAACTTTGCCACTTCAAGGATGCCATTGGTGTAACAACCAAGAGTTAGTTACTCTGGCGCACAACTCAGACAAGCAAAAGAGTAATGATGAGGGAGTGGTTACCCCTTAGGCAGGACCGAGTTAGTTGTGGGTATACAACAGGAGGACTCACTGAGGAGTCTCCTGGATCTATTGGGTATTTATACTACTACAGGTTGTTTGTACATATGTACTATACAGTTAATGGAGGCAGTGGCTGATGATGTTGTAGGGTGCAGCTCGTGTGACCAGCTCCACTGCGTGAGATACTTGTAGCTAAAATAAGAAGAAAGGCAGCGCAGCACGAGAAAGGTGGAGTTTGAACAAAAGGAAAGTGCCACATGGCACAGTGTGTGAAAACTATAGAAGAAAGTTGAATTGGAGAATGAAAATTAAAGGTCCAAAAATTGCATTATCGTAACGGTTGGTGCAATTGGCGGCACCCATGTTGCCTGCAGCCCTTCGGCTGCAGAGCATGATGCTGCGCAAAATCGCAAGGGCGTGTTCTCGCAAAACTGCCTTTTGTGCTGCAATTTCAACATGCAGTTTACGTATGTCCTTAGTGGGTGGGTGGGGTCCGCTGCAGATGCCAGTCTCTTTTGTGATGCCCGCTCCCATGATCTGACATACCCCGTGGCCAATACTATCTGGCCGATGCGGGATTTCCCTCATGTGACCAGCTCCTTGTCCCCTACAGAGGTGTGCACTACCACCTGGCCAAATATGCTCGTGGAAACCACAGGTGAGTCCCTAATATATATATTTGGACTAAGCTCACTTCTAAAAGGCCCCAGAACCCGTGAGAGTATTTCAATTTATGCCATGCATCAGCTCAGAACATCATTGAGCGTATCTTTAGCGTTCTGAAGCGCCAGTTTTCAATCTTGAAAGCTGCACCTGAATACAACATGTCTGTGCAGGCTCTCATCCCACCCGCTGTTTGCTTCCTTCACAACTTCATCCATACTCATGATCCAACCGATGACAAAGACAATGACAAAGACACTGATCTTCTCACACCCAATAATGGCAATAACGGGGAGCTTTCATATCAAGTAATATTGGAGGCAGCTCATCTTGCAGCAAACAGCCAACAAGATAAAATTGCTCAGGAGATGTGGGTAGACTATCAAGCAGAGCTGCAAAAGAGAGGGTTGTTGTAAGTCAATATACTATGATTTTCATTTTCTCAAAGTCACGCATGAATGGATTGACTTGACCAATAATTTTATTGTGGTATGGAGAACATAGATATAGGTACATTGTAGGTAAGACCACTGATCATACTACTAACTAAGCAAGCTTTGAGCAAACATAGACACCGCAAAACTCATTGTTCTGCAAAAGCTGAGGTATGTATCTACAACTACAATATTGTGCTCAAAAATTTGAAACAGTTTGACTGAATCATCTACTCCCAGATACTGATTGTTCTTCAACACAGCAGAGATGGCATGGCTTCAATGGACATGTTCTGGGTTTGGAACAGGTGTTTCTGGCTGGGAGACTTTGGGAGGAGGAGCAGGGGGAGCAGAGGGAGCTTCCGTACTGAGGCCAATGTCTAGTTTAATATTGAAGTCCCGCATGATGGGGAGGAACTCGCCAAGTCTGTTGTTCAGGCCAATGAGCGCATTGGCAGTGGTATTATGTGGGGATTTGTTGGAACCTTGGCTTCAATTGCTTCCACCGGCGCTCTTGCTGTGGGAGATGACAGTTGCGCCTTCATCAATGTCAATGTCAGCATCTCCAGCTGAGCGCTTGCTGCTAGCTGAAGTGGTCAAACTCATGGGAGGAAGCACGGCTGCGGGGGTTGGGGGGGGGAAGGCCACCAAGCCAGTTGTTGATACAACCAGGAGGATCCTTTGCAGCTATGTCAGACACAGCTGCACAAGGGATGGCAGGTGCAGCAGCCACAACAGCGGGCACTGCATGAGAGACGGTAGGTGCAGTGGGTGTAACAGGTGCAGGCACAATAGACGTGGTAGAACTTGTGGTGGCGGAAACAGGCGGAGTAAATACCTGGGTGGTGGATGTGGACGTCTTCAGCACTTTTGGGGCTTGGGGTACTCTAGGGGTGCGAAAGGCATTTGAGCCCTTGGCATGCTGACCCCCCAGCAGCTCCTGCATAGCGCTATAATGCACCCACCCCTCCCTCTTGTACACTTTTGCTCTCGGATTTTTCTACATATTGATGCTGATTCAGACTCCTCCCCATGCAGGTAAAAACTGTTCAATTGAGAACTTCTGGGAAGTGTCTAGCCACTTGCTAAGAGCTAACAGGGACAGAACTAGAGTCCAGTATGAGTAACTATATTATCAGAGAGTACAGAATGTGTACAGTACCTAGAGTCCAGTATGAGTAACTAAAGAATAGGAATACTGGACTCTGCAATACTAATCCGAAGTTTTGTAAACAAAGGTAAACAAATCAGCCACAAAGGCGAAATTATAGAATGCTCAGTGAATACTGAACAATAGAGCAAAAGGAATAAAGAGGAAAGTGATTTAGAAAGAAGAGAAAATAGATAGCACAACTAGGTGCAGAATCACCAAAACTAACAAAAACCAGGTATGTACCTCAACAATTTCTGCCCAAACCACTTCACTTTTGTCAAGTATATTCAGCCCTAGTCTGTTGTCCCACAGTACACCAGATAAGTTTGCAATTGCACTGATTTCATTGTATTTGGTATGGAGCTACATTTACACACAATTTTTGTTAGCAAACAGTGTACGGCAGGGTACAATATACATCTACAAACCCTGCCCCATTTTGAACCACAGCAAGTAGCACTTCTTGCTGGTCCTTTCGCAAGGAGAGGTGCAATGTCAGCTGTCACCCCTGGCCAAAATGCCCTCCTAAAGTTGAGGCTGTCCCCTCCTTGTGCACGATGTTTCTTGATGTAGCTGATATAAGGGCTGTAGCTTTGATCTCAGTCCAAATGGCATTGCCACTACTGCTCTGACTGACACTCTCTCCTTCATCTTCTACTTCTTGGTTGTTTGATTTCTGGGACTGACTTTTTCTCATTCTGAGGGATTTTTGTGGTCATTTTCCAGGAGGGACGTGGTCCAGGGTATGTTCTACACCATATTTTTGTTTCATTCTGGGCATGAGGACAGTTGAAGAATCATTGACCAATGGACAACATATATATTGTTCCCTTTGTGCCATGATGCAGACTGTACTCCCAAAGAGAGTACGGCGTGCTTTGACTCCAATGGCTCCCCGGCATCATGTGGCTGAAAAGTTGGAAAAACGAATATTTTCTGAAAATTGAGTTCCCGTACAAGCTCTAGAGCTTGTATGGGAACTCTGTTTTTCCTGAATTTTGTTTTTTTTTGTTTCAGCTATGATCTGCCAGGATGCCATTGGAGAGACGGATAGGCATCCATCCCATGAGCTATTAATGGGTACTTCCATCAACCTTATGTCTAGAGTAAAAAAATGCAGGGCCTCCAGCCCAACCCTAGTCCCAGTTCCTTCACCAAAACAACTGCAACATTCTACCAGGATGAATCAAGACCTCCAGCCTGCTCAGGACATGTTTATGGAGGTTGCAATGGATGTTGAAGAAGGAAATGGCACAGGCGCCCAAGATAACAGTAGCAACAATGTCATTTGGAGTGAAGCAGAGATATTGGCTCTTATCTAGTTTATCACCACCAACAGCACAGAGGGTGGGGACGGTTTGAATCTCAAGACTGTGTTCCGGCCTATGGTGCTCTTCTTACTAAGGGACAAGCAAAGAGCACCACTTTCTGCAGTTTAAAGTGGGGCAGGGTACATTATCTAATCTGTCATCAATTGCTGAATATCAACCTCAAGGTTTACAGCTTCGTACAAAGTACAATTTAGTGAAGCCCATCACCAACTTGTCAGGCATTCCTTGGGATGATCAACCTCAAGGTTTACAGCTTCATACAAAGTACAATTTAGTGAAGCCTATCACCAACTTGTCAGGCATTTCTTGGGATGATGAGCTAGGTCTTAACATACTTGATGAAAGAGAAACAGTCTGGAAGGAACTCATTACAGTATGATGATACATTTTGGCTTTATGACTGATAGCTAATCACTACACAGAAAAATCTGGTAGCAAAGAGCTTTTGGAAGAAGGGCTGGACCCATTTTTCCGCCATGCATGCCTTGTTGGGTGGAGTCCCAGCCAAGGGTACCAATGTATTCTGTGTCCCCAAAGTCCCGAAGCATGCTAAGGCCCCCAAAGCCCCCAAACTACCACCTTCCATTAATGTTCCCTCCAATCAGCCTAACACTGGTGCCTTTGCAATGAATACCAGCACCACCAGCCCTGAATCATCTGGCGGCGTAAAAAGTTGGATTGGTGGCGTTGAGTCTCCAACATCTATCCATGCTCCCACCACCTCATCTATAACAACTATCAGCAGCAAGCGCTCAGCACGAGATGCCGCACTCTCAGATGATAACACAGAGGATAGCACTACTGTCATATCTCGCACCAAGAGTGCAGGCAATGGCAGCAAAGGCTCTAACAAGGCCCCACGCAACACCACTGCCAATGCTCTCAGTGGGTTGAACAACTGGTTGGGGGAAATCATCCCCATCTTCAAGGACTTCAACTCAAAACTCAACATCAGCCTTGCTCCACCTGCCTCCCCAGTTATTGCCCCTTTGCAAATGGCTTCGGTGGAAAACTGCTCCACTATGTCTACCACTGTACCACCCATTGCTACTACCTTCATTACTCCCCCTACTGCAACTGATGCCTTACAAGGCAGCTTGTCTATGCAGCCAGCCCATGCTCACCATTGTGCTGCTATCACCTTCATGATGCAACACAACAAATATCTGGGAGTTGAGAACTCTGACAAATTATTACATTTATTTGAGCAAGATGTCATAGCCATGGATACGTATCTCAGTCTCCTAGAATCTGATGAACTTTGCAAGGCATATGTAAAGTCAAAGCTGGAGTAAGATAGATATTGTGGATGGAGTTTAGCGTACTGTATTGCTTACCTGTGTTTTTGTTGTATTGTTTATCTTGTTATCTTGTAATACTGTGTGTCTTTGACGAATCTAACATTTTGTTTTTGTTGACTGAATCTGAATAAATTCTTGGTAACAAATCACATTGTAAGGATGCAAAAACATGTAAACTAAAGTAGGCCCCTTCTACCTAGCTCCTGCTGATAATCAATCCACATAGCACGAGCGATCCAATTACAGTGATTATTGGCGGCAGTACAGTTTGCAGTGCCTCCATTGGTGGGGTATGAGAAAGCTCACCATTGTCAACCTCGGGAATAGGGTTGAGGAGGGCAATGTCATCAGGAGTGTTGATATCAGATGGATCATGGGTCTTGATGAAGTTGTGCAGCATACAGACTGCATGTGGAACCTTGGCTTGGATGGACATGTTGTACTGACATGTTGTACTCTATAGCGACCCTCAAAATCCCAAATTGGCCCTTCAAAACACCAAATATTTGCTCCACAATATTTTGGGTAGATGCATGGTGTAGATTAAAATATTCCTCGGGATTTTGAGGTTTAAAAATGATTTTTAGTCTACTGTAACATAGTAAATAGATGCTGTACATTACCTGCAATTTCCCTGAGCATATTCAGCCAAATGATAGCGGACACCTCTGTAGAGGACCAGCAATTGGTCACATGAAGGAATCCCGCATCAGCGAGATAGTAGTGATGATGAGGGATGTACAAGTCATGGGTCTGAGCGTCATGGAACAGGCTGGCATCTGCAACTGACCCCTCCCAGCTGCTAAGCAAGTATATGAACTTTATATTGGAGTCACAGCACATCAAGTATTTCTGGGTGACTGAACCCTTCCGATTGCGAGAGGCTGCACATTTTGCTGCAGAAGGACTGCAAACGATATGGGTGCCATCAATTGCACCAATGGCACCCGCAAAATGGCAAAGCTTCGGGTTATTGCTGATGGCAAATGGCGTAGGGGCATTGGCATCTGGTAGATGTATATACACATTGTAGATATTAGGGCAAGTGAAAGCTGCATTCTCTTGAAGTATCTAGAGACTGTGTCATTGGAACGTTGGAAATGTTTGGCAATGTGGCAAATAGACAATCCTTTCACACATGTGTACAGAAAAATGGCGAGTTGTTCTTCAATCAACACATGCTTTGAATCTGAGTATCTATTGGCCTGCAATAAATCTAACAAATTTGAGAAAGCTTCCTGCCGCACCCCAAGCTCCGTCTTGATACAATCAGGATGCCCATCTATCAATTCCCTGACCCATCCATAGCCTGTCAGGACCGAGTTGTGGTACGGTCTTGGTTTGGGGTGTTGCACTTGTTTTCCCACTATAGCCCAAGTAGCGTATACAATTGATTTGACAATGATAGAAGCTAGTTTTGACATTTGTAAACGGGCCAACAACGGCAGAGATACTTTCTCTAACCAAGCCTGCACCTCAGAGTTAGGTTTGGGGCTCGTTAAGTAGTGCGTCGTTTCATGGCAGCCAGTATTAACATAATGATGGGACTGTACTACTGGTGAGCCTGGCCCTGCATTTTGTGACAGCAGAGGGCCTGGCCTATATGACAAAAAAATACCACCCTTATTATCAGGGCGGCTGATTAAGTCATTCTTGGGAACTTCACAGTCATTGCTGGTTGCTGATACTGGGAAATTGAGAGAGTATATTCCCACGTTTGACAAACACGGGGGCCTAAGGACTGCTGGGGAACAAAGGTCACTCCCAGTCTGGGAGTGACTCCCTATCATAGCACCATTCGCAAAGTTGAGAACATTGTTAGGGCCGCAGGAATAGTTGGAAAAGTTGGACTTACTATGTGGTAAGTCCGTTTTATTCTCCTCCTCCTGCTCTCTTTTTTCTCTCTCCTTGTTTTGTCTCTCCTCTGTCTCCTTGCTGAATGGAGACTCTTCCAAGCATGCCTCAATTTCTTCATTGGTAAGTCTTGAAGCGGCTGTGGGAGCGCTGAAAACGGTTTATACGGGATGATAATGAGGAGACGAGGAGACGACAGAGATAGTGGGGGAAAGGAAACAATGAGGAGATGAACTGATAGAGATATTAGTAGTCATCTGACCATGGTCAGACAAAGGTTTGATGATCGAATTTGAAGTCCGTGCCATTTCAAAATGAACGTTCGGCAGATTAAAATGAACCAGGTCTAAAATGAGACTGCTTCCCGAAACGTCAAAGACTCTCAGCATCACGTGACCATAATTGATGCCGAGCTAGGGATTCGGACCGTATTGGCTATACTGTGCTGAGTTTAGCAACAGGTAGTCGGTACATTCCGGGCTTTCTCCTATTTTTAACGTTTGACCCAAATTAACCACAGTGTCATAAAAATAGCCGTTTCTAGTGAGAAAAAGAACATCACCCATGGCATGACTAATAGTCTCGGCATTACCAGAGACGGTGATCTCCGACAGAGGACCACAATTCGCTAGCGAATTTACAAAAGAACTATGCCGGATGCTGGGCATCAAACCTAAATTATCAACAGTGTTCCATCCGCAAACTGATGGACAAACGGAGAGACTCAACCAGGAGTTGAAACAGTATCTCCGGATATTTATTAATGACAGACAGACGGATTGGGCCAAGTGACTAAAAATAGCCCAGTTCACATACAATGTCAAACAGTCGTCGGCTACAGGAAAAGCACCATTTGAGGTTACTAGATCGTACCTCCCCAGAATGGGTGTAGAACCTGGCAAAAGCAAAAACGAGGCTGCTGGGAACATGGTAAAAGACATGAAGGCTGTCTTAGACGAAACGCGCAAGGCGCTATTTAGAACTGCAGAGCAGATGAAAGACAGGGCAGAGCGTAGACGCTCTAAGGCCCCTGATTACAAGGTTGGCGACCTGGTCTGGTTAGACACCGACCATTTCAAATTAAAAGATCGGCAGTCCAGAAAACTGACCGAAAAGTGGATTGGTCCTTACCGGATTAAGGAAGTCAAACCCAATGCGGTGGAGCTAGAACTCCCAAAACGAATGAGGGTAGTACCCACGGTCAATATTAGCCGTGTGAAACCCTACAAAGGACCGCTGCCAGGACAGCGTGTAGACCGGCCCGGACCGGTTGTAGTCACCCAGGAAGGTGAAGAAGAGTTCGAGGTTGAACAAGTGGTAGACGCACGCTTGAAGCGTGGTAAATTAGAGTTCCTGGTCCTATGGAAGGGCTATGGAGACGAGGACAAAACGTGGGAACCAGAAACCCATCTGGAAAACTCCCGCAACGCTGTTCGCGAATTTTATTCCAAGAATCCCTCAGCTCCCAGGAAG